TTGATGACTACTTTGGTTAATATTTTCAAAACTATTTTCGATTCCGCAATTTTGTACGCTCTCCTCTTTGGACACGTTGGTGAAATTCACATCTTCATTTTCCACGTGCTCCGCGGGATGGTGTGTCGTCGGGGGGTCCCTTCTGGCGTCCTTGGCAGGCTCGTTTGCTCTATCGATCTTTCGTTCCTTACCTATATCGCTCTTTCGTTCCTTACATATATCGCTCTTTCGTTCCTTACATATATCGCTCTTTCCTTTCTGATCAAGATCACTATTTGATTTCTTATCTAGATGGCTATTCGATTCACCGCTTTCCCGTCTTACATCTTTGTGTCGTCCGTTTTGAAAATCCGTGTAATCGTCGTCCCGACTTTCAACTGTTTTTCCCGTGCATTTCTCCCCTTGGTTTTGTAGCTCCACTTGCTGTTGCGTTTGATAGTAATCAACCTGTGGGTCGTACCTTTTCTGAAGGTTCTTCTTCTTACAACCTTTATCGTCAACAAAAGTGTATGACTCACATCCATTTTTCCGAATAATGTTGTCTTTCATGAGTTTATGCAAAACAGTGTCAATATCGCAATTGGTTACATTTGGAAATTTTTGCTTAATTTTTGTCTTACTCAGAATTTTGTATCTAGTGATATAGATTCTTATACTATGCAGCATGTTTTTCTTTTTATATTTAAGCATGAATGTTTTCTGAAATGTTTTTTTATTCTTTAAATTTTTGCAGACTAATTTTTCCTTTTTTTTATTTTTTATTTTCATAAGGAATTTATTTTTGTGTGTTTTGGCACAATTTTTTTTATTCTCATATTTATTTTTAATCCACTTTTTTTCTATATCTTTGTCAAGGAATGGATTCGGTAGATCCAATTTATGGGACTTGTTCAAACGATTTGTGTTTTCCATACTCTTTTTTCGAATATCATAAGTTTTATTCAGTTCATTGGTGACTTCGTCCCTGCTTCTATCATAAGGGAGTTTTTTCCCATAAGAAGTACCATACAACCTCGTAGCTATTTTTTCTATGTTACTCCTATATGGATTACTACTATAGTAACTATTATCGTACACCTTCTTATTGGCAGCCCAATATTTATTTTTCTTTCTCTTAATTTGTTCTATTTCTCTCTTTTCTACCTGCACACAATCATGTTTATCGTCGTCATATCTATGGGTGTGTACGAGCATTTTCCCAACCTTGTTGTAATATTCGTTATTTTCTGAGTTACTACTATAATCTTGATCATTACTACACTCTACTGATCTGGCTCGAGAAGGTGACATATTATCATAACTTTGGTTTGCAGAAAAAGATGGGGCTAAAAATGTTTTTCTCTTTTTTCTTCCTATTAGTTTTAAATTCCTTTTCGTTCCTTTTTGCACCTGCTCATTGCTAAAACTGGAATATTCCTCTTCATTATTGTAATCATTAACCGATTCATCATCATATTCGTCATAATAATCATAGTCATCACTTCGATCTTCCACATGATTTTCCTGAGCGGCGTTATGATTATCAACAATCCGATTATTTCCACTTCTACCATAGACGCCTTCACTGATGTGACAGTTACTCATTTTCACCTCCTCCTGATCATCATATTCCTCATCATCGATAATAATATATTGATTCTTGTTTTGTTTTCTATGTCTTTTTTTCGATAATCGCTTATTCAGATATGTATATCTGCTTTCGTCAAAGTGAAAAGGTTTATAGCAATTCTCTTCATCATATTCAACATACTTATTATGATCACCATTATGATTGACACCATGATAACCATAGGGATGTTCATTATTCCTATCTGTATGTAAATAGAAGTCCTTATTATTGTTCTGTCCATGTTGATTTTTTTCTTTCGAGTGATATTCACTTTCACTATTATCATACTGATAATAATCTCCATTCACCACTTTGGCATAATGGGTACTTGAATTACTCGTGTCCTGATTGTGCACATCAGTACAGTTGTATGAAGATGCTTGTTCGTCATGATTGTTACACGTAGAATTGACAATAATGGATAAGTAGTGATGCCCTGTATCTACTTTTCCAACATGTTCTTCATTCGGTATATTAACAAATTTTAATAAATCTTTACTATCTGGATTTCTAAAATATGGAGGTTGATAATTGTAAGGAACAATTTCATCATAGTAGAGTAACTTCATCGAGAGGTATGTTCTTTCAGGTAATGGATTTAATGTTTGTGTCAGAAGTACTAATGACCTAAGCAATTCATATGTCTTTTGTTTTGCATCTTTTTTAAAACATAATGAAGTTTCTTTTTTTTTTTTGTTTTTATTCAATAATCTGTCTTTTATATCTTTTAATCTGTCTATGTTAAAATTTTTTCTTTTTTCTTCCACTATGTTATCTGTAGATACATTACTGGGATTATTTTTTGATGTCTCTAAAGTAATTCCAATTTTTCCACCCATAAATGAATTGTAAGAAAAACTAAATTTATAGCACTCGATTGAATTATCATATATATCATTTATGTCTAAAATTAAAATTCTTAAATATTCTTTTTCTATCGCATCAAATACACCTTTCTCTAGCCAATTAATTATCATGTGTGCTTCTCGATTTATTGGAAGAAGTTTTTTTAATTTTAATTCTTGGATATGCACTTCTTCATATGCGTTTTCTTCAAATAAATTTCGTAAATATGTCACTAGACTTATTCCTAATTTTATTATATTTTTCAGCATATTCATCGAATCTTGTTTTGTTAGCGTTTCTGTCTGGGTGTGTGTTCTGACTGACATGCGCGAAATCATTTTGATCGTGACAAGAAAAAACAAATAGAAAGTTATAAGCAAAATAATTATGAGTAATAAAATGGACAATATTCAATATGCAAAAAAATAAAATAAAATAATAATAAAAAATAATAAAATATAATATGCGAGGAGTATTTTTACAAATTATGTGTATTCAATTGTTTGATTTGAATAAACATAGATTCATAAGTATGTTTGAACTTAAACAAAAATATTCATATAGCATTCATATCACACTCAGATAAGCATAACAATATCACAAAAAAATAACTCATGCGTTAAGGTAAAAAAAAAAAGAAAAAAAAATTTGACAAATGTGACTTATTAAAAATAATTTAATATGGACAATCTATTTCTTGTGGTAACAAAAATGATATATAGCTTTTACCAATATAGTCTAACGTTTTCTAGAATGTTAATTATATAAATATAGAGAAGAAAATAAAATTGCAAAAATCAAAAAAAATCAAAAAAACTGCATAGAAAAAATAACGAAAATATGCACACGTATTACAGACTACATCCTTAAAAAGGTAATGTGGAACAAAAAAAATAAAAGAAAAGAAAGAGTTTGCTACAGCAGACATTTTATTAGGTAACATAAACTATAGTTTAAAAAAAGCACATAAAAAAGAAGAAAATAATTAACCAAACAGATGTTATAAGGGTACAAAACGGTTAAGAACAATAGATTTTTCTTTTATTCTTACTTTTACTTTTGCCTTTTTTTTTTTTTTTTTTTTTTTTTTTTTCTAGTACGTACAACAGGGCTTAGGTTTTCAAAAATTGCTCGAATGCTTGTATATTATATATGTAGACATATGTATATATGTGTGCATATATATACATACATGCATACATATTTATATAATGAAAAAATTAAAAAAAACATCGCAAAATGGTGGAATACACAAGAACATGTATGACTATGCACTAATTTCGTGTTCGCCATTTATGTATCTGTAATTGTGTTCATGTAATCATGTAAAATCTAATACAAATAGTGACAGGAAATAGATGGACACAAGGGCTAATTGAAGAATAACAGATTGTGTCTGTCTCTGTCTGTCTGCTAAAAAATTTTTGAAGAAGGGGAGATCAAACACAATACTTTTTCAATATTAAGAATAATTTAAATAGCTTCTCAATATTATTCAAGTTTTGAAGTTTTCATAAATTTGAGAGCGCTTTTGACTATAGAGTAGAATGCAAAAACATCTTCTATCATCAAAATTAGAAAACATTGGTGGAGAAAATTTCGCAATGAAGTTAATATGATTAAAAAAAAAAATGAATGTATATACAAAAAAAAAAAAAAAAAAAAAAAAAAAAATATACAGTACTAAAGAAACAAGAGGGAGATGAAAAAAAAAGAAAGAAAATGTAGGGTAATCAGGAAACACGAAATATAAGAAAATGTCATAAATGCATCAAAAAGATGTCAACGACGTTTCAAAAAAGTGAGATACAAAGGATGAACAATAACAAATGGCAAAGGGGGCATTAAAAGGTTTTAATTATGTAGCATTAAAATTGTAATAACAACATGAACATGAAAGTGTTAATAGCAAATAACGGCATATAATGAAACTGTGCTAACAAAACGGCAACAAATTGAAATAATATTATGTCAGATGGGTAACAAAAAAACAACAAATTCGAATAAAGAAAAATGTAACAAGTGGAAAAAAACGAAAAGAATGAAAAGAAGGGGGAAAAATAACCCTAACACATTGTTTCAAAGGTTTAACATGGGCGCATCATAAATTCTTTGTTTCATGCAAAATCCTAGTAAAACCTAGACATACGAAATTTTGCGTAACTCAAAGTACATTTCACTATCTTGCGTATCTGAATTTTGCAAATTGCTTGAATTCCTCTCTCTTTAGGTATTTTCAGCCATCTCGCCTTTCTGCATTTCCTCCATTTCGTCTTTCTGCATTTCAGCCATTTCGCCTTTTTGCATTTCCTCCATTTCGCCCTTTTGCATTTTAGTCATTTCTCTCCTTTTTGCATTTCAGCCATTTCGCCTTTTTGCATTTCCTCCATTTCGCCCTTTTGCATTTTAGTCATTTCTCTCCTTTTTGCATTTCAGCCATTTCACATTTTTCCATTTTAGCCATTTCACATTTTTCCATTTTAGCCATTTCACATTTTTCCATTTACGGACTTCCTTTTTTCCTAAGTTCACAATTAAGAAATTTGTCCTTACTTTAGGAAGATCTTAAAAACATAACTTATTCTTTCGCTAGAAATCGAGTGCATGTGGACATGATTTAATCATAATTCTGATAAATAATGCCAACATATAGAAAAAATACACATAATTAAAATTGGCATTTTTTTCTACAAAAAAAAAGAAAAAAAAAAAACATATGAAGAAAAATATTAAAAAAAAAAGTCACTTTTTTTTTAACTGTTAAACCAGTTGGTAAATAATTTTTAGCCTAGGCATAATGTATCGGATTACGTTCACCTTCTTTTTCAACGCAAGAATGAGAAAAAAAAAATTGAAAAAAGAAAGAACGGCATTTGAAATACTGCGCTTTATTTATTATTCTCTGCACAAAAAGTTAATATAAAAACAAGTGAAACAACATGATAATTTTCCTTTTAATAAAGTAACACATTGACATGCATATATAACTATCTCATGTACGCAAAAAATATTCTTTTTATTTTTTTTTAGCATTCCCTCTAAGTGATCCTGGACACATTATAAACTAGCGTGGTAGTAAAAAATTGTGTATATATAAAAAATCATTTCAAAAGATATATAAAATATTTTCCCTAACTCAAAGAATTCATAAAAATGCATATAAATAACCTTAACACAATAAGCAAGCAGATGATAAACATGCACATATAAAATAAACATAGCAAAATTTTTGCTCTTCTCCATAGAATATAAAAATAAGGGATTGAAGGTGATATAAAGTAATAAAAGGAGCAGAAAATAGAGTAAAAATAATAGGCTAAAAAAAAAAAAAAAAAAAAAAAAAAAAAATCAGACTAAAAATATAACCTACATAACAAAACCATTTTTATTCGCTACATATAAGAAATAGGAAGTATTTCGAATTACATAAAACGCTTATGAGAGGATGATGTGCCTTTTTGTTTTTTTTTTTTTTTTTTGAAACTGTTTAAAAAATAGTTTTATCTTTTCTTTTCTTTTTTCACCCCCCCCACCCCCTTTTTATTTTACCCCTTAATTTTTGTTTTCCTTATTTTAGTTCTTAAAAAAATGGAAGAGGTTCAAAAGAAAAGAAAATCTAGATGGGGGGATGCAGAGAAGAAAGCCGATAATAATGAGGCAGCCAAAATGATTGAATTGACTAAAGCAGTGGAACAGAATAGAACTATTGATACAAATGTGTTTCTAAGCAAAACAAGTAATAATATTTTAGAAAATTTGAACTTGAATAGAGCACCCAATTTAGTGAATCCCATAACAAGTTTACCAACCCAGTTCCCAACGACTACTCAAAATTTCGCGGCATTTTCTCCAGCCATCCATTTAAGTATATTAAAAGCAACTGAAGCAGCTAAATTAGCTATAGAAAGGGCAAAAAGGGCTAGTAGGCTTGAGGAGAGTGCTAAACAGAACCTAAGAAAAGTAGATTTTATACCTAAACCTTTAAAATTTGATGAACAAGGTAGAGAAATAGATGAAGAAGGAAATGTTATTAATATAAAACCCATAACGTATTCAACCCTAAAAGTGAATATTAATAAATTAGAAGAAAATAATATTTTAAAAAAGAAAAATGATTTATTAAATAAAAATAATGAAGAAAATTTAAATGAAGACATAAAATGGTTTGATTCTAGAATAAAAAGTGTTCGTAAAAAAAAAAGAAAAAATGCTTTTAATTTTGTTACACCTGGTTCCCTTGTTAAGTTAGCAAATTCTAGAAACTATAATAGTAAATCTCAGATGAATTTTGATTTGAAAAAATTTATGCAAGATAAAAAAAATGTGCAAACATTCCAAGAAATGTCTTTAAACTTTTTAAATAATGATCTAAATGATAATGTCAACCCGAACTTAATAGATATTAATAAAAAAAATGTGACAAAAAAGGAGTGGAATGAGGAAGAAAAGTATAACATGATGGAAAAGTGGGATTTAGTTCTATTTAAAAAAATAGAAAATAAAGAAAATTTGAAAGAGTACATTGATGAACAAAAGGCTCTTTGGCAAGGGAAATTACAAATGGATAACAGTACATTATGTCATAACGGAACTAACAACAGTTCCCATGCAGATGAAAAAATAGAACAAAATTTAAGCGTACAGGAAGATTCCTTAACCAAAGGAGAGAAAAATAATAATAAAGATCTTTCTGAATATGTTAGCAGCACATGTATGGAAGTAAACAAATTGGTACATAAGCAAAGTGAGAACATGCTGTTGTTACAAAGTAATGAAATCATAATTAATGATGAATTGTATAAGATAAACTTTAAAAGGATAACAAATTATATAGAACACCCAGTTTCATTGAACGAAGATAAGAAAGAAGAAAAGACCACACCACACATGTTCTTAACACCCTTAGAAAGAAAAAAGTTAAGAAAAAGGAAAAGACAAGAAAAGGAAAGAGAAAAACAAGATAAAATTAGAATCGGGTTAATTCCGCCACCTCCTCCTAAGATGAAATTATCAAATTTAATGAGAATTCTTGGAGACAGTGCTGTTTCGAATCCTTCTAGAATAGAACTAGAAGTAAGAGAACAAATGAAAGAAAGAGAATTGAGACATTTTAAACAAAATCAACAAAGAAAATTAAATCCAGAAGAAAAAAGCAAAAAAAAAATGAATAAATGGATATGTGATCCTAATGAAGAAAATGAAGTCCTAGTTATTTATATTACAAATTTGTCAAATAAAAAACATATATTCAAAATAGATATAAATGCACAGCAGTTGCATTTAACGGGAGTCTGCTTTATGTCCGTTCTGTATAATTTTATTATTGTTGAAGGGAAGCATATTTCCATTGAGAGATACAAAAGATTAATATTTAGAAGAATAAAGTGGAATGAAGATGAATACGACAATGATGAGGACGATGATGAGGATGAAGATGAAGATGAGGAAGAAGGTGGGGGGGGGGAGGTGCGAAGAGGAAGAGGCGGAAGGGGAATTGAACAGGATCAAAATAATAGTAATGATGAAGAAAAAGGAGATCGAAATAAAATAAAATCCAGTTTTGATACTAATGAAGATTATCCTACTGATAATACAAATGTTCACATGAATCAGGGTTGTCGTTGTACCCTAATTTGGAGTGGAACTGTAAAGAAGAAGAACTTTCTTAACTGGAAGATGATAATTGCAAAAACGGAATTAGAAATAACGGATTATTTACAAAAGCATGATGCACTGCACTATTACCACATAGTCAGAAAGCAAAGAAATGTCTTGGGCGATGTTTAAAGTGGGAGGGGGCGCACAGAGAATGCAAAATGGAAAAAAAAAAAAAAAAAAAAAAAAAAAAAAAAAAATATATATATTTCCACACTTGTAAATTTGTATATTTATGTGTAAATTTTTTGAAATCAATAAATGTATATGCATGCATGTAAGCATATATATATACATATATATTTATATATAAATACACATTTATTTGTGTGTGCCCATATTTAACACTCTTAGGGTGGATGTTTGGGAGAGGGAGATAGCAGAGAAAATGTTTCTCTCTCCTTTTGATTTGTTCCTTTACCCCCACCACCGTACCCCTGAACTAGTTAAATGAATATGCCATTTCCTTATTTTTTGCGTACATCACTAATTTTTTATTGTTCATTATTTAGTTTGCGTTTCTATTTTTATTACTATTTTTTTTTTTTTTTTTTTTTTTTTTTTTTGTGGTGGGGGTTTGGGGGCCCCCTTTTTAATTTTTTTTTATTGTTTTAAAATTTTTGTCACGTTTTTACCCCATTTAAATATTTTAATAATTCGAATTATTGACTTAATAATTTATAACCGGCAACAGTTTTCTCATTTTGTTAACGAGAGAAAACATAAAAATAAAGTGGTATTAACAAAGAGACATAAACAAAATGGCATAAACAAAGTACCATAAACAAAGAAAGCTTCAAAATATGCATTAAAAAAAAAAAAAAAAAAAAAATTGTCCAAATAGAGATCCATTTATAACAGTCTTTCTTCTTGCATAAGATTTCATAGAGCGAGAATAAAATTAGAAATATAAAATAACCAGTGTCATCTAAAAAAATAAGGGGCAATAATAGAAATAATAAAAAAATGTGTTTGTAGTGAGAAATTGATGATAAAAATTTCAAGAATTACATTACTCAAAAAAAAAAAAAAAAAATAATAAAATAAAAATAAAACAAGCATCTATTTGCATTCCACAATGTAGAAAAAAAAAAGTTTATAGCGCTGTTTAATGAACATAAAAAAAAAAAAAAAAAAAAAAAAAAAAAAAAAAAATTCATAAAACACTTTTTACTTACATCATCGACGGTGTCAATTCGTTCCCACCTTCTCCAAGATTCCTTGATAATTTCTTCTGCAACGAAAAAAAAAAGAAAAAGGAGAAAAAAATTTTTAACAAGTGTCTATATTCGGTTTAGGGGTGGTAAAAAAAAAAAAAAAAGAAGAAGAAGAACTCGGGTTGAGGTACTACGGAATAGTAACAAAGGTAGAGCAAAAACAAGGAGAATATGGAGATTTCTAAAATGTTGAATAAATGATCTTCATTCATCCAAAAACACATGTATATATATATATATATACATATACGTGCATACATATGTATACACACATATACACACGCTTATCCCTCTTTCAACTCATCATCTCTCCTCACGGTTTGACTCTGCAACTGACCCATGGCAACGTGCACCTTCTTCTTCCTCTTTCGAGAAACCATCTGAACGCATTCCTCACTACTTATAAATTCCCAGATACCATCTGTTGCAACAATAATGAACTTGTCTTCATCAGATTTGTCAAATATTTTTATGGTAGGTTCACAAGTAACACCAATGAAAGACGAAGTAATGTCACCTATAGCTCTACTCATGGCTAATCCGGGGTACATTTCATTTTTAACAAAAACTCGGTATGAAACATCTCCTTGCAATTTTTTCACTTCTCCACCAAATGCAACAATTCGTTCTCTTTCTAATTTTAAAGATGGTTTGTGATCTTCAGTAATATTATAAGCTCTAAATGTGTTTGTTTTTTCATTTTGTTTTCCCATAACAGCTCTACTATCCCCTGTGTGGGCAGAATAAATTTTTTTTGTTAGAAAATTGTAGAGTATGATTGTACATGTTGTTCCACTTAAATTATAATCAATAAAATTTATGTTAATTGGATTTATATTATTATTTATACAGTAGGAATAATTAACTAAGTAGCAGTTTATCATATAAAATAATGTTTTCATTGTTCGAACAGGGTTTTCAAATATTCTTTCAATATTGTATGAAAAAAGTAAAGGGAGTACTACATGTACAAAATTACTGATGTCATGACCAGATGGCCCATGTCCATCAAATACCATAATTAAAATCCATTCATTAGTTTGTATAATTGTAAAATCATCCTGATTTGGGAAATCTAATTTTCTTCCTTTTTTACATGCAACAGAAATTTCTGCATCACAAGCATATGATGGGGATTTGTAAAAAAAAGTATTTTTATCTTGAAATGGTTTCATGTTTTTTTGGTAAAAGCAATATGCCCCCATAACTATAAAAGTAATTTTCAGATCTGGCAAATTTTGATCACATGGTATTTCGGTTATGTCTCTATGAATCCATTCATTTCTATCAACAGATTCAATAATTTTTGAAAAAGTGCATTTTTCTTTTTTTTCTTTTAATTCGTATTTAAAACTTTTCTTTTTTGTGTTTTTTTCATCCTTTTGATTTGTTTTTCCGATTTGATTCTGTTCTCCTGCTTCTACTTTTTCACCCTTTTCGTTACTTATTGTGACTTTTTTTAAATATGTACTTTTATACTTCTTCTTCAACTTATTACATTTATTTTTTATATATTTTTTTAATAAAGTAAAATCATTTTTCAAAAAACTGTCAATAATTTCTTTGGGAAACGTTGGGAATTTTATGATATCATGATTTATATTCAATGAATTCCTAAGAGAATATCTATCCTTTTTATTTCTATCCAACATGTCTACTATATTATTGGCATTAAAATAAAGGAAAAGACTAAATAAAAAAACGACAATAATGTCTACATCTCTTATATCATTTAATATCATATTGCTGTATTTTATGTTCAGTAAGTTCTCTCTTTTGTTTCTTTTTTGCAAATCCTTGCTATTAACTGATTCGCTATTAAATGAGGAATTCTTATTTGAAAACACATCTCCTTTATAATCATGTGTTTCGTTTGATTTTGAATTATCTCTGTCGTTATGCGTACTATTGGGAATTATGTCTTTTGTATTTTTGTCTTTGGACGTGCTCCGTTTTACTTTTCCATTTATATTAGATTTGGATTCGCTTTTTTCTTTTTTCGTTTTTTTTGTCACCTTGGTTCTGTCTACTTCGCTTTGGTTTACCTGGTTTCGGTTCACTTCATTTGGGTTCACTTCATTTGGGTTCACTTCATTTGGGTTCACCTCGTTTTGGTTCACCTCGTTTTGGTTTCCCTCGTTTTGATTCATCTCGTCATTTCCTATCACATTGTTACTATTTTTGTTCTTCTTTTTGTTTTTCTGGATTATCATATGATGATCCGATTCTTCCCTTCGTAGGTAACCAATGTCCTCATTGGAAACAGGCTGCTTTTGTTCATCTTTCTCATTTTGATCAAAGTTACCAGGATTGCTTGAATATATGGAATTTGTATCATGTTCATGGATGACATTAAAACTTTTTTTATCGCAATTGGAATTGTTTAAATTTGGATTATGCTTTAAGTCTTTTCCTTTTCTGTTTTTTTCATCTTTATCACGGATATTGCTATCAGTTGCGCTCTCGTAATCTGGGTTTGAATGCACATCCGAATCCTCCAATTTTTTTTTTTTTAATTTGAATTTGGAATAACTAATAATGGACATACAATTACCCATGGTTGATGTGCGACGTGTGGATGTAATAAGTATATGTATTCGATTAGATATGACGTGAGGAAACAATTCTATAGTTGCGTTGTTATGGGACTAAGTACAGGTAGTCCTGCATGTGGAATGTGTCAATACAGGTTGGTACATCACTGCATAAACATTTTTTTAATTACAAAAATGTGAAAAAAATTATGCCAGGTGTGAGAAATGTAATGGTCATACGGAAGGAACTAAAAGGATAGAAATACACAAAACGAATAAATAAACAGAATAAATAAAATACACAAAATAAAATAATAAAGGAGAGTAAAAAGGAGAGTAAAGGTGAGTAAAGGAAAATACGAGCTCAATTCATCACATGTTCGGAGGCAAACAAAAGAAAGGTAAGGATTAATTTTAACATTCCATGATGAATATATAGGTGTAGAAGGGATGGAAAAAAAAAAAAAAAAAAAAAAAACAGGAATGAATAAAAGAAGGAAGAAAGAAAAAAATGAATATAAAAGACGTATGCAATTGTGCTTTTTTCATAATGAAAAATATGCATTTTTGCATTTACTTGAATTATAAAACTTTAACCATAAAATGTCATGTGTCGAAGGTGGGGTGTGCACGTATTTATGTATGGAGGGGAAGAAGGGTATTCGGGAGAAGAACATATTCAGATAAATAATCTGCACAATTGGGGATTAATGAATTCGTACAATGATTATACATTTTCATATGTCCAATGAAACACGTCTCTACATACATATATTGTGGATATTTTGCTCGTTCATGTGATGATGAGGTGTTTAAACGTTCTATGTGCACGCTAAATGTATACATTCCTCATGCATGCGTATATGCATATATATGTGCATGTAGTTGTATAGATGTGAATGTTAAACATATGAAGTGGATTCATATACATGGAACTTTTCGAGGAGAAAGCAGCAACAACAATAACAATAACAAAAAAAAAAAAAAAAAAAAAAAATGAGTGAATATAAGAGTTAGATTATTAGTTGGTCTATTAGTTAAATTATTAGACGACGTGCAAATGAGCATGCTCACGCAGGTACTTTGTAAAGATAGAAGTGGATGCACTATAATGTAAGACTTTCAATGTTACATAATAAATTAAAAGCAAAAGGTGAAGGGATAGGGAGAAGTAAAATGCTCTGATAAATAAAAACATGAATTAGGAAAAGTTAAACATGAATATGTTGAAGTGCAAGACAATATGCAATATCTGTCTAATTTACTTTTACATTTGAGTCCAACGTTACGTAACAACACGTTAACTTAAAATAATATGATTAAAAATTAAAAAGAGAAATGAATTATTAAAATTCGGTGAAGTATGAAAAAGTGAATTTCATTTATAACATCTCAAATGCAAATTAAAAAATAAAAAAAAAATAAAACTGTAAAAGTGAGAAATGCGGTACACTGGGGTAGAAATGAGCGACGGGAACACATTTTGCTTTTAATAAATCTATAAATAGTTAATAATAAGAAATTACCATGTTGCTCTAATGACAAGAATTAAAGGAATATAAAACGCGAGTGGAGGAAATATGTATATATGAATTTGCATTTGAAACTTCGCCAGAAAGTTCATGAGAAAGTATATATGTATATATATATTCATTACATGTGTAAAGGTATGTATATATATTTAAATGTACTCGTAGAGGGTAGTACATGCACATATATCAATCTATACATAATTCTATGCATCATGCCATGAAGCAGATACTGCATAATTTAAGGTGGACGAGGTTTAACATGAAAAAACAGATAATGCGCTAACAAAAAAAAAAAAAAAAAAAAAAGGAATGAAAGAAGGAAGAAATGAAGAAAAGCATAAAAGAAGGAAAGAAAGAAACGAAAAGAAAAAAAAATATATATATACTTTAAATAAGCAGTTCAGATAATCTGTCTTTAAGCGAACGCTACGCATGAACTCTTCACTATCGTTTTTTGCTTTTATTCTTTAACACTATCATTTTTTTATTTTTCCATTTTATTTTTCCCCATTTTTTTATGTTTCTATTTTATTTGTTTGTCATTTATTCTATTTTGTTTTATTTTATTTTTTTTCATTAACTTAAACAATATTCACAAGATAGACCTTTGCAAAAATGTGATCTTTCGTTGCAACATTTATAACGACGTGAAAAAAGAAAAAGTGATTATAAGAATGGGCGTAAACAAAAACACAAAGACAAAAAAAAAAAAAAAAAAAAAAAAAGAAGAAAAATATATATATATATATATATGTACTCCTAAAAAAACGAATAAATACATGTACACATTTTTACGAAATCAATCAAACAGTTTTAATAACTTGATTTCCACAATATATAAATAGAAAAAGTGGAAAGGAAGGCGTAAATAAATGCTTCACTAAACGTTTACGTTATGTGGAAAATAAAATAGAATAAATTCCCTCATCCATCTTAAATGAAAGCTACATAAATCATTTTAAATACTTATAAAAGGGTGAAAAGGGAAAAATGTTACACGTTGCACATTCAACTGAAAAAAATACAACTCGGTTGTAACATATCATTTAATCCATTTTTTTTTTTTTTTTCTTTTTTTATATTAAAAGGGTGTTGATTTATGTCGTTCTTTACTTTTCACTTATTACTTTTTGCTTTTTCTTTTCCCTTTTCTTTTATGCTACACTGTGAAGGGTAAACTAGGCTGTGTGGGTACATACTAAGCTACATGCATATGGATGTATTTTTATATGTTTTTAAATAGGGATGTATTTATGTGTGCACATATATATGTGGAATTATGTATGCTATATTCATATACATGGGAATTTATATAAATGCATATATATATACACTCAATGTAAACATATATTTGCATGTGTAGACATCAAAAATCGTTGCGCTAACGAAAGTTCTTAGAACTTGTTCCTCTTTAAGATTTTTTTTTAAAAATTTACATTCGCAAAAAAAAAAAAAAAAAATAATAAAAAAATAAAATTAAAACTATTATACGTTCAAAATACCGCCATCTCATAAATCATATACTAAAAAAGGTGGACATGCTAAATTTGTCAACACACAGTTTATTGTAAATATGCAGATGGGCAAATAGTTGGAGAAAAGCACACATCAATAAGTAAAACAGCGCGCAAAAATTTATATGTATATTATTCACTCGTGTTAATATTTTCTAGCGCATATTTTTAAATATGCTCATTAGTACATATATATATATGTATGCACTCATTTCTATGCACAAAAAAAATTTCCACCAATTATGTACACGTGTACAATGGTTCACGATTTGTAATAACGGTCTTCTATTTCATGAAAGTATGTAAATCCGTTGTTAATTAGGATTTTCCCTTTGAGGGTGATACGAACGTCACCATGTTTTGTACAAATGCATTTGCGTCTGTCTGTCTATGCATCAATTAATGTGACGTTTTGCATGTCCATTCTTATGCTCATTTATGTATGACTCGTAACAAAATGGAAGCAAAGAATTTGAATAACTACAATGTATGAGTATGTTACTTTTTTTTTTTTTTTTTTTCAATTCTATAATGTAGGACGAAAGTAAATAATATGCAATCCTGCAAGTGAAAAAAATTAATTTAAATAAGAAAACAAAATAGAATTATAGTTTTTGAAAAAGAAAAGAAAAAAGTGTTATCAGCAGCGTCATATCATAAAAAATAGCCTCCATAAGCATATGTACTAACTGAACTATAAGAAATGGTATGCATAAAAAAGTGAAATTTCCATATAACTAGGATATTCTCACATATATACATTTACGTATGTATGAAAAAATAAAATAAAATAATTTTATACTGCACATATGCATTTAAATTGGTATATTCATAAAGAAATAATGTGTATACAATGTCGTTTTATGATATATTTATTGTCAACACCCATGAACATGTGGTATTTACTTCAATGCGCTCAATGGAAAGATTTCAATTTGGTACTACATGAACTACCTGTTGGGTGAACACGAAATAAGTGAAGTAGGGGAAGGGGGGGGGAGGGAAATAAGATAAAATAAAATAAATAAGCAAATAAATGAACAAATAAATGAACAAATAAATGAACAAATAAATGAACAAATAAATGAACAAATAAATGAACAAATAAATGAACAAATAAATGAGCAAATAAATAAATAAAACATACGGTTCAAAATGTGGTAAATGATTGTCAATGAAGGGGACAGCTCATTAGAATAAAGAAAAGAACGTAAAAAAGGAAAGCAATAAAGATGGAAAAACCGAGAGGGTATGTAGTCCTGAATGAGTAAAAATAATATATGAATAAATAAATTTGCAGATACACAAATGGGGATAGGGGGTAAGGACCTGTACACACACACACACACCTATGGTGAGGATGTAGAAGTAGAGTATCCATAAATCATCTAAATAAAACTTACAGAAAATTAAAAATATTTTTATATGAGAAATTTATGTGATTCGGGAGCAATAATTCCCATGTATGTGGTACTTATGCCCCTTATCTTTTAAGGTTTTACATGATGGAAGAGAATGTGGGAGTAGGGAAGAAGGTTGAATTCGTAGAATCGTAGGATCCTGCACAGCGGCAGAAGTTTGCAAAAGTATGCAGCCGTAGGAGAAAAATGTAACAAGCATTCGGATGTAACAGATGGGGGTAAGAAAAAGGGAAATGAGAAAAAACGAATGAAAATGTGTCAACTTGGAATCACAAAAATGGTGGAAAAAAAAAAAAAAAAAATAAATAAAATAATAATAAAAAAAAGTACACAATACAAGTGCGTTCATTAAGGAAGGCAAAATAGCTAAGTAGGTGTACATATATATGGTCCACAATTTTTTTTTCTATTTTTAGCCCAATCAATTTCTCATGCCATCTACATTATTTTAATCATTTTCTATACCATGTGTATTTGCACCCTCCGAATGGCGTAACATTTTTACAAAAAAAAAAAAAAAAGAAAAAAAAAAAAAGTGCGGGATGTATAAGAGAAGTGGAATAAGAATGGATAAAAACGAAAACGGCACTTTTGAGCATAACCCGAGTATATCACGAGCATAACATGGGTATAACACTTACATAAAACGAGAAAAAAAAAAAATAAATAAATAAACAAAAAATAACATTGCCATAAATTAAAAATCTTCGAATAAGTGAGAGAAGAGTGAGATAAGGTGTACGCAATTTTAAAACATTGAATTTTTTTTTTTTTTTTTTTTTCAAAAAAAGGAAATACTTATGGAGGACATGAATGAGTAAAATATATATGCATGTTTACATATACATATGCATGGACACGTGTTAAAGTGTTTATATTCCCACATTCACATGTAGCAGCTGGAGCATATTAAAAAAATACGGAATGTTTAAAATTGTTGAGAATAAAGCAATGCATAAAGTATGTATAAAATATATGTACATATGTTTAACATATATATGCAAGCACAACATCGATACATGGTCGTTGTAGAGGGATTAATAATGTTTCGTTCTCAAATCACTCAATTCAGAGAAGTAAAATAATAACAGTTCTAAATATTGAGGCATAATTAAGAAAGTGTCATTTTTAACAAACCTTGTTATATACATTTGTTCACGCTAGTTATTTATTTTTTTTTTTTTTTCATAATTATTCTTGTACATCTCTACTAAATGGAGATTTATTTTTGCATTATATATATTTTTTGTAAATGTGTATACGAAAAAAAAAAAGAAAAAAAAAAGAAAAGGGAAAAATTTTAGCTGATAATTCAAATAAAAGGCATAAGCGTATAACGTGACGTAAAATGATGTGTGGGATATATGCAAAGATGTTTATTTAAATGTTTTTTCCTTTTGGTTAATTTTGAATACTTTTCTCACGTGAGAATATGTTTTATCATCTTGTGTCTTATTTTGCTAAATAGAAAGAGTGAAATAAAGCAGCATGTCGAAGGGATTAAATAACTTTATCATATAGGTCTCTTTCTTTTAATCTATTTAACACAACTGTTAAACATATGAGTAAGATTGATGTCAGGACATAACTGTGTGTGCAAAAAATGTACATTTATTGTAATAAACATTATACATAAAACTTGTACATTTAGAACGCTCTTTTTATTCTGTGGACCTTTCTGCCTAAATACTCTTGCTTATACGAAGAGATGTAAAGTGGTTATAACGTTCTAAGGAGTAAAATTGAAAAGGTTTGTTAATTTTATACCTCATTGGAAATTTTTTGCAACAGCGCAAAATTTATGAATTATCTTCTTTTTTTTCATTTTTTATTTTGAAGTATGAAGAAAATAGAATTTGACCATAAAGCATAAAATTGAGAAATTTAGTCCATTTTTGTGACTGGTTGATGTACATATATGAAAAAAGATGATAATATATCTCTTCTTTTCATGTATTTCACCACAATGTTTTTCCAAGAATTTTCTTTAATTTGTTTTGTATGATTATACCCACGTTTTTTTTTTTTTTTTTTTTTTTTTTTTTGTTTTTTTTTTAAATCTATTCTTATAATTCAAAATGCCGTTGTTTTCAATTCAAATGAAATGTTACAAAAGGACAATGGGGGAAAAAAAAAAAAAAAATAATAATAATAAAAACACGAGAAAGATGAAGATGGAAAATAAAAAAAAAAAAAAAAAAAAAAAAAAAATTAAAACTTTCTTTATGCGCTAATAGGAACAAAACTTTTCTGTTAAGTCCATTTTGTGTGTACTTATATATATGTAATGTAAGCATGCATGTGAATAATGTTCAAATTCATTTCTTCATCATTTTGTGCATTTTCGTCTTAGCCATATTTATCTGTTTGGATTTGGAGAAATCTTTTTTTTGTTGAAAATGTGCGACATTTTTTTTTTTATCATCTTTTCCTTTTTTCTTGTCATCCTTCTCCTTGCCTGATATTCGAGATTTGTTCTATAACAAAGGATAAGAAATATATGATGAGTTAATAGTTAAGGTGTTTCATTTGTGCTGAAAACACAAACACGAAGCATTTTTTTATTGTGGTGTTCAACTGATGGTCTAAACAAAACAGAATAATAGGATATTCCCGTAGTCTCTCTCATATGTGTGAACAAATATCATATTTCGTATGTATGTATGTATTTTAGGTTTTTCCTCTTTGTGTTTTTTTTTTTTTTTTTTTTTTTTAGCTCAACCAAAGCAAAAGTAAAGAAAAGGAAAAAGCACAAAAGAGGCATATGAATATATAATATAAAATATCAGTAAATATATATAAAAAAAAGGAATAAAACATTCCACTTTGTTATAAAATGATATTTCATATTATATATGCAATTGAAACCGAATTTATTTTTTGAAGTTTTACTACATGAACATATTTTTTGCTGTTAATATATTCACGACTCTTAAACTTCAGTGTGTGCTCATTCGAACAGTTTACATGGGTTATAGTATACGTTCTATTAAACCTTTCTCTTATATGGCACTTTGAGCATATTTGCACTAAGGGTTTTATGTTTTTTTTTTTTTTTTTTTTTTTTTTTTTTTTTTTTTTTTTTTTTTTTTTTTTTTTTTTTTTTTTTTTTTTTTTTTTTTTTTTTTTTTTTTTTTTTTTTTTTTTTTTTTTTATTTATCTATTCCTTTATTTTTTTTTCCTTTTTTATTTATTTTTACTTGTTTATTATTTATTATTTTTTATAATGGTTATTACCTTTGCTTCAATGCTTTGGACATAGGCTTTCCTGTTTCTGATATCTTCGACAGTTAGCCCACAAACGGCTTTCTGCACTTTAATAGTTTTTTTATACCTCCTTCTTTGTGTGCTTTCAATTTTTGTTTTTTTGTTATTTCTTCTCCAAGTCTGCGTTTTTAAGAGGAGAATACATTAATGAGAGTTTGGTGAAAACATGGGGGCGGTACACATAGCTTTTATCACGTAAATAGGATATACTTATGCAAACAAGCGCTACTGCAAAGGAGAATCCACTTCCTTCTGCCTCCTTATATAAGAGAAGAAAGTTAAACTTCCTATTTGTTCATAAAAACTTACCTGTGTCCATCTCAACTTGGCTGCCTTCTTCTTCTGATGTGCAAGTGAAGCAAATTTTGATGATAAATAAAAGTAAACTTTTCCGTCTCTTGCAATAAACTTCTGTCCTCTTCCGGGATATATCCTGTACTCACTAAAGGAGCATGCTTCTGTTTTTACAGTTGTTTTGATTGATGACATGGTTCGTAATTTTGTTTTTAATCGATCCTTATAAAACCTGTAGGGATGTTTTAAAAAATGGGAAATGTGAATATAGTGTTTGGGAAAGGCTGTATAGTTGGCCTCATTTGTTGGGGGAGGAAGTGCAGAAATATTTTACACATAGGTATACCCATATGCATCATACATATAAATAGTACACACACAATTTTATCTTATAACAACTAGTTAAAACAGTGATAACTGTTTTCATATAGGATGTAATGCCATTTTTGCTCATATACTATTGTGATCATTATATTATGCTCACTACTTCTGTGCTTATTATTATTATTTTCTCCACTCGCTCGCGATATAAAAGATTAGCACAAAAAACATTACAAGCATTCCTCTGTGTGAAATATGACTTCCCCACAATCACAGCGCTATCTGCACTTTGTGTGTTATCTTTTGTATGATAATTGCTAATATTTTTTAATTCACATTTTACACGGCGATTAGAGATATGTAAATGTGCTGTTTTCATAAGCATACTCTTAGCTTTCATATATGCGGTTGTTTATGTACATATTTTTTCACATATATGTATACGATTTCACATTTTCAGCGAATCATTAAAATCAATCAACTTTTTTGTTGATTACCTTTACTTTTCCCTTTTTTATAGGACTTGCGTTCCGCAAATAGTGGGTGAATTTCTTAAATTAATTCTTTTTATACTTTCTTCACAAATACTTATTCGTCACTTTTATTTATTTCCTTTTTTTTTTTTTCTTTGAAAATTCATTTTTTAAAATTTCCTTTAAAAATGATTATTTTTTTTTTTTTTTTTTTTTTTTTTTTTTTTTTTTTTTTTTTTTCTTTTCTCTTTCAATTTCAACTTTTTAAAAACCTAAGAAGGAAGAAAAAGGTGTCACATTTTTTTTTTTTTTTTTCCCCCCCCTTCACAATTTGCTATTTCACGCATTGTATTGCATCAACCTTTTTTTATGTTCTGCTTTTTAGCTAGTGGAGTTTTTTTTTTACTCAGCGCCTCTTTAGGAGCACATGGGGTGATAAGAAAAAAGGCAAAGTTCACGTACCATTCCGTGGTGCGCTATTCATACAACACGCGTAAGTTATGTATCGACTCCAATTAGAGTATTGTCCGGAGTCCGCATATATAACCGGAAGTATATACTATACATATATAAATAAATATATATATATATATATATGGGAAGGAAGTGGTGCTATTTATAAATAGCACGTGAGATATATTTTGGGCGAGTCGACGCTTCAACACTTCCCCCAACTGATATTTCAAGTACCCTCATTTTTTACGATGTTCCAACTCGCCCCCCTATATGGTATATATATCATGGCGATAACATGCAATATGTCCTAATAATTTTGTAAAAAAAATAAGTATACCAAAAAAAACGGAATTATAGGTAGTAATATTAAAAAAAAAAAAAAAAAAAAAAAAAAAAAAAAGTTTAATTCTCTATTAACTACGTGTATATTCGTGTTCATTTTTTTTTTTTTTTCAACAGTATAGACCAGTTCTTAGATGGATTATGGAAGCTTCACTTTGATTCCCAATTTTTTTTTTTTTTTTTCTTGGGCTCTTCCGAAAGGGACACAATATAGGTCTTAGATTTCATAAATTCACTAGCCATAGCTTGGGATAGGTGCACATTTCCAGGTGCATATGATTTATCACCGTGCAGTGTGTATAAAGGGCTACTCAAGGTATATACATATATATATAATGAATATAATATAATGCATATATAATATAATGTATATTTATGCATGGCTCTTCCACTTCCGCAAATGTTGGAATTAAAGCATGAGTCAAGTTAGTGAATGTGTATGTAGTAATATATATATATATATATCTATGTATATAAACATATATGCATGGTCTTTTTCATGGTACTCCTTATGCGTGTACATGAACGATGTCAGATATTATTCATTGCAAACCCAACATCATACAATCTGATTAAATTTAGCAAGCTTAATAAGAGATCCTTCTTCTCCCTCCTTCACATTTCAGTGTGATGCTGCTGCACTTTCGCAGGCGCATAATTCCATACGATTCTTCACTTCAAAAACGCTTAAACGTATTTATTCAGAAGAAAAAGGAATAATATGAGACATAATACACGCTCATTTTGTGTAATATAATTTTTGTTCCTTTCACCACGTGATGAAATTTTACTGAAGGTTGGTGATGTATTATATTTTTGTATCTTCCGATAAAGCGAAAGGAATTGCGAACAGGTTTTAAAATTCGCAATATTTCCACTTTGTTTTCTATTCATTAATTTGAGGTATATTTTGTAATGTTATATGACATGTAAGAAGTATTATTTTAGGAATATTTTTCTATTATCTATTTTTTTTTTCTTCTTTTTTTTTTTTTGTTAAAATATGGAAGAAAGTTACCAAGGTGGTAAGTAGCCATTTTAGGGAAAAACATTTATGGCTGATGTTTTTTAACTGAGAAGGAAATTTTTAAAAATAAAAATAATCTTTGCATATACAATTCTCCTATTTTGTTCTGCATTATTTCATATATTTTTCCTACCATTTTGTGACATCCTCATTTTTTAGTAAAACTTTTTTGTTATAAAGAAAAAGGAGAGAAAAAAAACTTTGTCAAAATTCCCATTTTGCTAAAGAGAAAAAAAAAAAAATGATTTATAAAGAAAAGATATTTTTAAATTTTAAATAATTGGCAATCTTTTAAATGCATAACAGCTTATTATTATACTTCTTATTGCAATTCACTTTTTGCCAATGTTCTTATTCCATTTTCGAATTCTGAAAAGGGAAAAGGAATATATTTTTGTTATCACTGTGGGGCATATTACAAAAGAATAAAAAAAAAAAAAAAAAAAATGTTTCTCTAATTGGGATAAAAGCCCTTATACATTATACACATACATATATACATTTACACGTGTATATATAATTTGTCTTACCATTTATTCCATCAACGCGAACTTACAAACAACTGCTCTGAACCTTCGTTGGATGTAGAAGGGACGCATAGTGGGCATGCGCACACAAACATATATATGAAATATATTTGTACAAAATAAAGTAAATTTTTTCTGGCCATTTTAAAGAAGGGATGAAAAAGACTAAAAATTTTATAAGTTATGAACGGAGCAAAGTATAAAAATTTTTACTTTCAAATGAGATATATATAATTACCGTGCATAGAAGGCACAATAAATATATGTTATAAAGTGGCATAGATATATATAGGTGTAACATTTTTAAGTGCAACATAATACTGGGAAAATAATAGTTGACACAATATTTGATTCCTTTGGGAGGAATAAAAAAAAAAAAAAAAAAAAGAAAAGAAAAATTTTGTACAAAATGGAATTCTTTGAATGGAAAGAAGATAATTTAATAATTGATGATGAAACGAAAAAAAGATTAAATGAAAGTATTGTAAAATACCAAGATGTATCAGACATAAGTCATCTTTTGAAAAGTTTTCGTTCCTTAAAATTTGATAATTTAAATTATCATTCAGACAAGTGTATTTTGGCAAGAGAATTTGCACTAATCTACATACTGACATATAAAAAACACATAGAATCATTGAAGGATGAAAATATACAACTAATTATAAGAACTATAAAAAGATCCGTAATGAGTGTTAATAACTTAATAAGTAACATAACAGAACAAATATTAAAATGCTTTAGTATTTTAAGAAATTTATACAATGATATTTTAAAATTAGATAATGTATATTTATCGGATTATTGCTTATTTTCAATAATAGATGGTATTCTGGGAATATTAAATGGTGAAAAGGCTAATCAGTCGAATGCTTCCATATGGGGTATTGCAGGATTTTTATCCCTTATTATTTCAAATTATAAAAAGGCATATTTTATTTATAAAGGTATCATAGCTTACAAGTGTATGTTCACAATTCCGCTTTTTTTAGAAGAATCAGAAGATTTAAAAAAAATGGCTAAGGAAGATTTATATAATATCATACTTAAGGAAAATGATGAAAATGTTTATTCCAATTTTTCACGTTTTGAAGAATTTACAAAATTACATCTTTCCATTTTTATAATTTTAAATGATACCAGAGAAGTGTGGAGTTACATATCGGAGTTGCTAAATAGTGCTTTTAGAAGAAAAAAGTACGTTTACTTTTGCCTAATTTACGCAGCTCTTGATGTTTCCTCGTACTATTGTAAAATAACATTTACTAGTCATTTCGAGAATTTATTATTCTTACTTAAAACAAAACTAATGCCTCTATTAGAAGGAGAATTAAAAAAGAACCCCCCTCCACCCAATGAAGAAAAAATAATAGAATATTATATTAAAAAGTTACATGTGGAGCATTTGGATAATATTTCAAATTCAACATTACCAGAAGGGGTAGTTGTCTTGCCCGACGAGAAATTGTTGTACATAGGGTTGGGCATATAACTGGGGAGATTATTCTTCATGTCCTCCTTTTATTGACACATGTACATCTTCCTTGCTTTGTTTTGTTTTGTTTGTTTTTTTCTTGTTTTTATGCTAAATGGTGAAGTGTATATACATATAGATATATGCACTGAGGTGGATGCTAAACATGTGTCATCCATTTGCAGTTATGGGGAAATATAAAAAAAAAAAAAAAAATCTACATCATATGTGCACTTTTTTCTACTTTTTTTTTTTTTTTTTTTTTATCAATTCATTTGTTTATAGTTTTATTTTTTCACTTGTTCGCCACAACATTAGTTAACCATATTTATTATTATTATATTTTTTTTTTCGTTTGAATTAAAAAATTTATTTGTCTTTTTTTATACACAGTGCAAGATTCGGATTGAATTTTTAGTTACTCCCGAAGGGAAAACTTAATTATTTTTAACTTTTGCTTATTCAGTAAATTTTTTTTACCCTAACTTGTGCATGATTATCAAGGTTAACATCATTTAACGTTGCGCTTATATGCACGCAATAGTATGGACGTTGTGAACGCACACGCGTATATCATATGTATATATATATATACATATATATAGGTGTTGAATTGGAACCTTTTTTTAACGTTCCACAGCACATCCCTTCCTCCCATGTGACTATTCGATAAACCCTTTTAAAAATGTATTAAGTTTTTTTTTTTTTTTTTTAGACCGTGTGCAATGTGTTCATATATAGTTCCAACTACAAACAGGAAAAACGATGTGTAATTAGATGAGTTAAGGAGTATATTAAATTATGTTATTCTGTGGGGAATAAGAATCTATGTATATTCTATATGTACGGTTCAATTTTCTTCTTTTTTATATGCATTTCTAAACATATTCGTTTAAAATACATAATTTTTTATTTTTCGAGGAAGAAATTAATACATGTCTCATACATAGGAGGGTATAAAAGAAAAGGAAATAATATTTGCATTATTATATCAGCATGTGTTATGCATAAGCTGTTGTTAACATGCACTTTCTGTTTTTCCTTAACAGATTTTATTTGTTTACGAATGGCCAAATATTTTTTTTTTTTTATTCATTATTAAGTTAAGACGTTAAGAAATTAAATATTGAAAAACTTAGCCTTTCTTTTTTTTTTTTTTTTTTTTTTTTGATGAAAATGTTGATATAATTGTTGTACGTATTTTTGTACCTATATTTATTATAAATAATATAATTGCTTTTTCTTTTTTTCTTTTTTTTTTCTTTGTAAAAAAATATATAGTTAAGTGTACACAAAGTACAGTATATGCGTTTTGGAAAACTTTTGTATTACCGCTGTGGTTTGTGGTACAATTTTTTTTTAAAGTTGAGCAATCGAAATCGAAGTTAAATTTTATTCAGAAAAACTGAATTAGTGGCTCATGCCATTGCATGAACGTACAATATATATATATATATATATATAAACATGCATATAGTTTTAATTGATAAACTTTAAATTTAAAAAAAAAAAAATGAAAAAAAAATATGTCCTCGAGGGCGCGCATAAATAATCGCATTCAAATAAAGATTGACATTTAAGCTAAAAAGTGTCGAAAAAAAAAGGCAAAAAAACTTTGTTACAATTTTTTTTTTTTTTTTTTTTTTTTTAAATGTAAAAGAAGCGTAAATCATTTTAACAATTTTTTTGTCAGACGTCTCCTCATTGTATTCATAAACAATCACATACACATAAGTACAAAATAAACGTACAAATGTATATGTAGTGCGTATCACATTCACTTCTATATAAGTTTTTACGCATGTTCACGAAAGGCATATCATGCAAAATGGCATTACTTGATTTTTTTTTTTTTTTTTTTCTTTTTTTGAATCTCTCTTTATTAATTTCAAGTTGTTTATAATAATATAGTGTAGTTTTTGACAACGATTATTTTATTCCCAATATTTCCTTTTGTTTGACAAGCAAAAATGTAAGTTTATTTATTATATACATAAGCACATGTGTCATATTGATTTAAATGTATTTGCCTATAAATATATATATACTTATAAATGTATATACTAAAAAAAGTATATACTTATATATATATATATATATATACACTTATAAAGGTATATGCATATAAATGTATACACTTATAAATGTACATCCTTATAATTGCATGTGCCCATAAACATATCTGTAATTAAAGTTTTGAAACAAGGTTACTTTCCCCTAGAATTAAACATTTCCCCAAGGGCACAAAAGTTCCTTGTTTTTCCTTCTTATTTTGTTTTTTTATACTTTTGACTTCTTGAGCATCAAGTTGCACAAGTTGTATATATATATATATATATACATATGAAGCTATATGTGTAACTTTTATATGCAGACATATATGCAAAGGGTATGTACATACACTGGTCATGCATGTACATATGTATACATATAAATGCACAAACACATATACGTATGAAGAGTTTGTTTTTTTTTTTTTCTTTTTTTCTTTTTTTTTGTTTATACATAACATATATATATTTATGTATATACATGTACGCAGGTATACTTCCTCATGTACCCGTAGGTATGTGCTAAATATGCACATGTGCTTTAGTAACCCTTTCATTACCCAACATAGTTGCAAGTCGATTTACTATAAGCATTTGGCAATGCATCCATTTAAAAAGTGTACCTACTTAGCATGATACTAAACATTTGTATTCCGTTAACATTTTGGAATATACACATATATTTGTGAAAGACACAATACAGAGAGTAGTAAAAATGAACTATGTACTTGTGTGTATATGAAATTATATATATACTTTACAAAATTCAGAATGAAAATATAAAAGATGACAGTTTTTTTTTTTTTTTTTTTTTTTCGTTTCTTCGAAAATGTTAATATGGAAATTTAGAAACACAACTTAATGTGTTTAAAAAAAAAAAAAAAAAAAAGGATTATAAACACTTTACATATATTTTTTAATTTAAATAAAGTGATATAAAGAAGTCATGTTTTTTTAATTCATTCACTATACGTTTTTTTTTTTTTTTTTTTTTTTTGAATAAACATTTATAATTAAATGTGTATATCTTATGCAAGTGTACGCATAAGTGGAGTGTGAAAACATATACAACGTATATGTGTATACAAATTTTTTCGTTTTTCATCACATTTAAGCATAGTGCATTGTTAAATTTTATTCTCATACGACTAATGCATGTGTTTATATCAATTTTTTTTTTTTTTAACTCATCCACCTTATTTGTCTTTCTATTATTTCCAATTTTCACATTTATGAACACTGCCAGAGGTAACATTTTATTGATTGGTTTGTGTGGAAAAAAGATGAAGTGGAAATAACAATAAAATAAGGAATAACATAATCTATTTAATTGTTTATTTCTTATTTCAAAAGAAGGCTTTATACATGTGCATATATATATATATATATATATATGTATGATAGGTATAACGCATCAGTCACTCAGGATACATTATACTTTGATATAAAATTTAAAAAACAATTTATCTCTGTTTTTTATTTTAATTTTTTTTTTTTTTTTTACTTAGTTGCTTTGCATTACGCATAAGCACATATATATGTAGATATCATACACCCGTCTATGCATACACATATATGTGTATACGCTCCACTTTAAAGAGTTTATACATATATATAAGCATGAACACACGTATATGCATAAGTATTATACGTGCTTATTTTGAGAGTAATTTGAACAGCCCCTTCATGTTACATTTTTATATAAACAAAATATACCAACACATTTTTGTTTGTTTTACCACATTATTCACGCTACACTTTGTTACTTGACCTTCCTCCTCCCCCTTCTGCCCATTTATCATTATTGCCATGTATATCTACACATATATATATATATACACTTTGTTATTGTTTTTTCTTTTTTTTAAATATGTCCCTATTAATATAAGGATAAAATAATTAAGGCAAGTAAAAATATATAATTAGTTAAGCACATAAATGTGTAAGTCTGTTTACATAAAATCACTTATGTACACAAGTACCTATGTATGCGTTAATTTTTTATAAAAACTGAATAATATTAATATATAAGATGTGCAATACATTATGGTTAACCATTTCAGATTTTTTTTTTTTTTCCATTTTTTTTTCCATGTTTTAGCAACTTTTTAGCCACTTTTTTTTGAGGGGAAGGGAAAATACAAAACGTTATACATGTTTATGTAATTTAAATTTTGTTTTTCCAGAACGCATTTGTTCGAATATGTATGTACATTTAAGCATATTTTCCAGTATAATTGTACATTCATACATAATTTGCACGTACATATAGAAGTTTTTTGTGTATATGCAGTTTTTTATGTGACACCCCTTTTTCCTGCATTTTTAATTAGAATCATGTTTTCTTGGGTTTACTGTAATATATATTTACGATCCGTTGAAAATCAAAATGAATTTAATAAAAGGTACAAAAAACAAAATGAAGAAGAATTTGCAGAATAAACATCTGAACAATAGTACAAAATGTAAAAAGGTTTTTAGTGCACACAGGATTAAACAGTTAGCGAAGGATAAAAAATTACTGGATGATGCTTTATTAGATTGTTATGGAAGGTTCATAGCTTTACTTCCAGAATTTCTACTAAAGGATCATGTGCATTTATATTTTCAAATTCAGGAAGCATATTGGTGGTATGATGATATGTGGCAAGAAAAATATCCTGACAAGTTGCCAAAATTAAGTTTAAAAATATTTGGTTATTTAATATGTGATGATTGTCCAATATTAAAAAAATATGTGCCACCATCAGCCCATGAGAAGTTTTCTCTAAATTGGAGAAGATATTGTAGAACTATACCTTTAAGAGGTGCAATTCTTTTAAATCATAATTTAAAAAAATGTTTATTAGTGAAAGGATGGAGTACAGATAGCTGGTCCTTTCCAAAAGGGAAGGTTGATGAACTGGAAGAAGATTCCGTTTGTGCATGCAGAGAAATTTATGAAGAAATAGGAATTGACATATTTCCATACATAGATGAACAGGTTTATATTGAAACTCATATAGAAGATCAGCCAATAAAATTGTTCATAATTCCAGGTGTAAAAGAAGAAACAAATTTTCAACCTAAAACAAGAAAAGAAATTGGTGCCATTCGATGGTTTGAAATAGAAAAACTTTTAGAGTATATAAATTCAAAAAATAAAAAAAGTATCCTCTTTGAAAATAAAAAGGAACGTATAAATGAGTGGTTTGTTGGTCCATTTATTCCGAATTTAATCAAATGGATAGAAATTTTAAGGAAATCTGTACATGCAAAGAAGCTAAAGGAAGGAAATTCCTACCTATCAGGAGGTATACAAGCATATAAATATCAAATTAGTGGAGTTGAAGAAGATATTATTAAAAAACTTCAGATCGTTAACTTGAATTCGAAAGAAATAATAAACATAGGTTTATTCAAGAGTGATGATGATTTAGAAGAATGTTATGATGAGAATGAAAAGTTGCTTATCGAAATGAACGAAGAAATTTGCATACAGGAGGAAGAAGATTTAAGATCGAATTCAAATTATGACAGTGTTATGGATTCCCCAATTGAAGAAAAAAATAGGGTAGCATTTACAAAAAATAGAGTTCGTAAGGATAGTAATCCCATTCCAAATAATGGTGATAATAAGATGATAAATAATATAAATATTGGACCAAATGTGGAACACTGCAACGCATATAAACATATGAAACAACAAATGGTTGCTAAGAAAGTTGAAGAAAATAAAAAAACAGATATGCCATTGCATTGTAGCACAGATTGCAAAGATTTTCGGAAAAATATGATGAATTCTCTTTTGAAGGAAAGTGCTTATGCTGCAGAAAATACATATAATAAGATAGGGATTGAATCCATTGGGAATAAAAAGGTATATGAACATGTAGACGATTCAATTGTGCCATTGAGGAGAACAGATATATTAAGAAGTAGTTTTGTGCTTTCCCCTGAGCCAGCTAATTTAAACGAAGTTCTAGGTGAAAATATTTATAGTGCAGATGTAGAAAAGAATTGCAACAGAAATTCGCTTAGAAGTACGTATAATAAAACGATTAGAATCAACAGTAGTAATTCGAAAAATATGAAAAATGAAACGCACAAAATTATTAGTTGTGGAAATGATTCATACCATCAGGATGAATATGAAGAAGCAGAGAAATACTGCTCTTCCATCATAAAAGATGTAAATAGTGGTGCAGGAAAAATTCTCCCGAAACAGATAAACCTAATGGTTAATAACCAGAATAAAAAAATCAGTATTAGTAGCAGTGGTAGTAGTAACAATAAAGTAGTATACCATGGAAAAAATAACAATGTATACAATAAAACATATAATGGTTATAATAGTTATAGGAATTATTATGTTGAATTTGATGAGTCAGGAACAAAGGGTCACAGATACGGTTTTAACAAAATGCGAATGGGAGGACATTTATCAGCTCTTCGATTGAAAGAAGTAGGCTTGAGAAGTTTTGATGATCAAGATATGGATAGAAGAAAAAATTTTCATTTACAAGTATATGGCAGTAAAGGTAAATGGAATAATGATAAGAAGGAAATACAAAATAAGCATAAAAAAAGAAATATGAAAAACTCTCACCATTCATTAGATGATTCCTCTGTGCATTATATACCAACGAAGAATAAAAAATTAGATGCATGCAATGATAAAACTTTTGGCCAGAATCATACCAATGGATGGAGTGCTGAGGATATGTTCAAGTTGAATGAAGAAAAATTCGGTATTCAGTCAACATATAATATAGAGGAATATACAACTCCGTTGTTGTATAATGAAGAGAAAACAAATAAATATATGAAGAACACATTGGTTAAAAATACGTTTAGTCCGTATCTTATAGGAAATAATAATAACAAAGGAAGTGATTACACTATTAAAATTAGTGGAGTTTCTGAAAAAACAAACATCGATGAGGGTATAATCTGTGGTAAAAGTAGTATCAATAATAATGACAGAAATGAGAAAAAAATTTTCATGCAATCGAAGAAGGAAAATTATGAACAAAATGAGAAGCTAAACATGAAGATGAACATGGATATCCCAACAAACAGTAATACACTATTAATGAATGGTAAAAATTTGAAGGATATATTAGATAATACAAAGAAAAGTATTAGCAGTGTTAGTAGTAATAGGAGCAGTAGTAGTAGAGGAGGAGGAGGAGGAAATAGTTTTTTCGAAAATGGTTTAGTCAAGAACACTGATACAACAGGTGTGAACTATATAAAGGGATATAATATCCATTGTGAACCCAATAGAGATACAATTTCAAAAGGAGGCAGAAAAATGGACAATTTTGTTGGTCCTAGCCATGTTAACAATTTAAATCGTATCAATTGTATAAATGATACAACAAATAAGCTAATTAGTAGAAGTAAAAATTCTAACATGAACTTCATCCCTGATGTTATCCACACGGAAGAAAGAGACGAAAAGACTAATACATTAAGCAAAAGCATAGCAGGAGTAGATGCAAAAACAAGTGATCATCTAAAGAGTTATAAGATGAAGGATGGTAGTAGTAGCAGTAGTAGTGCCACGCAGAATAGACTAAATGACGGTTCCTGTTTAGGAACAACAAATAACATTAAGCCTTGGGATGAGAATCTAAGCATGGGGAATGTGAACGAAAAAGAAATTGAAAATTGCTTCGATTTGCACAAAAACGAATTTGTGTACAACCAAATGAGGAGTAAACAGGGATATGAAAATAATGTCAAGGAGAGCAGTAGCAATGTTAATATTTTGAATGAATATTTAAAAAGTCCAGATTATAAAGATCCGAAGATGAAAATTATTTTGGATGATGTGAATTATAAAAATAGCAGTACTTCTTATGATATGGGTTATATAAATACTATAAAGGAAAATAACTCAACTAGTAAATTGAACAAATCGAAATATGGAAATAATACAAATGTGAACACAAAATATAATGAAATGTATGAAAGTGACATTGAGTATAGAAATACACTGAACACTAGTTATAAGGAAATCGCAAATGTGAAAAATATATTAACAAAAACTTATATAAGGATGAATAAAGAAACGAGTGAAAAAAGGGAATATAATGACTTAGATTATAAAAAAACGGATCATTATGAAAACAATCAAAATGGAAATATTAGTGCGAATATAACTGACAAAATTAGTAATAATAATAATAGTAATAGTAATAGTAATAGTACCAATGAACCAGGAAAATATTTGTTAAATTTAATTAAGGGAACTGGTAAATTAGAAATGGCAACAACTATTCCAAATTCGATGAAGAATAATCAGAATAAAATCAACTGGACAAATGCTGTTTCAGAAAACAATGTTAAAGCGTTAAGTGAAAAGGAAATATTGTCCAAATTCTACAATAATGAGATTAATAATAATATTTTTATGAATAATATTAACACATCACAATCCTCATTGAAGTGTAAAAAAAATTCCTTTAATAATGATGAAAAGTACGATATCTACAAAAATGTTATATCAAAGGAAAATATAAAAATTGAGAATAATAGAAACAGGAGGAGAAATGTTGAAAATTTTATTTATGATGGATCTAATAGGAGCAATCTATTGGAGGAGAAAAATTTTAACGAAATGGAGATGATGGAAAAATTATCGAAACATCTGAATAGTTACAACCCATTCGAGTGAGTCTACTTCAACAAGTTTGAACGATTTATAATTCGATGGCTTTTATATGTGTGCTCCCTCAGTTTTTAGGGATGTTTATGAAATATTTGCGAAAAAAAATAATTAATGAAAATGACTGTGTCAAATAGAGATGCCGTGTTTTTATAGTTACACAGAGAGACCAACGAACGTAACAGCAGAGTTAAAGGAAGAATATATCAGAATTTCAGCAGGTTTAGTAAAAATGACAACATGTGGAAAGAGATACTACAGAACTTCTTTGATAAAAATTATGTAGAAAGAGTAGCTTATTTGCTTGAGCACTATTCGTGGGCTAAAGAAGTTTCGTTGGTAGTAATATCATATGGGTTAATCTGAGTGTAGACATGTACATTTATTCATATCCATCCATTTATATGTGCACGTATCCATGTGTGTGTGCACGTATCCATGTGTGTGTGCACGTATCCATGTGTGTGTGCACGTATCCATGTGTGTGTGCACGTATCCATGTGTGTGTGCACGTATCCATGTGTGTGTGCACGTATCCATGTGTGTATACTTTTTTTTTTTTTTTTATCGAAACCCATGTATTATGTTATTAACAACGTTGTGATGTTTGGGTTGTACTACCACAAAGCGATGAAAGATATATGAGTTGTTACTGAATGTGTGTACTCAAATCATGTGTATATATTTTTGTATATACATTTGTATTTGTGTATGCGGAAAAATTTTAATTTTTAATGATATCTCAGTTGTTAATAACTATAACAATGTAAAACTTGTTAATTTTTTTTTTTTTTTTTTTTTTTTTTTATTTGATGTTTTACGTTTTTATATATTAATAGACAATGATACATTTTAATTTATTTAATGTATTTTTCGAATGTTTTGATTACAACGAAAGCGATGAATTTGGGTTGTAGTTTCTTTGTATAATTAAAAATGCAGTATTCACATATGCATACATATGTATATACATACACATATGTGTGTGTTTCCATATTATCATTAATTGTTCATTTTATATTTTTCGTTATATCATTTAATCATTAATTTTTTTTTTTTTGCATATTTATATATCAAAATTTATGTGCACTTGTGTGTGTCTATGAAATACGTTTAACGTTTGTAGTCGTATGAGGTAGTATGTCCATATGCGAACATATACCCCTCAGTAGGACATGTTCATATGTATGTGCATATCTATGCTTATATTCGTGTACCTATTTGCTTTATAATTGGCATGTACACATGTATAGGTTTTGACAGAAATGTGTGTAAATGCACTTGTCCTTGTTAGCCTTCTTTTTATATGAACACACATCTCATGAATACATCTGCACTTGTAGTAGTATTTTAAAAATTGGTATAAGCTTTTATTATAGTTAAAGTTACAGATATATTTATGTCTACAACTGTTCATACACCGTGCTTTATGTTTATTTTTATAATTATTATAATAATAATTACTAAGCAGCAATGTTTTATTCTTTTTTTTTTTTTATTACACGATAAGCACGTTATAAATGCAATATCTTTAAGAAAAAAAAAAAAAAAAAAAAAAAAAACAATTTTTAGCATTTTTTATTTAAAAAAATTTTTTAATTTTTTTTTTTTTTTTTTTTTTTTTTTTTTTTTTTTTTTTTTTTTTTTTTTTTTTTTTTTTAAAAAAAAACACTTTATAAATGAAAATTTTTTAAAAAAAAAAAAAAAAAAAAAAAAAAAAACAATATTTAGCATGTGTCATTTAAAAAAATCTTTCAATTTTTTTTTTTTTTTTTTTTTTTTTGCTTAATTTTTAAGTGTGTTTCGAATGTAGAATTGTACTTACGTGCTTTGTGTTGTCGTAAATTATCTGCACGTTTTGCGTGTTTGTTCGTTTAGGTGTGCGTTCGAATTTGTGAATGTATCCATTGCAATAGAATTTGCATAATAAACATTAATGTTCTTGTGTCTTCAAATTTTTTTTTATTTGGAGAGGTCGGAGGGAACAATTAGATATTATTAGAAATATGCAAAATAAGTTAACAATTTATTCAATGCAATATAAAATAAAGGAGGCAGACTATCCATATAAGAGTAAGTATATGTATGAATATATGTATGTATGCATGTATGTATGTTTTTTTTGTATCAGTTTGCTTTGACAATTTCATCGCACGACAATAAAGTATCAGAATGAAAAAATGAACCCGGAAGTAATTGCTATATACATTAAGGTATGCATATAGTTATATTGAGGCTGAAGGATTAAAATAACATTTATAATATTTGCTCAAAATTTTGCGTGAACATTTTAAGTTTAACATGGTAGAGAAATATTTGTACTATGAACAACTGAAGGGAAGAAGGTATAAATGAGTTGTTGACACAAAACAAGAAAGAAAACATAGTGTAATAAGATTATGTCTCCATCTGCTTTATTTCTATTATATTAACTTAAGATTTAAAAAAAGAAAATGCTTCGATGTACGGAAAAACAGGGGCACAATATGTCGCTATCGTTTTGACATAAGTACGACAAGCATGAAGAGAACAATTCCAAAAAGTCACTTCATTTTACTTTTAAAAAAAATATAGAAAAAATATAATTAACCGAGGAATCCCATTTTGTTGTGATGTTATATAATCTTTATTTTTGTTTTTTTTCTTTCATTTATATCCCTTTTTTGTGTTAAATTTTTTAAAGTTCTTTTTTGTCTACCCCACTTTTCAACCTTAATGTATTAGTTAACCTTTTGGAAGGCCACTTTGTGCATTGTTTATTGGTACGTATGTATGCATACATAAATTACTATTTAAAACTATTAAGGAACTTATTTCTTTTGATTGCCATCAGCACTATTCTATGTTAAAGTATTATTAATACCGTTGGCGCAACAGTATTGTGAAAAATAAGAAAACCCTTTTAACTCGTTAAGAATGAAACAATTGTCGTTCTTTTGTTTTTGACCCTGTTCTGATTATGTACCAAATAATTTGTTATTTTTTTTAAAAGTTTGCATGCATATATAAAAGTGATGGAAGACAGTGTATTAAATGAGCACATACAGCACTTTAAAGGTACAGGAAAACATCAGAAGATTCTCTTCAAATTGTTGCATTATATATATATCTGTGCATGTGTAATAGTTCATTTGTGTAAAAGTCATTAAGGCGTGCAAATTCTAGGAAAACCACACTTTTTTTTTTTTTTCTTTTTTTTTTTCCCGCCTTTGTCATTTTATTCCGTTTAATTCGTTTGGTATAAATAGCTAAAAGGAAGTTGCTACTATGTGTTACAAAGATTTATAAAGAACACATTAATAAATGAAATAAAATAAAGTAATATAAAAATGAAAAATGAAGAAAAATATATTAAATAAAAATTTTTTTGTTGAAGATAGTTTCGGAATAATTTTTAAAGAACAATTTTGCCCTTAAATATTTCACTTGGGCTACACATAATTTTAATATTAAAAGCACATGTGTCATCCACTATATACTTTAACAACTTTTATGTTTCTTCATTTTTCCGTATGCTAGTGTTGGAGAATATGCACCAAATGTTCAGGTGAAATTTTCTCCCCTAGTTGGAAAATTAATTAAGATGAAATTCTGAAAAAAAAAAAAAAAAAAAAAAAAAAAAAAAGAGAATATTACATCAACAGTTTTCTCCTTTTTGCAACTCTTTCAAGTGTGTTGCTTTTGATAAGCACATTTTTTAAAGAGCATGCAAATGAGGATCACTTCAGCGTGGAGCGCTCCTTTTAGTGAGTCAAGCATAAGAGCTACTTGACGCGAGCGTCAAAAAAAAGGAAGAAAAGGAAAAAAAGAAAAATACGACTTTCATGTGGCTGTCAAATTCGCATCATGCATATCTTTCCCCATTTGAATCTAGAAAGAAAAAAAAGAAAGAAAAAAAAAAAAAAAAAGGAAAAATAAACCATGCATATTACATTAAAAGTTTTTTGTTGCTTCATGATCTTGAAATATATTGGATACACTACCAGTTTTTTTGTAAGTAAGACACATGTTTTTCATCTTACTGTGATTAAGCAAGACAACAGACAAGAATACACTCAAAAGATATATACCAAGTACAAGTGTGCTCCTGTGAAAAAGAAAAAAATCTTTTTAAGGGGGAAGGATTCGGAAGAAATTGACCAAACGGACGAAACGGAAGCGACGGGTGACGGTGACTTGGGAACTCATATCTCGCAAATAGACAACACTGGGTTGAAGGAAGTTAAATTGGGGAAAATGAAAAAAAAAAAAAAAAAAAAAAAAAAAAAAATTAATTTGCTTAAATGTAAAACATGCAACAAGACATTAAAACCGAGTAGGAACAAAAACACAAATGCGAAATGCAAGAATGAGTGTATGAATCTTTGTGTTGATATATTTGTTCATATACTCGTGAAATGGTTAACCCATGTTGTACACATATTACCATAAGGAGATGTTGAATATTAATGACCTCCTTTTCCCTTGGTCCTATTCTTAGGAGTAAAGTTTTGTATTTACTGTGGCACGAATGTATCAGTGGAGAAAATTAAATTAAAAAAATATATAGAGGACATTTACTTGCCGCTCAGGTATGTGTCTTTTCTTGCACATGCATTTGCAAGGAAGGAATAAAAAAATACAAATGGAATAACAATGAGTAGTGATAAATTGGCTTGTACTCACGTCTTCATTTTTTTTTTTTTTTTTTTTTGTTGCAGAAAGGAGGAAGTAAGTGATAATACGTACAGGGTAGAGAAGGGCTTCTGGAATGACATTTTATCGGTAAAGCAAACAAGTTCAAATTTTATTTTTTCTTTGCTCAAAATTTGTTACCTTATTATTTTAGGAAAGTTTCACCATTTTTTTTTTTTTTTTTTTTTTTTTTTTTTTTCTAAAGAAACTAGGAAAACATGAGCTGCATGAATTAGGACCAAACAACTGGGAAAGTTTTTTAAAGTATATTTTTGTATCACAACCAAGTATACATATTAACGAAAAAACAGAATTAGAAAATGTTTTTGCATTTTTTTGCGAACCTTTTTTCGTATAAGTGTCTTATTTTTTTTTTTTTTTTTTCCTCAATTTTTTACCAATATCTTTATAGATACTTAAAATCAAAAAATTGTTCACCTAGGACGATGGCCTTATACCAATCCACGTATCAAGTAGGACAAAACTAGACTCACTCAAAGGATATATATATTGAAATATAAATGATGTCCTTCTCTTTTTTTTTTTTTTGTCATAATTAAATATATGTTTTTTAAAATAGCACGTCTCTACCTGGTTCTCTAATTTTTTTTACGTTTCTATATGCATGCAGCAATCACTGAAATATGCATTATATCGGGACTATCTAAAAAGCGTACACAATTTTCGTAAAATTAAGAAGAGCACGATTCCAAGAAGAAAGATTATTCCTTTGTCCCCAAAAGAAGTATGTAAAAAGGGTATCTTCCAATCTTTGGAAATAAATAAAATAAAATAAACAAAATGAGATGAGATGAAAGAGATGAAGCCAAAAAGATCATCGTTCAAGTATATTTGCACAAGTTCACCTTCACTCCACTATTCTTGCTCGTTCCAATAAATTTTTTCCTTTTCTCTCCACATGATTTTAAATTTTCTTATTACAGATAGAATTGCTGCTAAACAATAGTAGTGAGATGCACAGGGCAATATTTGCCTTAAGTATAGGTATTAGCACATTACAACACATTTATAAGTATTCCATTAGTGAAAACTATATTTTTTCGACATTTGTTTTTATAAAATCATATGATTTAACAAAATTTATAAAGGTATAGGATTACGTCCATCTGAAGTCTTACGAATTTTTTGGGAAGATATAAATTTTGAAAAAAAGGAAATTTTCATTAAAGGACAAAAAACAAAATATAGTAACACGGCAATTCCTATGACAAATTTTGCCTACAATGAATTGATGAAATGGTATTCCTACATTGTATATTTGTGTGCACATTTATACTATTAGTTATATTATAAGTCTTATATTTTTGACTATTTCAATATTTGTTTAATTGTTTTATTTTTGAAATAGGTGGGAGATAGAGAATAGGCCACTAAAGGGACTATGTTTTTACTCTGAGATTATAAAAAATAAATTTAATTACACAAACAAGAAGACTCAATTAAGTATGTTTTGTTTTAAAAAATATAAACAATATTGTCAAAAAAAAAAAAAAAAAAGAAGAAAAATAAAGAAAAAAAAAAAAAAAATGCATGTATTTTTCAAAATTCCTTATCCATTACACACACCCTTAAATGTTTACACATAGACATTATATATGTAACAAATAACATCTGGTCATTTATCTATTCATTATTCAATTTTATTTTTTATTTATTTCTGTTTTTACATTTTTACAGAAACGTTTAAAACAGCACTAAAGGGGGCAGCCAAACGGTAAGGAAATGTTTATCACATTTTTAATGTACAATGAAATGATATTATAATGCGTGCTTGTGTATTATGCACACATGGAATAACCACTATGTGCTGAATTTTTTCTTCAGAGCTGGACTGGAAATTAGTGAAGACGGAAAAAAAAGAAGAATATTCCCCTACCTTCTAAGGTAATAAAAAAAGGAGAAAAATTAAATAAAATAAATAAAAAAAAAAAAAAAAAAAAAAAAAAAAGATACAGTCTTTTTTTTGCCACAATTTCATTTAATCCTGATCAAATGTTTAAAATCTTTTGTTGCTACAATATTGATTCCACCTTTTATAGGCACTCATTTGCAACTATAGCTGCAACGTCAAATCCCCCTGTCCCTTTGCCTGTAGCACAAGTATGTTCTTACGTTTATTCAGTTGAGACCTTTGTATATATATGTACTTTAGTAAAACATAAATTTTTTTTTTTTTTTTTCTTTGGGGGGGGGGGGGGGGGGGGGAGGGAGAGCTCAATTTCCTCATATATACCAGACAATATAACTTTGAAATTTTTTCTGTGCAGGCAATTATGCGTCACTCCTCGTCAAAAATGTTATTAGACACATATACAAAAGCGGGAAATAACATAATCAGGGATGGCTTGGATAACTTCAAAATATAGGGGGATGTCTGATGGAAATTCCTGCATGCAAAGCGCGTTTGATTAAATTAGCATTTTTAAATTTGTTTTATTCCACGTGTATGTATATATATATATATATATATATATATATATATATATATATATATATATATATACACTCAAATGTACGTATATTGTTACCTACTAAACTAGTGAATTCCTAATTTTTTCGTCAATCTGTTCTTTTACATATACGAAAAAAAATTCTGTACATTCTCTGCCATAATGCAGAAGTTATGTAATTTTTATCATTTGTGTTTTTCTATTTTTGTATTTTCTTCTTCATCAACACCACATATATATATATATATATATATATATATATATATATATATATATAGTCATATTTGATTAAGAAATAATTTTTTTATGTCTGCATAAATTGTTATGCACTATTTTGTTATTTCACCTTGTTATTTCGTATTGCCACAACATAACATGTGTTGTGCTAAACCACTGTGTACTATATTATGGTATATACATTTTATCCCTGTTTTTTCCTACTTTTTCTTCTTCATCTTCTTTTTCCATTTTTTACCTTATGGCACACCCATATCGTAACACTTTATTTTATAAAACAGTTGAATAATATATATATTTTTTTTTTTTTTCTATCTTTCTATTTCGTATGAAACACAACCATTCGTATTCTTTTATGAACCCAAATGAAATGTTACCCATTTATAATGACAACTCTTAGTCACTAATATTTTTCATCGTGTGTTAGATTATAACCCTCCATTTTAATACAATTCTCATCCTTATCAATGATCTAATTTGCTTTATCAGCCCCATCGTTTTGGCTTTTCATATCATTTTGATTTTCTTCATTTTGGCATAAATTAGACTGCTGAAAAATATTGCCATCTACTTTGTTCTCCTCATCACTAGATGTTTCTTTTTCCCCTATTTTTATATCTTCCTCAGAGGAAATTTCCTCCATTTTTTCTACCTCTTCCGTTTTCTCTACTTCTTCGATTTTTTCTACCTCTTCCGTTTTCTCTACTTCTTCGATTTTTTCTACTTCTTCCATCTTTTCTACTTCCTCCATTTTTTCTACTTCTTCCGTTTTCTCTACTTCTTCCATTTTTTCTACTTCTTCCATTTTTTCTACTTCTTCCATTTTTTCTACCTCCTCCATTTTTTCTACTTCTTCCGTTTTCTCTACTTCCTCCATTTTTTTCTTCTCCCTATTCATTAAAACCAAAGTTCTCCTCCTGCTTCTATCGTTTCCTAAAACATCAATACCTGAAAGGTTTTGATTATTTTTGTCCAAAGAATTTTCCTCCGTTGAATTACACTTAAGTTTGCAATTCTTAGTAGCCATATGTTTAGGGTTATTTAATTCTTTTGAACCTGCCCTTTTGTGAATTTGGACATGTTGATTCCCCTTTTTTTTCTCATCATGTTCCTTTGATGTATTAAAAAAGGAATTGCTGAGAACATTGGATGCAATGTTAAATATGGAATTTAATTTTTCAGTTTCCATAAATAAATTATAAATATTACTTTTTGTTTGATCTTTTAAAAAATTGGAATTTTCATCCTTTTTTTTTTCTTTGTTGTTATTATTTATATGTTGTCCTACATCTTTACCATAATTTCTGTACGCATTTTCAGTATTGTTTGTATCTATTCTATGAAAATTTTTATCTTGCCCCAAATGTGTATCACTGCATGTTGTTTGATCTGAGACCTTTTGAGGTGTATTGTTAGGTAATGCATAACCATATGGAACATGCGTACCTGGAACCTCTTCAACAACATCAGGATCTACGTATGTTGTTCCATAACATGGTTTATGATGAACATTCTTTTCATTGTCGAAATTGTTGTAGTCCTCGGTTGATTCATTGGTTGTGTCATTGGTTGTTCCATCGGTTGTTCCATCGGTTGTGCGCTTAAGGGGGGCATAAATCGACGGTGTTGACTTTTTATTTTCAAAATTTTGGCTAAATTCTGTTTTTACATTATTCACAATATCTTTTATATGATTTTCTAAATTCTTATTCTCTTCATCTAATATTTTATTTTTGTATTTTAATAACTCCAAATTATCAGAAATAATTAACAAAGAATTCTGCAACTCTATAATCCGCCGAATGAGCTCCTTGTTGGAAATTTTTTCCAACTTGTCGTCATTTAGTGAGTTCATTTGTGGGAAAAAAAAAAAAAAAAAAAAAAAAAAAAGTTCCCCACTTCTGTTTGGTGCTCAATCAAGGGAGCCCTCGTAAATTAGGTCAACCACTTGAAGATTACACGTTCGCAAAAATTTAGTAATTACACATGTGAACAGTAAGAACATTATATCTTTACATTTAAAATACTTGCACCTCTGCATATATATGCATGCATATACATATATATATATATATATATATATATACACCGTAGTACTGCAATTTTCTATTTTGTAATTCATGAATAAGTCATTGAAGCCCCTTTATTCTGTACTAACATAAATTGGGGGGAGAAAAAAAAAAAAAAAAAAAAAAAAAAAAGGATAATACCTGAATTTTAAATGTTAGCATGAATATTATTTCAGTTAAATGTGAAAAAAAAAGTGTTTCCCATTAATGATATTTTTTCCTTCATTTACATATGTCAACATGTGAAAAAGCAATAAACGAATGAGTGAAAATACAAGCAATAGAGCCCAATGAATGTGCACGGCAGACTGCCCACACAAGTTGCAAACCTGCGTTGACCCTTTGCGCAGCACACGGGGGGATGCCTATCGAAAAGGCTGAAAAGGTTGAAAAGGTTGAAAAAGTTGAAAAGGCTGAAAAGGTTGAAAAGGTTGAAAAGGCTGAAAAAATTGGAACGGTTGAAAAAATAGAAATAGGGTAAAAAAAAAAATTCATCAAGCGAATAAAGTCAAAAAAATAAGACAAATCGTAACAAGTGCATAAGGGGGGGGGGGTGCAACAAGATAAAAAAAAAAAAAAAAAAAAAAAAAAAAAAAAAAAAACAGAAAACAAAACAAATATACATGTATATACGTGCCAACAAGTTTCCTTTTACGCGGTTCAGAAAAATGTGAAGAGAAAAATAGGGAAGCTGAGGATTGAGTTTCAGTGGAACAAGTGAACCTACAAGTGGATCTACCAGTGTGCATCACATATCGTCCTTACGTTACCCTCACAAACGGTCGCCACATCAGGTGCTCTGCCGATCGAGGGGAAGATAACCCAGTGCTTCTTTGGAGAATTCCCCTACTGAAACATGCACAATGGAAAAAATAAGAAATAGGAAGTTTCCTTTTGCACATTTGAACAAAAGACTTTACATAAGCAGTGCGGAAGAAATCGTGAAGACAACAAGCTGCAGAAACAAAAAAAACAAGTTCAAAAATATATATATGGATTTTTCACTAAATAAATATCTCAACATAAATAGTTTAAATGTAAACAAGTTCATTAAAACTCCAATACATTATCAAACATTTAAAGAACTTGTTGATACAATAAAAAGTGTGAGTAATGTGAGGCTGCAAAATATCCATTTGATACGAAAAATTGTGAATTCGTTGGAGATGTACTTAACAAATTATTTAAACAATTTAAGCAACATACAAAATTTAAACCATTTAACGGGTATAAATGTTTATAATGATATGCACTATTATGAAGATAATTTTTCCAATTTAGATGATAATGATGAAGATGAAAATAGTATAACTGCAAATAATGTGGTTACTGTTTTAGTTAGCTTGTATAAGCTAAAATATCGAAATGAAAAGTTTTTACAATTGTTAGAAAAGTATATATTTGTTAATAAAGAGAAGTTTAAATTTTCTCAAATTAATTTAATTCTGTATATTTATTCCTATTTTAATATAGTAAATAAAAAGTTCATAAATTGCCTACTTGTAACTATTTTAGACAATAAAAATATGCTAAATGCAGATAATATATTGAATATTTTCACTTCATTATTTTACTTAAATTGTAAAAATGAAAAAACGTTAGATCGTTTAGCGAATTACATCATTTCGAATAATTTACATTTCGATATCAATGTCATTATATTTCTTCTAAATAATTTGAAAAAATTAAACTATTCTAATACTTGTCTTGTTGAATACTTTCACGAACAAATAGTTCTAAAGTTAGGTTTCCTTTCTCCTCAGGCAGCACAAAGCAAAAATAACTCTGTTGATCCTTTTTTTTTGAAGAGGAAGATTCAAAATATTCTTGATGAAGAGAATAGTGAAAGTGGAAATATCCAATCGATTCTATGCAAGAACGATGTCATAGATAGTGCCCCTTCTAACTGTGTGTTTCTGCATTTGAAAGATGATAAGAACGAAGAGATAATATCAAAAGAATCATCCCGAAATTATGATAAAGAAAAAAATTACAACATGTGTGAAGAAGATATAAATAATACATACGGGTCAATACACAACAAATATATTGTGGAAAACAATTACGTAGATTATATTTACGAATATTATAATAAAAAAGATTTTGAAGATAGAAATAAAAGCAAAATAAATATCCTAATGGAAGTGCTCATATACTATAAATATTTTAAAGAAGATTTATTAAAAGTATTATATGAATATTTAATGAATAATTTAAAAACATATATTAGCCAGAACGACAATAACATGTGCTGCATTTTATCAAAAATGTATTCTTTTGAAATAAATAATTTTCCAAATATTATTATGCTCAATAAAAAGATGTTGCTAAGCATGTGTTATTATTATGTCCCTATTTATAAAAATACCAATATAATGATTTTTTTATATTTAAAATTGTTGCTTGAAAAGCATAATTACTTTAACATTTTTATTGATAATATAATAATAAAAAAAATACAAACAGATTTCCTAAATCTGAATCAAGATCAATTCTTAAATCAACTCAATGAGTGTAAACATTCTTATGTGATCAAATACTTATGTGACATTTCTTTGGTTTATTTCAACTTTTTCAATGTAAAATGTTTTAGCCATCATTCAATAAAGGAGGATATAAAATTACACATATCTGAAAATTTCGCACACCATCTTGCATCATCTTCTCCACCTTCATCAGTACCTGCACTGAACACCACACACATGGTTGAAGACAAAAATGTAGAAATCACATTCGAATTTAACGAAAAAAATGAATTATATACCTATGATAGGAAATTCTTATTACAACTTTTTTATTTTTATGTTGAAGTGAAGTACTACAAAGGGATATTTTTATTTCTAAAAAGTTTATTTTCTGGGATCAAAAATTTTAAGGAGTTTGATCCATACGTATACTACAAAATTAACAATTACTTTTATGATGATAGAATGGCTAATCATGGCCTCGATGTGCAAAAGTCTAACATATACATCAAATTAAATGCGTTAGAAGTTATACAAATATACGAATATTTCAAGAATGCCTTTGAGTCATATGAAGATTTTCTCTCCATACAACGTGATTTAATAAATGCAAATCACGAAAAAACCTTATATTATCAATTCTACGTACGTAGAAAGGGTGATACCAATGATTGCAAAATGGGGGTTACTACTATTATCCCACCTTCTGCTCAGGCGACGAAGAAAGTTAAACATTCCATTCAAGATGCAAATGAGAACCAAAATGGTCTAGTTAGCAAATATTTATTTACTCAATCGAGTGTTAACTACATTAGTAGAAATTGTTTTGGTGCTAAAGAGAAATGTGAATTGAATCCTAAACTTGGAAATTTCTTCGATAAGGGAAAGCAAAAAGAGAATATTCCTTTGGAGAAGAAGAAATGGAATGATGAATTAATAGGAAGCGAAGGGAGGAATGGTCATACAGGAGAGAACGAAAAAATTTGTTTCGAGAAAAGCATCTTCCACATAGACACCTACATATATAACGTTCTTAATAACACATTCTTATATACCCCAGTGGATTTGTTCGCTTTACACATTCACCACTTCAATTCTCAGAATATATTTTTTTTGCTACAGAACATTATTTTCAAATTAAACTACCTGAACATTAATTATTTATCCTTGGTAATTTCCAAAATTTTTTCCCGAATGTGCAAAGAAACTTGTCGTGAAACAAAAAAAAGATATTTTGTCTTTTTAGATTTCTTCCATGATTATCTATTGGGCGACGAAAGTGGTAGCCAAACATTTTCTTATCAGAAGAAGAGCACAGAAGGGATAAAAAGTTTCACATACTTAGAATGGAATGAGAAAAGATTGGTTATAAGTAGAATTTACGAAAAATGTATAACCAAATACAAAGACCAAGACAAGGTGAAAAAACGTATTGCATATATATTATGCAAAAATAAGGGTTATTCGAAGTACATAAATAATGACATAATTTTTGATGAAGAATTTCTGAATTTTTTTTTTCAACTTGTTTTGGAAAAGAAAACTCTTTTTCAATGTTCCTATTATAAAATGACGAATGAGTGTTTATTTTTCATACTTAAATCTTTACAAATGGGTAAGAAAAATGCAAAGTATATGCAGAGTGTCAACATAATAACAAACATATTTATGTTCAGGTATATTCATTATAAGCACCGTGATCAACTAAGTAGTGAGGAATTATCAAAAAAATGCACCTCTGAAAATTTGCAATTTTTGGATCCTTATATTATAGATATAGTGAATGCAGAAAGGGAATTGTGTCTAAATTTGAATTTATCCCTAAACAGGATGAATAAAAAGGATACTTCGAACAATCAGATCCCACAGAACGCGAGTAGAATGGATAATAATGTTTGGGATCGAAGATTTGAATATCAATACAACACCCACATTACAGACAAGAGTGCAAGGGAGAATATCACACAAAAGGGAGCAACGACCTTTGATCGAAGTTCAACCATTGGAAGTAACATAAATGAGGAATATGAAATGATGAAGAAAAGGAATACATTGAAAAGATTCATAAAGATATATTATACAATTGTTAAAGTTCGATATTTTCATGAAATGCCTATAAATAAACATATATTTCGTGAATTGTGCTTAAACACAGATTATATCGATAATAGCATCTTTTTGAATTTGCTTTTTTTTATACATAAATACAAATTTGAAGAAATGAAATATATATTAATGCTGCAGAAAAAATGCTTACTATATAAAGACTTATATTATACGCATTCGAATTGTAGGGTCGTAGAATTTCTTTGTAAAAAATTAAAAATAAATTTGGAAGAAAATGTCAGGACTACTCCAACTAAGCAAACATCGTACGACTATGAAAATGTGTAGTACAAAAAAAAAAAAAAAAAAAAATCTAAATAAAAGAAAAAAGGGGAATAGGGGAAGGAGATGCACATGCAGCCAAAAAAAAAAAAAAAAAAAAAAAAAAAAAAAAAAAAAAAAAAAAAAAAAAAAAAAAAATCTAAAAAAAAAAAAAAAGGGGAAAAGGGGAAGGAGATGCACATGCAGCCAAAAAAAAAAAAAAAAAAAAAAAAACAAATAAATAAACAAACAAGCAATAAATAAAGAAGCAATATATAAATAACAGCTACGTAAATAAATGTTTGTATATTAGCGTCTATAAAAAAAGGGGACATATATATTTGGGAAAATAAAAAAAATATACTTCTCCATCCTTAAGCCCAAGTTGTTCAAAAAGTTAAAATACCCAAACGGATGATATTAACATGAAAATTTTGCGTGTTTCGGAAAAGTGGACAATTTTTTTATTTATTTTTTTTGCTAGTCGTGTACTGCCATTCTTTTAGGTAATTTTGCGTTTGTTTTTGTGTGTCCGGCATTTTAGAACTCTCACACATTTTTGTCATGTAAATTAGGGTTCGGTTAATTTCGTGTAGTGACATCTTGAAAGTTGATTTTTTTTTTTTTTTTTCTTTTTTTGTTTCAGTTCAAATGTTCATCACCACTGTGCCATAACACCCCATGCTGTGCATATATATATATATACATGAATACCTACATGATTTTTTTTTTTTTTTTTTTTTTTTTTTTTGGAACACACCTACGAGTTGACCCCTCACCGCATGCATAAAAATACAGTGTTCTTTTTGTTTTGAGCAATCGCGATGCTTTTTCAGTCTTGTGGTGTTGAAAACTTCTATTTTTTTATATTTATTCTCCTTTTCTTTTTCTCGTAAATTTATGAACATGTAAAACACGCATTATTTGTATCAAGTGGTTTGGGGTGTTCCCATTGTTATGTTTTTTATCATGCACTTTTTTTTCTTTTTTTTTTTTTTGTATTTTGCTTGAAAGTATTTAAAAAACAAATTATAGTTTTTTTTTTCCCTTTATAAACCACACATTTCTGCGTAATTTTGTGTGTATATATACTCGCAGACATATATCTGCTTGTCGTCGTTTGAACGAATAAACATAGAGGTAGATCAACACACAAGTTAGTACACAAATGAGTAAGTAAACAAAAACGTAAATACAAAGTGTATATTGGAAAACACACATTTGGGGTATTACATTTTCTGCGTTTTGGCACAAATCCCAGGTGTACATGAACTTACCCATTTATATATAGAGAAATATAAGTATATATATATATATATATATATATATATATGTACATGGCCAAAAATGCTCAGCACCAAGGCAGAAATAATTCTTTAAAGTGTTTTCCCTGTATATTTCATATTATTTTATTCAGCTATTTATATCTATTATAAACTGCATCCCTTTTTGCTTCTACAAAACTTTCACACGAACATTATTTAGCAAAAAAAAGGTGTCGAAAAAGTGGAGAAAATGCTTAGAAAGAGTTAGAAATATGTTTTTTTGTTTTTTTTTTTTTTTTTTTTCACCAAAGTTACATATTTATTGCTCACATTGGGTACGTAGGTGAAGAAATCCAACGTAGAATTTGAAATTAAGGGTATGTAATACGAAATCCTACAGGGATCTTGCGCATGCATGTATTTTGTTTTCGTGTATATACATATCTATTGGTATAATTTTTTTTTTTTTTTCTCCATTTCTGTGAAGCATATCCTATTTTCTGAGCCATCATCATGATTTGAGGTTGAACTTCCTACCGATTTTCCAATTTCCGCATATGTCATCTTGTTTCCCCGTGATAACAAGAGTTTAGAATTAGAACCATATCCTTGTGACAAATTTTTATAAGAAGAATGGTAAAGTCCTGAAAGGTGAATCAGAAGTACAACCCCCATCGTCCCATTAAAGAACACATACGTACGCACGCATACACACACACACACACACACAGAAAGTGAGGAAGAGAGAAAGAGAGATATCTCATCGTACTTTTGACTATTAAGAAAACTTAAATTTTGTAAGAAATGAACGAAGATGGGTTGAATAATTTAATCATAGAAGATATAATAAGAAAAAATATTGAAGAAAAGAAAGAAATTGTTGGTAAAATAATAAAATTTAGAGATAGGATACCTTTAGTAGAGTATAAAAAGAAGGATGATGAAATGTACATATGTTCCAAGTACTATTTTATAAACAATATATATATTAAGGTGAACAAAGAAAATGATAAAATTAAACTGAATTTTGTAAATAATAAAGATAACGATGAGAAGGAAGATTCAAATTTTTTTCATACAAAAAGAAGCATGGTGGGTGAAATGTTGAATGTAGATGAATGCTCTAACAAGCTACATACAGAATCATCCAATGACAACATGCATGTATATACATACAATGATGAGATATATGAAGGAGATTACACAGATATATTAAATACAGAACTAGATAATGATATAATAAACGATGAATTTGAAAGCGAAATGCAGAATACAGAATTATGTAGTCAAATGCTGAATACACAATTGGATAGCGAGATGCTGAATACTGAATTATACAACCAGATGCCAAACACAGATTTCGAAAACTTGGTTCTTACTAAATTCAGGGAAAGGAAATTAATTATTATTTTAAGTGGAACCTCAGGGGGAGGCAAGAGCACCTTAAGTTGTTTATTGGGACTTTTTTTGAACATTAGACGAATTCTGTCAACAGATGTCATACGAGAAGTTTTAAGAAAGTATGAAATAAAGGATGATAAGTTTCTTAAATTTTCAACCTACGAATCTTGGAAATTGAATGGAAGTGAAGATGAAGAAACAGATAAATATGCGAAACCAGGTGAGGCGTGCAGCTGCAAGAAAAATCCAGAGATAAATAATGGTGATATCCATAAAAGAGAAGGTTGTAATGTATGCAAACAATATAACCCAGAAAATACGTACCCTGAAATGAAGAAAACAGAAAATATGGAAAAAATGCTGCAGAGGTGTATCGAAAATTACTCAAAACAATGTGAATTATTGTTCAATTATATTGATGACATAATTAATGATCATATAACAAGTAAAGAATCAATTATCATTGAAGGGGTGCATGTAAACGCAGATATGATAAGTAAATTGAGCAAAAAATATCCAAATAATATTATCTATTTTTTAGTATATATTAATGATAGGGAGACAAGTATTCGTAGATTTTCAAGCAGATCTACACATTCTAATAAGGAAGAAAATAAGTATATAAAAAATATTAATTATATTAATCATATACAGAAGTATTTATTAGATGAGACCAAATATTTACATCCATCCATCAACTATATTGAAAATATAGACATATATAATTCATTAGAGAAGGTCCTCAGAATAATTTATTCATTCGGTTAATTTTTTTTTTTTTTTTTTTTTTTTCATCGTGGAAGAGGGGTACCTGTGCTTATTCGTTAACATAAGAGTAAAATAAAAAAAAATAAAAATAATAAAATAATAAAATATATTTGTATTCATCATATTACTCTCGTCCGCATTTGTGTTTCTCTCCCTTTTTCACAAGTTTTCTTACAAGTGCCCATCAATTGATGGTATCCCCTCGTCTACACGATTTGTCATATGGACACTTCCTTACCTTGTTTAGTTCTTTAGTTCATATTTAGTCATGCATTTGAGTATTTTTTGTTTATTCATTTGATAAATCATCTAAATAGGAATTACTTATTTATTTACGTATGTATTTATTTGCTTATCTATTTTATTATTCCCTATTTATTTATTTTTTTTTTTAAGTGCACCCATTACCGTCCCCTCCTCCCTTCCATTTATTCGTCTAAACAATTTCTACAATTATAACGAAGTACCATTTCTTATTTTTTATTCCAATTCATTTTCTGTTATCATTATTATAGGCAACTATACTTTTTTTTTAATTCACCCAGCAGTTTTTTAGTTCATACAAAAAAAAAATATATATATATATATATATATGATAAAATAACAATAATAATAAACAAAGTGTGCACTAATTAATCTTGTAGATTATTTGCATGGTACTTTTTACTTTTGTATTCACATTTTTCTTTTTTTTTTTAAAGTGATATGTAATAATGTATTATTTGCATACTGATTAAAGCTCCCTGTTTCACATTTTTCTTTTTTTTTTTTTTTTTTTTTTTTTTTTGACATACAAAAAAATATATATATACCATTCTGGAGAAGGGGAAAAATGCACAATAAATTCGAAATGTTGCTTAAGGCAAATTAAAAATGGGTAAAGGTTTATTTCATTTTATTTTTTTTTATGTGAACAATAGATGATGTATATATATTATATATATATATATATATATATATATATATATATATATATATATATATATATATATATATATATATATAAGTCTTTCAAAATTAAAGAAAAAGGCATATATATGCATGCATGTACACATGCATATACATATTTAGTTCTTTTTTCTCGCATCTTTTTTTATGTAGCTTCTGCACATTTAGAATAATTATTTTTCGCAAAATCTGCTTGAATATATTATATCCCCTATGTTATTGTTTACCCATATACATTAGTCATAAATTAAACAAGACCTTCCTTCCCCCAAGGTAGTAGAAAATTAAATTCAGGAACTTTTTTGTGTCCATGCGAGAATTTTTGAAGTGTATATATGCACTGGGAATATTTTCTCTTTAGGAGAATTACATATAGCATTTTTTACGTGTAAAAAAAAAATCTACATTTAAGTAAAAGTTATGTAATGAGATATGGATGTAACGCATCAGGGGAAGTCATATTTACTGTAATCTTTTCAATTATTTTCATTTCCTATTTGGAATTTTTTTTTTTATGTTTTTTTGTTTTTTGGTCGTTAGACTTGTCATCTCTTAGTTATCCTAATTAGTGTATCTTTTCAATAAGTTTAGTAGAACTTAAAATTATTCACATGTTATTTTATTTTATTTTTTTTTTTTCCCATCACGGTAGCAAAATTTGTACATTAACATTTGCAGCAAATTGAAATTCTTTTCGAACTAGTGTAATAACCTTTGCTTTGTTTGCATTGGAACGGAATTTTTCATTCCCCTTTTTTCCATTATTTTTTCCCTTCGCTTATTCATTTTTTTTTTTTTTTTTTTTTTGCTTCATCTGTTGAACATTTGCTTAAGTTTGTTCAATTTATTCTCAAACTTTACCCTTAAGTTCCCTTTAAGAACAGAAGTGCTTGTGCATATATGATTCTTTTTCTTTTTCTTTTTTTTTTTTTTTAAAAAGTAAAATGCACTCATAATAACGAAGCAATATGAACATACCGAAAATTTAGAATATGTCAAACGCTTTTTTCACACAAAAAATTTATCTTAACAAAAACCAAAATGTTACAAGTGCCTCCATCTGTACATAATGCATATATTTAATCCGTTTTGAAGACTGTACAAGGAGATACATATACATAATATATATTGTCGTGTAAATAGAGAATGACAAGGGGTGTGTGAGGGGGAAAAAAAAATAATAAAATGTGACACGAATATTTTCTTATATAAATATTTTTGGTTCTTACTCCCCTTCCCCTTATAACGGTGTAATATATTGTATATACACAAAATATACATGGATGAGCATATATATATGTATTTAAGCAAGAAGAACACAAAACATTTATAACATTGTATTAGGTTATTTTCCAATAAACAAATAAAACCTATGCACCAAAAACAAGTTGTATTGAAACTTTTTACATTCATTTGGATAGACTATTTGAGTATTCTTGAGTTTTCATTTCATAGGACAGGCATTAACATGTCTAGTTAGCACGCGCTTACAGATAAATGGGCGTATGTACTGCTACACAGATCCTATACTTATGTACTTCCAAAAATTTTTAAAAAGGAAGAATTGCACTAAATTTTGTTTTGTGCTTATTGTAAAAGCAGCAAAAAGCAGATGTCACAATGATTCGCAAGGGAATTACAACCCAGAAAAATGAAAAAAATAAATATGCGAAAAAACAGACTTATTAATAAGAATAATAGGAGATACAAAAGGAGTTCCCTGTATTTGATGAATGAAAAATATGTAGAAATGCTTTTGTCAAAACATATGTCAACAAAAAATAGTAAGAATAGAAAAACTATGGCTTTGGAAGAAAATGAAAAAATGAATAAATATGTAATTCATTTAAGGGAGTTATATAAACAGTTCAAGTTTGAGGAATGCTTAAATTATGGATTAGAAAATATTGAAAAATTAAAAAAAAAAGATTATGTAGGTAAAATCGAAATTTTAAAAATAATAGGAAATGTTTATTTTTATTTAGAAAATTATAAATATGGATCATTAACGTATATATTATTATCTAAATATTTGAATAAAGTCTCTGATAAGTATAAAATAGAAATATGTTATAATGCAGGGGTTATATTTATAAAATATTTTTTAGAGAGCAATAATATTTCTTATTATTTGAATGCCAAGAATTCTTTTCATTGTTCTCTATTATATAATGAAAAGGGAAGTAAACATTTTAATCAAACTATTTATGAAAATACAATAAGAATACTTAGACAAAATTTCTCCATAGACGGAAAAGAACAAGCAAAAATTATAGATGATCAAAATGATTTTTTTGAAAATTCATCTTATGAAAATTTTTTTTTAGATAATAATAAATATATAGCAAGATCATCTAATGAGGAAAATGAAACGAAAGAATTTTCATCTTCTGAAGATTCTAAATCGTGTACTCTTAAAAGTAGCATTTGCAAAATAGATGAGGTCATCAAAGGAAATAAAAATAAAAATTATACGAATGAAGGGGAAGATGTCTATTTTGCTTCAAATAACAAAGAGAAGAAATTTACCTTATATAATGACCACTTTTCCATTAAAGATGCTACGGTAAAAAAAGACAAATTTTCTACCAATTTGGAGAAAAAAAAATCCTTACTGATAATGGACAATGATAAACAGAGCTGTATTTCCAATGATTTTCTCCCATGGAGTAATAGTCTTAATATTCAAATAAAAGAAAATAAATACAACAATAACAATAAGGTTTCACCTGAAAATAGCTTCGTGAGTTTATCGAAGGAAGAATGTAACATTCCAAACAATTTTTGTAATAATGTGAATAATATATTATTTAGAGATCCCATGAGCAAAATTTTGAAAAATACGCACAGTCCATTTATGAAAAGTAAATCCATTAGTTTTATAAACAACAGTCCAAGAAGTATTTTAAAAAGTGAATCTTATAACATTTTGAATAAATCCCCTGATAGAATCATCAATAATTCATCTGTCAATTTTGTCAGACAACCAACAGGAAATATTTTAAGAAGTTTCTCAAACAATTTCTTTAACAACTCGTTAGGAAGTGGTTTTGCAAATACATCAACAAACATGATGAATCAGACCCCTGTAAATATTATGAACAACGGAGAGGCCAATTTTGTTCAAACAAATCAAATCAATTTTACAAACAATTCCAACACGCAATTTTTAAGCAAAACATCTCCATGTATATTTCCAATCAACACAACACCCTGTGTTTTATCTAATCACTACCCTCGAAATTTTTCTTGTAATGCCATTCACACTATTGTCCGTAGTTCATCCATGAATTTTGTAAATAGAGAACATAATCTTTCCTTGAATAATACCTCTCCTATTTCTGATAAGAATAATTCCCATAAACGTATGTCACAGCAGAAGAGCATTATCAAGTATACGAGAGGAAAGACAAATGAAAAAGCGAATGAAGAAGAAGTATATAAAAACAATTCTAATTTAAACGGTTGCAGAGCATTCGATTCTGTGTTATCAATTGAGCATGATCTATTAGAACATAAAAGGAGAAAAACAAATAATGAATCCTCTCATTTTGTACCTTGTGAAAATAGTGTACAAATATCTAACAATTTTCTCGCTTTGGAAAAGGAAAAGGCTTGCAGTTTTGATTACTGCAATATTGAAGAAAAAGTAGAAACAAGTGAGTATATTGAAAACAGCAAAAGAGATAATAATTTTTTTAGCTTAGAGAAGAGTAATAACATAAAGGAGGAGAAACAGGTGATAAAACCACAAAGGGGTAGGCCCCGAAAATATAAAGTAGAAAAAGGTATGATAAGTGAAGGAAAAGAAGGAAAAGATCAATCTAGGAAGGAAAAGAATAAAAGAGAAAGAATAAAAAAAGAAAAGATGAAAAAAATGAAGAGAAAAAAATCCAAATCGAAAAGATCGAATAACGTGTTCGATGAACTTTTTTCAGTTGAATCTAAAAGTGCTTCTATACGTAGCGTAATAAAAAACGCATGTAAGGAATACGAATCCCGCTTAGTGAGTGAGTATTATCACATTTACTATTTGAAGAACAAGAAAAAGAAAGCAAAACAAATTGTGAAAAGAAAAAGAATATCAGATTTTTTTCATGATTTATATGAAATATGTAAGAAAAATAAATACGATTTTTTGGTAAAATTTGTTGATCAAGTAGTGCGTTATAAGAGTGCATCCTGTGAAAATGCAACTCCATCGAAAGGATTTAGGAAAAGGTCAAATATGAATAACACGGGGACTCTGATCCGGGTAGAAAAAGATCAAGACATAGGAAAAATTGATCTGCATGAGAGTAACAGTGATTTGGAGAAGCTAGGTAAAAATAATATGACTGAAAAATATGCCAGGAAAAGTAGCCAAGAAATTTCTGCAGGAATTAGTGTAGATCGTTCGGTTAAGCAGGAAGAGGAAAAGAGAGATGATCAGCGAAGCGGCACGGTGAAAATTTTAGAAATGAGTTGCGAAGGTGAGCAGAAAAAGGAGGGTGAAAAGGCGGGTGAAATGGAGGGTGGAAAGGAGAGTGAAGAAGAGAATAAAAAGGGGAAAAAAGAGGACCAGAAAGAGGGCCATAAACTGGAACCAACGAATGAACAGAAAAATGAATCAAGGGGTGAAGGTGCCAATTTTGACACGAGCGAGTTTATCAACCTATACAACGAATTAAGGAAAAGGTTCAAGCACAGGAGTTTTAATGATCACGCATACAATGAGAAATATAAAAAGGAGAAAGAAGAAATTGAAGAAGTGATAATTCTAAGTATTAACAAAATAAATAAGAAAAGGATAAGAGATAAGTTAAAGAAAATAAGTTCGTATAACAATTCAATACTATCCAATATTGGTGATAAATTTATTGATGATATAGACGAATTATTTCTTATAAAAAATTATTCAAAAATTTTAAAAAGTATTAAGAAAAATAACAACATAAAGCACATTTATTATTTGTATGAAAATATGTATGCCATAGATAAAGTGGATCATATAAATAGTAGTAATTTTTTTAATATTTCTCATTTTATTATCGATATTTTGTTACTAAAAGAGATAAAACAAAAGGATTATTTAAAAAAAAAAATCCTTAAAATGAAATATTCTTATTTCTATTATTTTGCAAATTACGACAGTACCGATAGTGGAGCCCTTTTTAAGGACATTTTCAGGCACATTCTTAATGATACTACCAAGGATAGTCCTAAGAAATCATTACACCATATTATGCATGAAATGAATCCTCATCATTGTCACAATTTCAATATCTTTAATTTAAGTAGAAGAAGTAAAACTGCAGAATTGCATGAACAGAATTATCCTTACACCGATATAAAACTCAGTTCGACCACCATTGTAAATAACAGTGATACTAATTCGTACACTAATCAGAAAAAAGAAGAATTGATAGGAGAACGATTGGATGAATTCTTTTCTAACGAGTACCAGAATAGTGACAAAATGAATAGTGAAATAAAGAATTCCAATTTGTCCTTAAAAAATAATGAAAACACAATTGATAGAGATCCCTACTGCTTATTGAACAGTAAGGATAAGGAAAAGGATGATGAAGAAATGAAGCAATGTGATATGAAGATTAGCACCTGTGACGCAGATGGGGAGAATGACCCGAGTGGTGTATGTGACACGAATGGAACAAATTATAAAAATAAAATAATTTTACAGGACTGGTTAAGCATTTCGAGCGATACCCAATTAGCAGAACTCAACTTGAGGGACATAAATTCCATAACACATGCGCCCAATTGTGAACGGGAAAATGTTTACATCGAAATGAGTAAAGAAGACAAGGAAATTTTAGACATAGAACAATTTTATGAATACATAAATATATCCGATGCATATAACATGGATTCTAGAATAAAAGCTGAAGAAATTATCATGTTGCTCTTTTATCATTATTGTTGGAGCTGTAATGATGGTAACAGTAGTAGCAGTATTAGCATGGATGGAGGTGACAAGAGAAGTGATGAATACAGAATAAGAAATGTTTTGTTTAAAATATTTTTTTTCTTCACAACAAATAACATAATTAATAAGACAAATATACATGAGTATGTTACCTTTTTGCGATTGTATCATTTTTATTTGACAAATATTAACTGTTACACGTTAACATATTTTTATCACAATATTGAGAAAGATGGAGACAAGGTAATAAATAATGTGGAAAGGAAAAAAACAACACATCATGATTTTATTTCCTGTATCATGTTTGATAATTGCTTAAATGTCATTCACTGTCATTTGTATATTCTCAAATTGCTATATAAATGTTATATGAATAGACTGAAAAGGAAATATACATATGATAATGTAAATTTGGAAATACTTATTAATTACACATTTAGTATTTTAAATTGCTTACTAATTAAATTTAGTTATAATGAAGAAGATGGCACTGTTGAGAGGCGAGTGTTGTTCTTATTTTTGCAATTCTTATATTTAAATTCCAAATATTATTTCAAAAATGTTACCTTCTTTCTGGATAAGTATGATATAAATTATTTAGTTAAAAGTGAAACGGGCAATTTTTGCAAAGTAAATGCAGATAGAGGAAGAGGTTTTGGCCTTTATAAAAATAATCGTAAGAGAGGTCCGAATCCAAAGAATCAAACGAAAGGAAATCATTCAGAGTTCCATAAGGGAATGTTTGAAGGTAACAATATCATGGAAAGTCTGATGAGAAAGAGATCATTTGATCATGAGGAACACACAATGCTGAAAAGTGGTTATGAAAATGCAAGACAAGCACAAATGAAAGAGGAAGAGGAGAAATCAAGGAGCGAACAGGAGGATTACCAATTGGATATCCAGGAGGGAGTTATGGAAGAAGAACAATGTTATGATGGGGAAAGGGCAGGGGCCAAGGAGGAAGAACCATATGAGGAAGGTACAACACATATGGAAGAATCGTATGACAAATTGAAGAAATATAAAGAGATGGAAAAAGAATGTAGATATATGAAAGGTATCCAGAATGAACAACACATAGATAAAGAAGAATGGCACATGATGTCTTTAACAAAAAAAGGACAATTAAGAAAAAAAAAAAGTACAACGCAGAATTCATATATTAGTAACATGGAAAAATTTAAAAAAGTATTTACAAAGTTAGATGAAAATGTGAATATTACCTTTTCGTCATTTTTGAAATGTTACAATAAATGTTTTTTCTTATTAAATCTGAAACTGTACGAAAACGATATGTTCAGAAAAATAATTTGGAAAAAAATCGATAAAATTGTCAACTACTGTAACACTCTTTACACAACATTAAAAATAAAAAAAATTCCAATAAATAAAAACTACAATTATGTTTTTGACGAAATTAATTACACTTTGTACAATAAGAACATTTTTTTGAAGCCTTCCTTTTTTAAAGTTCTAAGGGAAGATAATTATGTTAACAGGATGTATAACATGCATCGAAATTACATCGCAAAGATGAGTGATAATAGTTTAAGTCAGGGTAATAAAGCAACAGAAAATGGGAGAGAAAAGAGGGGAGAAAAAGGGGGAGAAAACTGGAGTGGAAGAAAATGTGAAATACTGAAAATATTAATTTCATTTGAAAAGTTGAACAAAGGAACATACAAAAGGGTAAGAGTAAATAAAAAGAAAAAGCGTTTTCTCTTGCTAGCATATTCGTATAAATATATAAAGAAATGCATATGCAAAGAATTGAAAGAAAATAGTATCCTAAGTTTATACAAAAGAGCGAAAGAGGTGGATGAAAATTTTAGTCAAAGTATTGATTATCTTCATTCCCTTTTTGATACAAGACTGTGCATGTTATCCTTAGATTTTGAGATACAGAATATAATTATCGAATTTGTAAATGATTGTGTGAATTTTATAATGGAATATCAAATGGATCAGCATATCTGTTTCTCAGTGATAAAAAAATTGATGAACATATATAGCTTTGTTTTCTCCATTTTCTACTTGCGTCTGAACTCTTTTTCAGAAATACACACAAATAAACTGTACAAAATTCTTGGAATTGAAAAAGATATTTTTTCATATGATGATAAAGCCACTTGGAATATGTTAAACATTTTCAATTTTGTAAATTTTAGATACGGTTGTTCATACAATTTTTTAAATAACATTTTTACGTCTTTCCATGTCCTCATTAACACGTTAGTAAAAATTGATATTCACATAGAGGTAGATAAGAAGTATATGGGGAAACAGAAAGTGAAGAGACATAGAAATGTTAACACCAAGGTGAATGGATCTGTCACGAATTTGTTTAATTATGACAGTGTGCAAAAACATATTGAGAGAGAAAAAAGGAAGAAGAAGCAGAAAAACATGTTGGGGAAGCAAGTATCCCAATCAATAGGCCAAGTGCATTTCGGAAGGAGAATAATGTACAAAATTGTAAATGAAGTAAGGAAAAAAGTTAGTATAAATGGGAAACTTAAAATAAAAAATAGCATATTGGATAAAAAAATTGGAAAAAAAATGAATAAATATTTTGTTAATCCCATGGGCGATAAGGTGAGCATGAAGAAATTGGAGAATCATAATAGGATTAGTAAGATGTGTTTATATAATAATAACATGGAATGTGTAAAAGTCTCTTATTCTGAGTATCCTCATATGTGTAACTCATCCTGCAGTGCTAAAAATTATGTTAAGGACAAGGATGGAAAACAAGAGCGAAATAAATTCCTGGTGGGCAAGAACCATTTGAACTTCTCCTCAACGAGGGATGACATAAATGTGATAAACACAAGTAGGTGTAATCCCGTGTTAGCTATTCAGGATGGTATTATTAAAATGGAAGAATTAGAAAGAAAATCTATTTCAGAAAAATTCTGTACAAAAAGGAGCCGAAGGCAGATGTGGGAAAAAGGGGAGATGCCCAAGAAGGAGCAATTGAAATTTTCAAGCAGAAACGAACGTATTTTACAGAGTTATGAAAAATTAAAAAAATCGAAAAAAAAATTGAAGAAAAAAATAAATAATGCATTCTATTTTAAACATATTTCCGTGACAAATAAGAGTCAACATAAGATATACACTACACTGAGTTGTAATTATGCACACATTTTATTCATACTTATATCCATACTGCATATTGAAAATTATAACATTTTGCATTTAAGAAAAATGCAAGATTTCTTTATGAATAATGATATATATAATACGTACTATATCTTTTTACACATTTCGAGTAGTATCATATTATTGTTATCCTCCGTTTTAAAAACATATTTACATTTTAACCCATATGTAAATCTGGATAACAAAAAATTGGATAAGAAAAAAATTAGCAAAATGAAAAGCAGGATAGTTATGAATAGCGCTATTGATTATAAGAACAAATTACTACATAGAAAGAATGAAAAAAATGAAGACCTTGAAATAGGAAATAAAGAAGGCCATGATTCAAGGTTACAAAACTTGGAGCATAGGAAATCTATTAGCAGAATTTTCGAAGATTTGAATATTAAGAATTGCAAAAGTGATAATAATGATGTGAATCGCAGCACCTTTTATAAGGACAAAGGAAATAGTAGAAGCTACGAAATTTATTTAGAAACGTTTTTAAATTATAGCTCTATTAACGTACTATTAATGTCAAAAAAAAAACATAATAAGAAAAATAAAATGAAGAAAAATAAATATATATACATATTTTGTAATTTAATAGAAAATTTGTTACAAAATAGTGTTTTTTATTTAGACCTCTTTAGTAATTGCAAAAATAGAGGAGATGTACTGGAATTGAATGATGTATTTTCGAAACTCAACAAACTATGTAAAGAAAACAATATCATGAATTATTTTGTGCAGATGAAGAATGAACTAATATATCATACCCTATTTAGATATATCCTACAAAAGGAATACGTCAACTATTTTAATATTGAAAAATGTGAACTGTATAACATTAACAAATGTTCAATAAATTTGTTTTATTTTTCTTTAAATATATTACTGACATCATTTAATACGGATATATCTATACATTTAGAAAGAAGTTTATATAATATAAATTATTTTCATCATGATAATTTATATTATGAATTAATTCTAAATAATATTAAAAAGACAATTCGCTACATCAGAGGAAGTACTAAATCTTCTTTCAATTGTATATTTTCATGTGTGCTGTATTATTTGGCTAGATGGAAAAACGGGGAGGGGAAAATATTAAAAGGAAGGAATAATGAAGAAAAGAAAAATATTTTGCGAAGAAGTAACTCTAATCAGAGATTTTCTTCTTCATGCAATATAGAAGGAGTGAAGAGCAGTGTTTTTTTTAACATTTTAGAAAAGGAAGAATGTTTAAATAATACTATGGTAAGAAATAGTATTAACAAAAATACAAGGGAGAAAACAGATAATAAGTGTTTTTTTACATACCCCACCGAGGGAACATATAGTGTTTTCAAAAACAATGAAGAAGCTCCTCTTGGATGTGATAAATATAACTATTTTGATATATACAAAAGGAACAGAAGAAAAATTGTTAGCAAAATAATATATGATATGATAATACCATATATTGATATAAAAAATATCAAAGTATATAACAAAATTCATCGAAATAATCATACAATCAATAGCCTCATTAATATCTGCTTTTCATTTCTTTTTAATAATTTCTTATTTTTAAAATTGGTTTATCCATTTGACATAGTTTCCAAAGATAAAATTGAAAACGAATTAACTGGGAAGAGAATAAAAATTACAAATGACACACTTGACATATTTAATATGAAAATGAGTGAAATAAAACCAGTCGAATTGTTCCTCTCTCTGTACATACATAAATACATGCAGAGTATATGTTTAGATGTGAAGAAGTTGGTTGATTATAATACTTATATGAATCAATTTTTTTGGATATCCAGTAGAAGACATTTGAATTTCGCTCCCTGCAGAGATTATACCTACTTGAACTACTCCTTTAACAATGTGTACTACAAATTCAATGATTATAACGTTCTCCAGTTTTTGATAAATTTTAAAAGATCTAAAAGTGAGGGAAAGGTAAGATTCAAGGAGTGAAACCGTTTTCTGTGCTATGATCATCGTTTCGTGTCGCATGGTTTATTTATTTTTTTTTCTATTTTTTTATTTATTTTTTATAATATTCCAAATGGGGAGTACATAATTAACCTCTCGATGCACTCATCCAACACCAGCCCTTTTATGGGACTAATATATTATTCTGAGAACAAATGGAAAAATGTGTACGCAATTAAGAATTTTTGTATGGCTTCACTTTTCCCAATCCTTTATCCTCTCTTTTTTTTTTTTTTTTTTTTTTTTTTTTTAAGGAGTTCATGATGACCTTTGTGAAAATTTTCGAAAAAATGATATCACTGGATGATGAAACAAGCTCAGATTACATGGATCCTTTAGCATACAATGTGTACTTAGATTATATGAAGGACATGTTTCTAAATGACGATTACTATTATGTATGTTTTTATGAATACGTAAAAAATGTATATATAGAAGAAAACGAGGGAGAATTTAAAATTGAGGATTTTGACTGTTTTATAAAAGAATTAAATGAGATAAATCCATATAAAATAAAAGAAGAGATGAAAAGAAAATTTAATGAATACGTTGGAAAGAATTATCTTCTTGTGATAGTAAAGAGAAAAATGTATAAAAGAAAATGGTACACTGATTATACAGACTCATTTGGTAGTATCAGAAAAAAAGGGGATAAAAATATGCAAACATATGCAATAAAAAATCAAACTTTCAAAAAAATTTCAATAACTTATAATGAAAATGATACATATATGAAACAAAATATGATAAAGGATTGTTCACTTGATTCACCTAACCAAGTGGTCTTTGATGATAAGAATAAAGATAAAAAAATAGATGAAAATAATAACATTCATCAGGTTGCTAATTGTGTCGAAAACATACAAAAATCAAGGAACGAAAAAAAGAGAGAAATTAAAATTATGCTAAATAACAATCCTTATTATTTTAAAAATGTGTATAGAGCGTATCAAAGCCGAATGTTTAATCTTTTAAATAAAAAAAATATTGACTATCTAGAACTAATAAAAATAATAAATAAAAAGTACTACAACCATTTTAGCAACATGTTTTACAGCTCATTTATTCATATTTTGAGTGAAGTGAAATATGATTATAATAAGCAATATAATTTCAACATTTCAAAAATAATGGATAAATTAAATATTGGTCTAAAGGCTTCCTTTTATAATAACAAGAATGTGATTTTGTATTATTACACATTTCAGCAATATTTTCATTTATATAAATGTTTAGAAGATAAATATTTTTCAGAACTTGTACTTTCAGAATATTTATTATTAAATATAACATCAAAGCATGTTAATAATATGCTGTACAACACTGACCTATATAAGATATATTATTTTTTAAAATTTTTGTATATTAAAAGTGTGTTAAAACATGCAAATATATTACTGAACTTTTTAATTTATGTATATTATAAATATTTCCAGTATCATTATAGGGGGAAAGATGAATCATCTCATCATTTTATGGATTTATTCTTAAGTATACATGAAGAATCTTACAATAATAGTTTGTTGGTAACTGAGTTAAGGGCGAAAGATAATACATCAGAGAATAATTTAATAGTTCAAGAAAAAATTTTGCTTAAGAATCATATCTTCACTATAGCACCATTGACAGATTCCCTCAAACAGAGAAGTGTTGATTGCAACATTTCATATGTTATGGAGGATGCAACAGATATGGAAGACAAGCAAGGCTGTTGTGAGATGGACCTAGAGGAAAAGGATGATATTAATAATGATAATGGTAATAATAATGATAATAATGATAATGGTAATAATGATGATAATAATGATAATGGTAATAATGATAATGGTAATAATGATGATAATGATAATGGTAATAATGATGATAATGATAATGGTAATAATAATGATAATGGTAATAATGATAATAATGATAATGGTAATAATGATAATAATGATAATGGTAATAATGATGATAATAATGATGATAATGATAATGGTAATAATGATGATAATGATAATGGTAATAATGATGATAATAATGATGATAATGATAATGGTAATAATGGCAATGATGATAATAATGCAGAAGGTAAAACAGGTTTTTCAGGTGAAGGTTATAAGCATGATAATCACGTGCAAAATGCTTACCAAGAGATAAATGACTACCATTTGATATTGTCAAATTCACAGCATAGATATATAAATCTTTTATTTTACAAAATATTAACCAATTGTGTAAATTCCAAAATTAATATATTAAACGCTAAGAATTTGTTTAATAATTTAAATTTCTACATTTCTTCCTACGTTAAATACTCCCTTTTTTACACATTTGAAGAAAAGAATAAGGCCTTTATAAATTCCTTAAAATATAAATACTCTTTTTATAATTTCAATACAATAAAAAAAAATTTGAAATTGTGTATGTATTTAAAGAATTTATATTTAAAACGTGATATATTTAATAATAATATTTTGTCATTTCTCAATATAGAGCCAACGAAGAAGAAATATAAATCCTTCAATGGATTAAGAACAATTCGTAGTTTCAATTTATGTGTAGATGAATATATGAATAATCAAATGATTAGTATACAGAATTCTGATGATACACGTACAAAACAATGCTCACCAAAATTTCTTCAAAAATGTAACAATTTGGGGTGTCGAAATGAGGTAGAAATTGCCAATAGGAAAAGGACAACATATGATAATGTTGCTTACGTGGATGAATCAAATTTCAAGAGTAAGGTAAGTAATAATAAGAACAAAAAATTATTCTCAGAAATTTTTTCCTCAGAACAAGGCAAAAGTGAAACCAAAGATGATGAGGGAATATATTGCCGCAAAGATGTAGTAGAACATTTAACAGATATGGAAAAGAAAACTGCTGGATCGCCATTTACAAGGATTAAAAAAGAAGTACAGGAAAATTATTCAAACATAGAAAGTATCAACATTCCAGCTGCATGTAATAATAAAAGAAAAGAAAAAGGAAAAAATAACACCCACGTAGAAGAAGGATCTAATGGAAAAAACTTATATATGAACAGACTTGGAGATGTGAGAAAAGGATCAAATATTATGAAAGATCTTGATATGAACCAAATTAAAGTAAAAAAAGAAGAACTCAGTGATGGAAATGATTCAAAAGCATCAGTAGGTTTTCTATCTAAAGCTTATGTGCTTCAAAAACAATTTTTCAGAAAAAGAAATAGCAAAAAAATTTCAAGGAAATATTACATCAACATTTTAAAGTTTTACTTAAAAAATAGAGTTCATAATTATTCCATTAATTCATGGGATTGTCAAAAATTGGATGAGAAAACAATTTATTTAGTATTTTTATTTTTAGGGAAATGTTTCCATTTCCTTTTTAACTCTTTCTTGTCACAGAGCTATGATTCTGAACATAGCCATGTCAGTAATAAAAAAAATGTTACGAGTAGCAATAACCATGATGTATCTGCATGTCCCAATAACTTCAACACATCTGAATGCCCCAATAATGTCAACGCATCTGAATATCTCGATAATTTTTACTCATCAGATAATCTGCTGCTGCATTTTATGTTAATATGTATGTGCCATTATGCCGACAGCTTAACGTTTTTAAGTACTAATTTTTTGAACATGCACCAGATTGGTTCGCAGCAAAAAGATTTTCACGAGTCCTGTCAAACGAATGATGAAAATGCATCTGTCTTAAAAAAGAAAGAGTTGAACATGCGTAGCGTGTTAAGTGAACAAGGAAAATATTCAGAAGCAGAAGAGAATAAAGAATTCAAGATTGACCAAAGTGAAATTAGTGGGGATAGTCAAGTGAAGAATAAGATTACACATGAAAAGTTAAGAAGTTGCAGCAAAAGCTATAGAAAAAGTGAAGAAACGAATAACAATAGTAGTAACAATAATAATAGCAACAGTAACAATAGCAGCAGTAATAATAACAGCAGTAATAATAGCTGCAATAATAATAACAGCAGTAATAATAGCTGCAATAATAGCCATGGGGAGAACTGTTTGAAAAAGAGCTTTGCTCTAAAACCCTCCTTCGTAAATACAAATTGTTATTACATGATAAGGAATGAGAGGATCCATATCATTAACAGTGATAAGGAAAATACACAAATGATTATCCCGTTGTTTAAATTATTAGTAACTAGATTGAAAATATGCTTGTACTACCCGAGATATTTTTTCTTGTCTTCCCTGTTTAGTTACAAATATGACACAAATCTATCAAACGAACTATTAAATTATGTAAAGGATCCAAAATTTTTAAGAGAAAATATTAAATATTATATATATGATCCAAATAAAACTGGCAAAATTTCTGTTACTACATTTGAAAATGATTACAATAGCGATGTTGCAAAATGTTGCAGCACAATGGATGCATTAAACATAGATGTTCCGGATGAAGATTTAGACAATCTTCCTGAATGTAGAATAAATAATGATATGCATAATGAAAAAGGAAATAAAAACATATTAGCAGATATTTCAAGAAAGGATATTTCCTCCAATGAAATCAACACTTTAGATGATCATTCAAAATGGAGTGAAGAGACAGTTAGTGAAAATGTTAAAAATAGAGAAAATACTTATAAGGAAAAAAAAAGGAAAAAAAGTTTAAACGTACGTGTAAATTATTATACTGAATATCATGAAAATGGAAAATTGAATAACTCTAGTTTACCCTCGTGTCTTAACTCATCGAACAGCATGGAATATGATGAAGCCAACACAGACATTGAAACAGAAAAAATGGACAAAAATAGAAATAATAACTTGAAGGATTCTGATGTCAACAATTGGAACTTGAAAAATGGCCCTTCTTCAGACCTTAACCAAAAGGAATATAAGGAAAAGAGCAAAGATGAGCACCTAGACGAGATGTCAAATAACACAATTCGTTCTACTTTCGAAAAAGGGTTGAATGAAAAAGAAATAAACGAATTTAAATATGATCTATCAAAACTAAAGGTGGTAATAAAAAATATTGAAATTAAATACGAAGATGTACTTAATGATATAATTGAAGGCTTAAATTTTATTTCAGAAAATAAAAATTGTGGAAATTATAATTCACAAGCAGCTTATCATTTATGCATTTACTATTTTATGAGGAAGAATTACAGCAAATGTATTCATTATATGAAAATTTTTATCAACAAGGGAAATTTTAAGATATGGCAAAATGATTCTTTTAATCAAGACTACTACAATTTATATTGTAAAAGAGTTCAAAGAAATGAATTTATTCTTATAAAATATTTTACAATTATTTTAGAAGTTAGCAAAAATGTTCTGAAAAATGTTTTAACCAAAATTAATGAAGAAATATTTTTTGGGATTAAAAAAGTAATAGGGGAAAAGGACACGCCTGTTGAGGATACTTTATTGCATGCACATCTAAGGAAATTCTTACTAGATGAAAAATTTTTAGATATAATTAATGTAGATAAAAAAGAGGAAGAGACTTCTAACGAAACGACAATGAAAAATACGAAAGCAATTAAAGCAGTTGAAGAAAATGAAGAAGGAAATGCTGATGGAAACAAGACAGGTGAAAAAAAAAACAGTACAGATGAAGGAAAAAACAGTACAGATGAAAATAAAAACTATCCCCAAAGCAAGGGAAATAATAATGTTATGAGAGAAAAATTAGGAAATAACGATATTTCGTATGATAAGAATGATAACACAGAAATAGCAGAATCAGATAATAATGCTCCTAATAAAAAGGAGAACATATTTGAAAGAATTGAAAATAAGTGGGTATATTTAGGATATGATCATTTGGATCATTTAAATGAAATTTATGATATATTAAAAATTATGTTTGAAATTTACATACACTTAGGTAAGACTATCAAAAAATTTAATGATTACAAAGTGTTGGAAGAAGCAACAGTTATATGTGGCTATAACATATCAATTATTAATATTCTGTTCAAAATAATTACTGAACACATATGTTTTATTTTCGAAGTATTGTGTTATTTTACATCGCATGTTTTGGTATACCCAATTATATTGGTATTCTGCAACAATTCGATGATTACTGATGTGACAGGAGGTAATCTTGAATATGCAGGATCAATATCCCCAAGAATAACTACTACGTCAACAACTGTTAGTAGTAAATATTTGTATTTAAAAAGAGCTGCAGATAATGAAGAATTGTTATGTAATAGTTCAAGTGCAACACTTGACTTGAGAATATTTAAGCTCTTTAGAGAATTTTTAGCCAATAAATCTGCCACTATGCCAGCTAATTTGTCAACAAAAATGCACAGTATTTTCCTATTGACATGTAAAAAATTGTTGTACTATCAGAAGAGTGAACAAGACATAATTAAAAACATGAATTTGTACTACAGCAAGGAATCAAAAAAAAAGAAAGAAGGTATAATGAAGTTTGTAGAAAATGCCCTTAGTAATGAAAATAAAACAAAATTATCCTATTTTTTGAATATATTTAAGAACTTGAAATTGTTAAACTGTACAAATTATTTGAATTGTGAGCATATTAAATTTTTATTAAGCAAGCTGAATTATAACTCACAATGTACAGATATAAACAAGAATACGAATTTAATTCATTTGGATAATGTTAGTGTGGAGAAACCAAACAACAGTATGGAAAAATCCAACAACAGTGTGGAGAAACCAAACAACAGTGTGGATAAAAGCAACAACAGTGTGGATAAAAGCAACAACAGTATGGATAAAAACAACGGCAGTGTGGATAAAAGCAACAACAGTGTGGATAAAAGCAACAACAGTGTGGATAAAAGCAACAACAGTGTGGAGAAGTTCCATAGCAATGTAGATAAGGAAAATGATGTTTGCATTACTAAGGACACAGTAAATGATTTAGCAGTTGAAACACAAACATCCATATTACGTAATAACGATTCTGTGAATGAAAAAAAAAGCAAAGGATGCGTTCTGTATTATATAAAACTAGATAATAATAAGCACATTTATCTATACGACGATTATGACATTTTTAATAATATTAAAACCAAAAATGAGGCATTAAATTGTGTTAATTCTATGTTATCAGATAAAAACGCAACCTCTAAAAAAGCAGATAATTCCAACCTGAAGAAAAGAAAGCACATGGATTTGTCTTTAAATGATGTAAAAAATTCAATACGAGAACGAGATTTAAGAAGGTTAAATAGGGAGAAAAGCAAAATTTTTTAAACAAAAGAGAAAAAATAAGTGGAACTGCTCGTTAATCTGAAGCGAGCCGAGCGGAACGGAGTAAACATTAGATGAAGTTTGTTTATATAACCTGCCCATTTGCAGCGGGAGCAGGATTGTATTATGTGGTATGATTTTTTTTTTTTTTTTTTTTCGTGTTTGTGCACATTTTAAGAGGTGTATAAAGGTATTATGATAATTATACGTATGTCTTTGCAAAAATGTATGAACCTGCTAAGGGGAATGGTTTTCATTTTTAAACATTTTATTCAATCATTGAAAATTAAATAAGTTGTTTATGTCATATATTTTGTTACACTCCCTCTACACTATATTCCTCTTCGGAATTGATAATGATATTTTTGTAACTGTATTTTATTTTTATTTTTTTTATTATATTGTATCACTTTCTTCTCACAAGACAATATTAACGCTTGTGAGAAAAATGTTCAATTGTTAATTAAGCATACACAGAGTGGCATATTTTTGAATTATTTATATAAAAATGCATATTAATTTTTTTTTTTTTTTTTTGTACTTCTTTTTTCTTTTTACTAATTGAAGAACTAGTTTTATAAATATATATATATTGTTAATAATTATTAATACAACCTTTTTAATATCTTGTCTTTTCACCGAATGCATATATGCCCGAAGTGTTTTGTTAAATGTGCCTATTTTCTCCCAAGGACTAGATAAAACTTGTAAGATTATGAAAGTTTAAAATATACTTGAGGTGAGGAAATATTTTCACCTTTGTTCAGAACAGAGGACTTTTTTTTTTTTTTATAGACCGTATTAACAATTGCACATTTGGAACATTCAAATTCGAAACAGCTATTCAGTATATCACTTATGTATCTGAAACGAACATTTATATGCTTGCACCCGGTAGACCAAATGAACAATACAAAATGTTCACTTCTTTTAAGTTTTTTTTTTTTTTTTTTTTTTTATTGTTTTTAATTTAAAAAATGGGGTATATATGAAGTTGCTATATATGTATAAACAATAATATATGTTTATGTATAAGTATGCATATGTAAACATGTATATTTCTACTTATGGTGTAAAAATAAAAGAAATATATTAATGTGTTATTTTAATTAGTATGGATAGGAAATCGTCTTTTCTAATTATTTTAGCAAAACGTATTTTTCTAAGCTATTAAGGAATTCCTTCTCACTATTCTTCTCAAATATGAAGCGTTTGATTCTTCTTCTTTTTTTGTTTTTTTCTTTTTTTTCCCCTCTTTTCAATATGAATAAATCCTGTGTGATTACTTTTCTCTTCATTTACTCAATTTTTTTCCTAAAAGAGCAACCTTCTGTTAGTTTACATTTTCCACCCGTTGGCTGGCATAACATAATATTACAGCTAAAATTGAAAGAAAAAAAAATAAAATAAAGTAAAATAATAGTTATATGCTTGTGTGTTCATTTTAAATAAAATAGTGAAAACTAGTAGACGGAATGATAATTAAATTAAAGATAAATGGTAAATATGTATATGTCACACATTCTAATGGCAAGGTGAAAAAATTATGAGTACAAAAATAAAATAGCATGCATATGACTCTATCGGAAAATCGATATGGTGTAAAGAGCAAAACATAAAGGGGATGTAAAAATAGGAATGCAAATAGCTATGGTATATATATATATATATATATTTTTTTTTTTTTTTTTTTTTTTATTTGGCTTTACCTCCCACATAAAACAACATTTTGGGCATGACTAAACAATGTAGTAATTTGAAGGCACCCTGGACACTTTACATCCATAAAATACGAATTGGGGCTTGGTATTAATCTTTTTAATTTATGTTTTTTGGCCTCTTCAGCTGGGTCACGGTTTAACAGATCCACATTCATTTTGAAATGTAAAATATATGTATGCTGTGGAGAAATTGGAAACAGGGCACAGGGGGGGAGATGTAATTTTTTCTTTTTGCTTTGTAATTTTTATAAGAGTTCAACATAAACAAATTTATCCTCGGGACGTATAAGTAATATTTTCAAATATACTTATATATATATACATTTATTTATATTGTTATTTTCATTTATAAATATACTTTTTATGATATATAAAAATGTATAGCTTTCTTCAATATAATCAAGTGTTATATTTGTATATACCCCATTCAGTTAAAAATGTTATGTTTAATGAAGTTATGCAAATTAAAATATTATTTTTTTTTTTTTTTTTTTTTTTTTACAAATTTGTAACCACTTTTTTTTAATATTTTTGTTTGTTTTGTTTTTCCTCTTTTTTTTTTTTTTTTTTCCTTTTGTTGGGAGAATATACAACAATAGTTTTTACATTTTAAAAAGCAAAAATTTTAATTGAATTAAAAACTTTTTTTTTTTTTTTTTCTTGCAAAATTGGTATGGGTATTTAACATAATCCTAGTGATGCAGGTTTTCCTTTTTCATGAAAAAAAAAAAAAAAAGAAGGTGAATTATCACTAAACGCAACTTATCCAATGCACATCTTATACATATTATTATATATATATCTATAACCCTTTCGCATGAGTAGAAGAAGTGAAAGTGATGATACACTTCCAACATAATATGGAATTGTACATATTTTCATTAAAACGTATAGGGGGTATATGTACGCAACATTAGTTTTTTCCTTTATAATAAATCCACCAATTCTTTTTTTTTTTTTTGTAATATTTTTTTCTTTACGGATTTGGGTGCGCTTTCACACACGGAAAAAAAAAAAAAAATAAAGTTAAATAAAAATGTTCAGGTTTAGAAGGGGCGAATTATTCGACTTTGATGCATAGTGATAGTTATAGGTTTAATTACCTTTTAAAGTATTTCATAAACTCTTTCATTTAACCATTAAGCTAGTAAACTATTCTGCGGGTTTGTAATGACATATACATCACTCCGTTAATCTGATATATTCTTCATTGATGTGAAAAGAAAGAAACTTCATTTTTTTTTTTTTTTGGAACTAAAAAAGTGGATGCAAATTTTTAGCATTTAAAGGGGTGAAGAACAACTTGCACAAATAACACAAAGAAAATGATTACACCATTTAAAATTTTCATGTTAATTCGGAAACAAAAAATTGCGGTATCAAGTAAAAATACGGTTATTCCCTTCTATGTTCTAAAAAACAAAAAAAAATTATTTTCCTTACTTACGCATATATATATGCACATATATATATGAGTATATACAGTTTTCCCCTTTTTAATTGTTTGATTTTGTTGTTAAAGAATAAAAAAATGCAACCAAATTGGTGAGAAAAAGTTATTGAAATTTAGTATTGATAACTAGAAAAAAAGAAAAAAAAGAGAAGAAGAAAAAGAAGAGTGCCAATTTAAATGTTTTAATCAACCGATTTAAACAAGAATGTTTTACCTTTCTCCATGAACCATAAATGTGGAGAAACTTATTTTTCGCTTTTGTATAAAAATTTCCGATCATTCTACGTCTCACTATTGAAGAATATTTTTACCTTTTCTTCGTGAATTTTTTTTTATGGAATAATTTAACTCTAGTTTCAGACTTCTGTGTGTGTGTGTTTTTTTTTTTTTTTTTTTTTTTTTTATTTTGGCTTTAAATTCAATAATTAAGGTGTACATTATTGCACATGAGTTACCAGTGATGCGTATAATGTGTTCGTTAATTATATATCCTTTTATGTATTCTTGCTTGTGTAATTCCACAAGCCACAATTCCAATTTCATTGGAAAGATTAAGTTCTAGCATGTATGCCATAATAAAAGCACAAGTAAAAAATATAAAAACAGATAATTTGTATAAATATATGTATATATGTGTATGCATATGTTTATATATTGTAAGAAAGCAGTAAAACAATTTCTTCGGCGTCCTCCAAATCACATTGTAAACTATTATTTGTCTTATCCTTTTTGGCTTAATATATTTCAGCTAACACAGGGTAAAATGTAGTTTTTATGATATATATATATATATATATATATATATATATATCAAGTTAAAAAAAAAAATATAAGTTTTCTAAAGAGGAAAAACAAAAAATGAAAACGTTGTTTTTTAATCACTTAAATGTTTTGGTGCTCAAGAGGAGACCAGAAAAAAAATAAAAAAAAAAAAAAAAAAAAAAAGTATGCGATCAAATAGATTAACACAATATAAACTGAACAATTTTTTTTTTTTTTTTTATATATGACTCCAATATACATTAATATACTATAATATGATAAAAAAAAAAAAAAAAACATCAATTATTCATGCTATACTATATATTTTGGATACACTTGAAATATGCTTTTTGCATATATAAAAAAACAGAACCTGCTTATAAGAATATATTTACATATATCAGAAGCAAGCATATCTTTTTTATCGTAAATGTTTAATATATATAAATTTGTGATTAAACAGAACTAAGGTAGAAAAAAAAGAATTTAACGGAAACAAAATTTCCTTAAAATTTGTTATTTTTCAGGTGTTAAAACAAAATATGAAGCAAACAAAAGTGGGCAAAGTGGGAAAAATTATCATTTTTTTTCTCGCACTGTTATAGGCAGCTGCATATTTATGAATTTGTCATGAATTAAAAATATATAACAAAAGCAATATTTAAAAAATATATATAAATAGCTCAAAACTGTACAGAGGAGTGTACATGTAGAAGAAAATGAAAGTTTTCACATTCCTTTTATACATAATATATATATATATATATATATACGTACAATGTACTGTGAAAGTGCTGAAAAAAAAATAATAAAATACTATAAAAATATAATACACAGTATTATAGAAGGGGGGTATAAAAGCACAGAACAGATTTTAATTATAAATCCTGTTTGCTCCTCTAACAGAGGTATATATACATATATATATTTAAGCATATATATTTAACCTTGTTTTTCACCTATGGGATGAAAAAAAAAAAAAAAAAAAAACTCAAATAAAAAAAGCAAAGAAAAACAAAGTAAAAGAATACAAAACAAAACAAAGTTACATTTTCATCTTATTTTTATTTCATTCAATCTACTATATATATATATATAAATGTTTTAATTATGCAAGTAAGAACATGTATGAGTTAAAATACTTTGATAGTACTTTACATTTTGCAAAATCAGCAGTGTATCATACTTTAAATTTTAACACTTAGCTCTATTTTTTTATTTAACACATCAATTCCATTTTTAAGAAAATGATGAGGACCGAATTCTGGCCTGACTACGGTACTTTTATGCACAAAGCAAACATGCACCTACATAAGAATATCTAGATATGTAGAAAGATACAAAGTTTGAGAATACACCAGATGTTATTTTGATTGAGAATGTACATATGTGTAATAGATACACATACAATGTGTTCAAATTTTTATCAATAAGTTAATGCTTTTATACGGATATCTCAATATGAGCATTTGTGCAGGGTGCTACTATTTTAATGCATTTGGAAGCGAGTGTATACTGCTACAAAAACATGTACATACATATATATATATATATATATATATATATGTTTGAAATTTTACTTGTATCCTCTGCTTAGATTATAAAACAGTGGGGAAACTGATACTCGAAGATGACACTGAATTCGTTGGATACAGTGTGGGGTATGAAGGATCCAAGGAAGAAGAGAAAAACTTATCAAAAAGGGAACTGATAAAAGGAGAAAATAATTGGAACGAAGTATTGGAAAAGAAAAGTTACTTGAAAGAGGATCTTTTATTTAAGAATAGCATAACGGAAAATGAAGATTATATTGTAACAGGAGAAGTTATATTCAATACAGCTATGGTTGGATACCCGGAAGCATTAACAGATCCAAGTTATTTTGGACAGATTCTTGTGCTAACATTTCCATCTATTGGAAATTATGGAGTAGAAAAAGTACATTATGATGAATTTGGATTAGTTAAAAATTTTGAAAGTAATAGAATTCAAATTCAAGGGTTAATAATATGTGAATATACAAAAAATTCTTATCATTATAATTCTTGTATGACGTTAAGTGAATGGTTGAAAATTTATAAAATACCATGTATAGGTGGAATAGATACAAGAGCGTTAACAAAAATATTAAGAGAAAAAGGAAGTATGTTAGGGAAAATAGTAATATATAAAAATACAAAGAATATAAATAATTTATATAAAGAAATAAATTTATTTGACCCAGGTCATATTGACACTATTAAATATGTTTGTAATCACTTTATACGTGTAATAAAATTGGATAAAATAAGTTATAATAATAACAATAAAAGTAGAGAAGATTTAAAAGGGTTAAATGAGGCAAATGATTATTCACAAGAACAAGAAAATGATAACGGTATTGTAAAGATTAATAGTTACAATTACCAATGTACATCTTCTTCTGAAAAAATAGATTTTAATAAAAATTCAAATGAGCATACATTGTTAAGGGATAAAATGAACCTATTAACATCTTCAGATGAGAATATTATGTATTGTAGTAGTTACCTCAATTACAATACTAATGGGGAAAAGAAGGATGTTTTTTACAACTTACGTGCTATATGTGAATATGAGAAGTACTTAATCGATTTGGAGGAAAATACCTCGTTTCATGATGGTAATGTGGATGAGTATGGTTATTACGATATTGAAAAGAGTCTACGGAAGTTTCAGTTTACAGTGGATAGTAGAAGTAAGTGTAATGGTCAGAAGAACAACGTTCATAGCAACAGCACTAGTGACAATGCATCGATGGGAGTGATGGAGAAATTCAATCTCAATAACGACTACTCTACGTATACAAGGAAAAAACTAAAAAATGCGGAATTTCTAAATTTTGTAAATAAGAGAAAATCTGATATGGAGAAAATCATCGTTATTGTAGATTGTGGTATTAAAAATAGCATAATAAAAACCTTAATGAAGCATGGAAAAGATTTGCCATTAACCTATGTCATTGTGCCTTATTACTACGATTACAACAGTATAGATTATGATGCAGTTTTACTCTCCAATGGTCCAGGGGATCCCAAAAAATGTGATCTTTTAATTGAAACCTTGAAGAAAAGCTTACAAAAAAATAAGTTAATATTTGGAATTTGTTTAGGTAATCAATTACTTGGAATTTCACTAGGATGTGAAACATATAAAATGAAATATGGAAATAGAGGTGTAAATCAACCTGTTATCCAATTGGTAGACAACAAATGTTTTATAACATCACAGAATCATGGATATTGTTTAAAGAAGAAAAGTATATTGAGAAGGAAGGAATTAGCTATTAGTTACATCAATGCAAATGATAAATCTATAGAAGGTATTACACACAGAAATGGAAGGTTCTACAGTGTTCAGTTTCATCCTGAAGGGAATAATGGACCAGAAGATACTTCATTTCTTTTTAAAAATTTTCTCATAGACACGTTTAATAAGAAAAGAGAATTTAGAGAACATATTGGTCATAACATAATTTGTATAAAAAAAAAAGTACTTCTTTTGGGTAGTGGTGGATTATGTATCGGGCAAGCTGGAGAGTTTGACTATTCTGGCACGCAAGCTATTAAAAGTTTGAAGGAGTGTGGTATTTATGTTATATTAGTTAATCCTAATATTGCCACAGTACAAACGTCTAAAGGATTAGCAGATAAGGTATATTTTTTACCTGTTAATTGTGAATTTGTGGAAAAAATTATAAAAAAGGAAAAACCTGATTTTATTTTGTGCACCTTTGGTGGTCAGACCGCTTTAAACTGTGCGCTAATGTTAGAACAGAAAAAGATTTTAAAAAAAAATAATTGCTTAGCATTGGGAACATCGTTAGAATCTATTTTAATAACAGAAAATAGAAGTATGTTTGCTGCAAAGCTGAGAGAAATTAATGAAGTTATAGCACCTTATGGAAGTGCAAGAAATTTAGAACAAGCAATCGAAGTTGCCAATAAGATTGGATATCCCATCTTAGTACGTACGACATTTTCGTTAGGAGGTTTAAACAGTAGTTTTATAAATAATGAAGATGAGTTAACTCAAAAGTGTAAGGAAATATTTTTACAAACAGATAATGAAATATTTATTGATAAATCATTAAAAGGATGGAAAGAGATAGAATATGAATTGTTAAGAGATAATAAAAATAATTGTATAGCTATTTGTAATATGGAAAATATAGATCCTTTAGGTATCCATACAGGAGATAGTATAGTGGTTGCTCCTTCTCAAACATTGACTAATTATGAATATTATAAGTTTAGAGAAATAGCTCTTAAGGTTATTACCCATTTAAACATTATTGGGGAATGTAATATTCAGTTCGGTATTAACCCCAAAACTGGAGAATATTGCATTATTGAAGTGAATGCAAGACTTAGTAGAAGCTCAGCACTTGCATCAAAGGCCACTGGATATCCCTTAGCATACATATCTGCGAAAATAGCATTAGGTTACGATTTGATTAGTTTAAAAAATAGCATAACGAAAAAGACAACTGCTTGTTTCGAACCATCTCTTGATTATATTACAACAAAAATACCAAGATGGGATTTAAATAAATTTGAATTTGCTTCTAAAACAATGAACAGTAGTATGAAGAGTGTAGGAGAAGTTATGTCCATAGGTAGGACTTTTGAAGAATCCATACAGAAATCGTTAAGATGTATAGATGATAATTACCTAGGATTTAGTAATACATATTGTATAGATTGGGATGAAGGGAAAATTATAGATGAGTTAAAGAATCCATCTCCTAAAAGGATAGATGCAATTCATCAAGCTTTTTATTTAAACATACCAATGGAAAAAATTCATGAATTAACACATATAGATTATTGGTTTTTGCATAAATTTTATAACATTTTTAATTTACAAAATAAATTAAAAACCTTATCACTAGATCAGTTATCTTTTTATGATCTCAAATATTTTAAAAAACATGGATTTAGTGACAAGCAAATTGCACACTATTTATCTTATAATAACCCTAAAGTAACAGAAGCTATTGTTATGAAGTATAGAGAAAGCTTAGGTTTGCATCCTCATATAAAAGTTATTGATACCTTATCAGCTGAATTTCCAGCGTTAACAAATTATTTATATTTGACTTATCAAGGTATAGAACATGACGTATGTCCATTGAATATGAAAAGGAAGAAAAACATGGAAGCAGAAATTAGTGACACAAAGCTGAATAGGAAAAAAAACAGCATGTACCCCAACATTTCTATTGAGATGAAAAAAAAGAAAAAAGGAGAAAAGAAGGAGGAATCATATCATCATAAGAATACGTACATTGAGTTGTGCAGGAACAATATAGACATAACTGTTATAAATGAGGATAAGGTTAGTGGAAATGCAAATAAGAATAACATGATGATGTTATCATCACCAGTAGAAAATTTCAAGAAGTATACCTTTGTTACAGAAGAAGCACAAGGGATCTCGTCAAATCAGGTGTTTAACAAAGAAGGGAAAGAAGAAAAGAGCATAGGATCAGACGAAACAAATATATTCAGCGTGAATAATTCATCAAATAATATTTCTCTCCAGAATGAGCTTAATATAGTATCTGGTTTTGACATAAATAACACTTCAAAAAATGTGATTAGTAAAAGGGAGACGTACCAATATGAAAAGAATGCTGATACAGAGGAAGGAGAACACATAGATGTGCAGATGGTAAATAAATACAAGTGTGAAGAAGTGAAAAACATCATTTCAGATAAAGGTAATAATAACCATTTAAAAGAATCTAGTGCATATGTAACAACATGCAATGTTGTTGGATGTAACAGAAAATCCGGAAGCAGAGAATTATTAATGAATAACAAAATGGATGATATTTCGAACAGAAGTTCACATTCTACAAATGATCAATTATATTTAGAAAATTTTAATACATCAGATGAAGAAATGGTAAAAAAGAATGGAGGAGATATGTATTATTTATCAAAAAAAAAGAAAAATTATTCAGAAATTAATAGTGCAGGAAATATGTACTATGTAGTAGATTCAGTATATAATAATGAATATAAAATGAGTAAAATGAAAGAATTAATTAATAGCGAAAATACAGATAACAATGAAAGTTTCCTATGTTATGAACAACGCGGGTATGTTGCCAAATCAGAACAAATTGGAAGAATGTCCCATGTAGGAGGAGAAGGTTTGAGTGGGATTGGAGGTAGTACTATTCCCATTCATCCATACATTTATGATGATAGTAATAATGATAAAGCCAATGAGAGAAAAAATGGAGAAACAAATGATGACTTATTCAAGCCACATCATGAAGCAGAAAAAGGAAAAAGTAAATACAGAAGTAGTAGTAGTAGTAGTAATAAAAAACGAGATATAAAAATGAATAGTAATGGTATAAATAATGATGATAAAAATAGTGATTGTTTCTCTGAATTATCTTACCTACGTAATTGTGTCAAATCAAGTGATGCAGAAAATGATGATATTGATGATGCAGATTATAACTGTGAGGATGACATGTATACATGCAGTAGTAGTAGTAGTAGTAGTAGTAGTAGTAGTACATCATCTAATAACTTATTTCATGATTCTGAAGAATCGTATAATAATTTTTCTTCAAAGGAATCAGACGTGACTTCTATATATTCAGAAAATGAAAATATATTTAATGAAAAATTTAATGATATTGGATTTAAGATAATTCATGATAGGAATGAAAAGGAAAAGGAAAAAAAAAAATGTTTTATTGTGCTAGGTTGTGGTTGTTACAGAATTGGAAGTTCAGTTGAATTTGATTGGAGTGCAATACATTGTGTTAAAACGATTAGAAAATTAAACCATAAAGCAATTTTAATAAATTGTAATCCAGAAACGGTTAGCACAGATTATGATGAAAGTGATAGATTATATTTCGATGAAATTACTACAGAAGTTATAAAATTTATTTACAATTTTGAAAAAAGTCATGGTGTTATAATAGCATTTGGTGGTCAAACATCTAACAATTTAGTATTCAGTTTGTACAAAAATAATGTAAACATTTTAGGAACTAGTGCCAAAAGTGTAGATTGTTGTGAAAATAGAAACAAATTTTCGAATCTATGTGATTCCCTAAAAATTGATCAACCAAAATGGAACAAATTTACAAGATTATCAAAAGCTATGCAATTTGCAAATGAAGTAAAGTTCCCAGTTTTGGTAAGGCCATCTTATGTACTTTCAGGTGCTGCTATGAGAGTTGTAAATTGTTTTGAGGAATTAAAAAATTTTTTAATGAAAGCAGCAATAGTTAGTAAGGACAGTCCAGTTGTTATATCGAAATTTATTGAAAATGCAAAAGAAATAGAAATTGATTGTGTAAGTAAAAATGGGAAAATTATTAATTATGCCATATCGGAACACGTTGAAAATGCTGGTGTCCATTCTGGAGATGCAACACTTATATTACCAGCACAAAACATTTATGTAGAAACACACAGAAAAATAAAAAAAATTTCAGAAAAATTATCGAAATCCTTGAATATATCTGGACCTTTTAACATTCAATTTATTTGCCACCAGAATGAAATAAAAATAATTGAATGTAATTTAAGAGCTTCTAGGACGTTTCCATTTATTTCAAAAGCTTTAAATCTAAACTTCATAGACTTAGCCACCAGAATATTAATGGGATATGATGTAAAGCCAATTAATATATCTCTCATAGATTTAGAATACACTGCTGTGAAATCACCTATTTTTTCGTTTAATCGATTACACGGATCTGATTGTATATTAGGAGTAGAAATGAAATCAACAGGAGAAGTAGCTTGTTTTGGCCTAAATAAATATGAAGCATTATTAAAATCTTTAATAGCTACTGGTGTGAAGTTGCCAAAAAAATCTATATTGATAAGTATTAAAAATTTGAATAATAAATTGGCTTTTGAAGAACCATTTCAATTGTTATTTTTAATGGGATTTACAATTTATGCAACTGAAGGAACATATGATTTTTATTCGAAATTTTTAGAATCCTTTAATGTATCAAAGACCTCAAAATTCCATCAGAAGCTCATCCGAGTACATAATAGAAGTTCAGAAAACTTACTCCCAAATATAACAGATTTAATTATGAATCACAAAGTTGAAATGGTTATTAATATAACGGATACACTGAAAACCAAGGTTAGTTCTAACGGATATAAAATAAGACGTCTCGCTTCAGATTTCCAGATTCCTCTAATAACCAATATGAAATTGTCTTCATTGTTTATAGATTCCCTATACAGAAAGTTCTCTAGAAGCAAGGAGAAAAAGCCTTTTTACACAATTAAGAGTTATGATGAATACATAAGTTTGGTGTAAAAATTTAAATTGGCATATATTGTTGTTCCTCACCTTTAGATAACCCCCCACCCTTTGCATAATGTTTTTTTAATCTTTTTTGCATTCCTTTGTTGTGCGCACGTGTACATAAATTTGTATTATTACACGTATGAACCAATAAAAGCAGCATTCAATTTGTTCCCTTTTAATTTACATATATATAGGGTTCAATAATTGAAAAGAAAAAAAAAAAAAAAAAAAAAAAAAAAAAAAAAAATTACAAATGTTTTCTCCTATACCTCGGAGAACAACAAATGCGGGTGAAAAATCCACGCAAGTGTATAATAATATCGCCTTTTTCATTGTTCAAATTTTGTTTTGAACATTCAACAAACATTTCAGCTTTTAAGCACCTAATCCGTGTGATAATGCCCCCTTTTAATATTTCTGTCTAGGTGCCATTTTTTGCCAGCATGTGCTTGTGTACGCTTGTGCGTGTATTAGATAAGCATAACGGATTGGGACATGTTAAATTTTAATTTCGTGTGTAAATTGTGTATTCGCCTACGGGGCATGCCACACGCATGTACACACATATATGCAAATATATATATATATATATATATATATATATATATATATATATATGTGCATGTTTATTTTTTCCTATTGCTCCTTTGAGCATTATTATAACATGGAGAAAATGAATAAGATGAAAAAGGACCGTATTTCGAAACAAGGAATTTTAAATTATGCTTGAACCTTAAGATATTTCAAATATGTTAAAGCGATAAAAGGGCATCGCACCTTTTTTTAGTTATTACTTACACAATTACATGTGTATGAAGACAGTTAAAAAGTTCAATAAAAAATTGATAGTAAAAAAAAAAAAAAAAAAAGTGAGATAATGCTGAAAAAATTGCTTTTGTATGATTTTTTAGTTGACTGAAATTGCTTAAAGCTGTCTAAGAATTCGTTCCTTTTTACTTCATTTTTTCTGAATCCATTTTATATCACTTGTTATACATTTTGCTTCATTTCATCTATTTTATTTCACCTCATATAAAATACTTTTGTTACTCAAGGGCTTGTAGCAGTATGTCAAAGTCATCATGTTTGTTAATTTCATTTGTATCAACTTGTGTCTTGCCTGAAATACAAGTGTTGTCTGCTTTGGTACTATTTTTAACCTCTTTGGAATTTTCCTTTTTATTATTTTCTTCTTGAATAGCTATTTGTCCTTTTAATTCATCGTGTATGTCAAGAAATAATGAATCATCTAACGAATTTAAAATATCACGAACAAAAATTGTATTTCTCTTTTCACTTTCACAATGTTCTATGGCACCATCAGTTATGTATAAAATGAACATAGACAAACATCGTCCTAAAGTAGTAACTGCTTCTTTTCTTATCTTGTAATTTTTCAGGTTTGTGTTGTTATGTATTATTTTTAAAATAATGCTATTGGGTAAACCAAAAATTGTTTCTTTTATCATATTTATATTCTCTATTTTTTCTTTCTCTTCCATGTTTTCGTGGACGTTTCAAAAATTGGTAAAACGCGTTATTGTAGGGCTAGAGACGGGCCGTATGATGAAATATAACAAATGTAAGTGTGCTTAAGAGGTATGTGAAATGTGGTGTAAAATAAATTGTAATAAAGCAAGTATATGTATGCAGCATAATAAGTATTCCATGTCACTATTTTTCTTTTATTATCCTAACAAGTGGAAATATAAGTCACATAAATGAGCGTGCACAAGTTAGAGTGAAAAAAAAAAAAAAAAAAAAAAAAAAAGACAATTCCATTCAACTTAATTCAAGCAAGGAAATGAATGAATCTCCATTTATGTCTTCACCTCCATTCAATTACAGTTCACATGAAAATGATATAGTGTAATTAAATGAGATGTCACATTTCTATTAAATTTTTCTTGAAAAGAAATATTCATTTAAAAAGTTTTTTTTTTCTTTAAATATGTGCACTTTTGATTCTAACAGTTGAATTGAAGGAATTACAAAAAAAAAAAAAAAAAAAAAAAAAAGGTCAGCAGTTTTCATATACTTCACATTTTTGATTTTGAGAAATACTGGGATGCAAAAATAAATGAATGTATTGAAATGCAAAAAAGGGTTATAACCTTAAGGTGGAAAGGGGAGATGAATAATATTTCACCAGGTAAAAGTGAGTATCCATACATTAGGAACATTTTTTAAGTTCTATTTCATGACGTTTGTAGTGCATTTTATAAAATCGTATTTTTTTTTTTTTTTGCTTTTTTTTTTTTTTTTTTTTTTCCTTGCCGTTTCTTCCCCTGCTCTGTTACACATTACTGTTATTGCGCATTGACTAAAAATTATGTAGACTCGTAAGTTGAATGCCTTTTTTTGTTACGAGGTTGTTATTTATTTATTTTTATTGATTTTTTCTTGCGTTTTGCTTTGCTTCTAAAAAAAAAAAATGAAGGGCGCAAAAGGTTTGTTTGTAGTTGTGTTTGCGTAGGTGCACATATACATGTAATCTATGTGTATACATACACCCATTCATACATACCATAAATATCGTCAAGTTAAATGAACTTAAAACATAATTACAAAAGGTATACTGGAAAAGGAGACAAATAGAAATATGCAAGTTCACCCCAAGAGTGGGTGCATGTTATCATGGCCAATTTGTGTATGTGTGTGTGAATATGTTCAAATAGGTGATGAAAAAAAACTCGTGAATGGAACATTAAAACAAAACTGTTTGCATATTTCTGGGAAGTGGGAAACGAGGACAAATTTATAAGATTAAAAATTACAAAAAAAAAAAAAAAAAAAAAAAAAAAATGACAAGAAAATGGAACAAAAATAAAATAAAAGAAATGCAGCAGAATAAATAGGAGCAATAGGAGCATAATTAAATAACATACAACAAAACAAAAGGAACATAATGAGGAGCCAAGTGGACGAAAAAAAATTAAAAAAAAAATTTATACAATGTGTAAAAATAGCCTTAAATTTTTAAAAAGTATTCCAAATTGGGTTGAAATATTTAAAAAAAAAAAAAAAAAATTATTAATAGCCATCACTACCATAATATGTTTATGAAAGTTCTACTTTCACGTCTCTTCTCCATAGACGGTGCTACTTAAAAATAGGGTTACGCATGTTAAGGAGGGATTGTTCATATGTCTTGATATCTAGGTTTTTGCAATAGGGTTTCTGGTGAAAATTTCCAAAGGGAAAGTCGCTTTTGTCATATCCCAACTCGTGAATTTCGTCAATGTCTATTTCCACACAGTTTTTATCACGACAGCACTTTTTACTTACATCACACTTCTTTTTAATTTTATTCATACAATTCAAAGACAAGGGTGATTTGTCTTCTTTTAATTCATAAAATGTGATGAAATTTTTGCACGTAATTTTCTCATATATTTTAACAATAAGATGCTTTAATATAATGAACATCATACGAATACAATTAAATGTATCATTTATCGTGAAAATTATATTTTGGAAAGCATAAAATAGCATGAGCAAATGTATATGTATATTATTATAAACATAATGAAAACAAAAAAAATTAAAACTATGTTCATATATATCTCTATTAACATATATATTATAATATATAGATAAAATGTATACACCCATAACCAAAACGTAATGGGCAAATATGTAGCAAAATATTTTATATAAAATGCCATACATTGTTAATATAACACTAAACTTGTTATTATCTTTTATAAATATTCTTAATATAAATAATGAAAATACAATTATCGATATTACAAGTAATTCACCAAAGAAGGAATAAATTGCATATTTATATATTTTATTCATTTCAAGATAAATATAATTCATTATGTATTCATCATCGATTAAATTTACTATATCTATTTCTTTAATTAGGTTATTCATTTCTTCATATCCATTTACTTTTTTTTTTATTCCTTTCATTTCGGTATTTATAATATCCACTTTTTTATCAGCATTTATAACACCCATGCCGTTTTCATCTCCCCCAAGAACAGTCAAATTGTGTTCATTTTCAATCTCCTTTACCTGTTTGCTACCTCTAAAAAGAATGTCTAAATAACTTTTCTTTTTTTCATTATTTTTCAACACTTCACTTTCAGTAGTAAGCGAAATGAGATGTGCATCTTCTTTATCTGCATAGGGATCGTGCTTTTTGGATGACTCTAACCTATTTCTAATAATTTCTTTTAAATTATCATATTCTATGGAATGTCTATTTTCTGAAACTGTTCCGTTTTCGTTATGGGTATGCGGGAAATGGGTTATTAGATAAATCCCAATCATTATATTAAAAAATAAAGACATTAATCTCAAATAAAGAGCGAACTTTTCTTTGTGACGTTTATCATTTTTATATATCATTTCAGATGTATAATAATAAGCATCATTATAGTACGACATTTGTCTTGACAATTGTTTTTCATCTTTAAAAATATTTTCTTGCTCGTTTGTATTATCCATTGATAGCATGAAATATTTGGAAATATTATTAATATTCGTTTTTATAGGATGGCTCATATGAGTCATTTTAGCATTATTCCTTGCGTTCTTTCTTTTTTTTTTCTCTTTCCTTTTCCATTCCTTTACTCTATAGTTTTCATCCGTCATCGAGTTCACATTATTTGAGGAGGAAGATATACCCTTTTTTCTGTGTCCCTTAGATTTCTTTTTTTTACTCGGCACGCTTCCTTGTATTATTACATCTTCTTCGTTTTCACTGTGTTGGACGTTTGCGTCGTTCTCCGCCTCTCCATCCTCCTCCTTATCACCTTCATCATCTTCATCTTCTTCTTGCTTCTCATAATCAGATTCATCCTCCGTGTGATCCTCCTCATCTGTTTCTTCATCTTCTTCCACTTCTCCCTCTTCTTTTTCACTTCTCCCCCCGTAATACCTGTATACCTTTTCGCTGTACTCACTGAAACTGACCTTTTTTTCGCATTTTTCATTTTCCAAATCTTGACTTTCTAATAACTCATACCTGCTGTCATTTTCATCATAATTCATATCTTCTTTAAATACATAACTGCTAATAAATGAATATATGGTCAATAAATGACTGTCATTTTTGTCATCCTGTTCTTCTCTATTATTTTTTGTAGACTCATCTTTTGCACTCCTAAATGTATTGCTTCTACTATAACTATTCCTTGTATCCATTTCTTTTTCTGCATTTGTGATGGGTTTTACCACGTTGTCTATAAGGTGTGTATGTGTATGCGTGTGTGTGTGTGAGTTATTTTACTCAGCTATGTGTGTATGATGTTTATACATATATATGCAAAAAATAAACTTGTGGTTGAAGATGTCTAAAACATATGCACTCTTTATACATGTGCATTAAGCGCACACTTCCCTCTTCAGCCTTCTTCCACCCCCAAAAAAATTTGTCTTAATATTTTAAGTTTTTGTTAATAATTATTATCAGTTTTAACATGGCTATTCTACTTAAAAATTTAAGTAACTCAAAATAAAAAAAGTAAAAAAATTATGGGGAAGATATAAGGAATAGTTAAAAATAGTTAAAAACAGCTAAAAATAGGAAAAAATAGAGGGGAAAAAAAAAAAAAAAATAAAATAAAATAACAGAAAAAACGAGCGAAATTTGCCTCGATGAAATGATGCACAAAAATATATTTGAACATTTCAGTCTTTTTCCTTTTTTATTTTTTCATTTATAATTCTTTTGTTTCCCTATTTTTTCCTTTTTCTAATTTACCTTTATAAAAAATTTTGAACGTCGTTAAAACGACTATAAAATTGCGAATGAATTTTCTACACTGATATGTGATTTTAATTTTACGGGAAAATTAGCCCGTGGACAGGGGATTTCAAAATGTGCGCGTTTACAAAATTTTGACAAGAGGGAAAATAGAAAAAAATTGAATTCATACAATTAGTTAATGGGAAAAAAAAGAAAAATATATATCTATTAAAGAATTAAATAAATAAAAAAATGGAGAGAATATAGGAACAAAAGTGATTTTTTTATATAAGTAAAAAAAAAAAAAAAAAAAATTATGAAAAGTTGTGTAAAAGGGAAATTAAAGGTGTTATTAACGAACGTTGACGTGATAATATGTTCGTTTGAATTATTTCCACATGCTCCTCTATTCCATAGTTAAAATGCTGTAAATCAAGGAATGTATAAGAGAATTTGATACATAACCTGAGGAAATGCCGTTAACCTAGATTTATTCATTTGTGTGAAAGTGCGTACAGACAGGGGGGTGTATATGATGTTATATACACAAGAGTGTGTATACAATGGTGTTTATACAATGGTGTTTATGTAATGGTGTTTATACAATGGTGTTTATGTAATGGTGTTTATGTAATGGTGCTTATGTAATGGTGTTTATACAATGCTGTTTATGTAATGGTGTTTATACAATGCTGTTTATGTAATGATCTGTATAAAATGGTGTTTATACAATGGTATTTATACTATGGTATTTATACAATGGTGTTTATGTAATGATGCGTATAAAATGGTGTTTATAGAACGGTGTATATAAAATGGTCTATAAAGTGGTGTGTATTTCCTGTAAGGCTACATCATTGCGATGTTTTGTTTAAGGTAAAGTATACATTATGTGAATAAAATAATAGCACGAAAATGTGCATAGTGTCTAATTGTTAAAAAGTTGGAAATTTATACATTTAGCACCATTAGTGCTGCCTCACAACTGCCCCATTGAAGAGATGAAGTGATATATGTGATAGCTACAAAAATGAGTAAGATTAGAAATAAAAAGTGTTTCATAAAGGTGTGTGCAGTGCCTATCGATTGGGATAAGGGGGAGGGAACTGAAATGAAGAATAGCTAAACAATCTGTACATTTATAAATGGGTGAAAATCAGCACTACATTATTATCTTAAAAGGTGGAGGGAAACATGTGCATGCGGATTATTTTAAAGCATGCATAATGATTAGAAAATAAAAATGAGCTCCTTTTGGAAAACATATTTGTTAAGCGATATGACAACGGCAAAGCATACTTACAAGTACGCAGATATGTACATGTATATATATATGTGATGTGGGAATAATCACAGGCGTATCCATAAACATAACATATGGCAAAAACATGTGTTAAGGATGTTATTTAGTTTTATGCTTCAGAAAATGTCATTTCCAGTAAATTATAATTGGGAAAAAAAAAAAAAAATTCATCTTTATTTTAAAACATATTACTCGAAATGAGATGCAAAAAAAATAAACTACAAAATAAATATGATGACATGACAATTTTGTTCAAATCAAAGGTATTAATTTTTTGGTGCTTATAGTGTGTGTGCAAAACTGTCTGCATTGATTTACTCACAATAAATGGTAAATATTTTAAAAAAGACGCAATTTGATTGGAATAATAATAAAAAAAAAAAAAAAAAAAAAAAAAAAAAAAAAGGAAATGTAGCACAGTGTATGTGTATATATATATATATATATATACATACTTGTTTTATTTATTTTTGAACTTTTCGCGCATTCAAGTTTACCGTTTGATAAGTTAAAAAAAAAAAAAAAAAAAAAAAAATAGAAAGGAAAAAGAAGGATTCTCCCACTCCCCATTTTCCAGAAAAATTCTACGCTTCATAATACATATTTTGCTTTGAGTCTATTTCAAGCATTGTAATAATTTCATGAGAGTGTGTATTTTTTTTTTTTTTTTTTGCGCGAGATTATTTTCTTTTCTTCATTTGGGAAAGTAGCAAAATTAGACATCTTTAGTGAATGAGAAAAAAGGGAAGAAATATATTTTGATAAATCTTTTTCCTTTTGATTTGAATGATATTTATATTTTTACTTTGGAAACGTAGTATTTGTTGAGACGAGTGTGTACTTCCCTTTTTTTTTTTTTTTTGATTTCCTCTTTCCATTTGCACAGCATTATTTGCTGGAGCAACTTCCTCATTTGTATCCCCCTTTTTTGTAATGATCATTAAAAAAAAAAAAAAAAAAAAAAAAAAGATCCCTTTATTTCATTGAAAAGTATACAAGATGGACTATTTGTCTGGGTCAAATGAAGAAATCCATTCAGAAAACGGAAATTCTTCTGACAGTATAGAGAAAGATGATGAAGGATGTACTGAAGGGGATGAAGACTCTGGAAAGGAATTATGTGCTACCGATAGGAAGAAGTAAAATTTTGTGAGTGTATATGTGTCTATACGTACATATGAACAAGGGTAAATAATAGTATACGTGAGTACTTATATATATATATGTGTTACACATGTGCTTGAATGTCTATTGCTTAAAAAAAAAAAAAAAATACCTATTTTTTTTTTTTTTCTTCCCTTAATACCAGAACGTATCGATGCGCTAGCTGTAGAAGAGCCGTTGAAGATGTTCTAATTTTTTCTTGCAAACATTTAATATGTCTAGTTTGCGCTAGCGTACAGTTACATAAAAAGTACGAAAAGTGTGTGAAGATGTGTTCTGAAGAAAGAGACGAAATGAAACGACCTAAAAATCACAAGATAAGCGAATGCTTTTTAAATTCCAAAGTTACAAGGAATGCAATGGATGATGACAAACTAAATGAATTATTCAAAAAAGAAAAATTAGGGTATATTAAATGCTATATTTGTAATGTTAGAAATAAACTTACACTAGATACCATTGAGTTATTAACAAAAGTTGGGTTATTTTCCGATGATGTTTTGAAGGTTCATACATTTTATTTCAATTTGCATAAAGGTGAGGAACAGCCAAATGGAAGGGTGAATGAAGATGATATTAAAAAAATGAGTGTACATTTTAATGATACTTTAAATAGTGATATTCTTAAAAATGAAAATTTAAAAAAATTATTAGTCTCAAGTAGTATGTATAAATATATAGACGAGAATACAGAAGACCTGAGTAAATGTTCATACATATGTAATATATGTTCGTTTAATGAAGCAGTGATATATTGCAATGATTGTGTTGAGTATCTATGTAAAGAATGTTGTAGTAGCATTCATGAAACGGATGTAATAAATAAAGTGAATTTTACTGACAGAAAAAGTCATGATTATTATGAAATAAATAAAAAAGGGTTACAAATTAAAAAAATAGTAAAATCGCCAAAAAAGTTTTTACACATAACAAAGGAAGATATAGAAATGCCTCACGATACGGATGGAGAAAGTTGCGAGGAGAATTTTATGGGTAAAAAGATGGGTGCTGACAAATTTGCGGATAAATATCCCAAGACATTGTACAAAGTTTATGATGATGATGATTCCGATTTTGACAATTATGAAGAGAATCATTTTTATGAGAAAAAAAAAATGCTTATTGATAAGGAAGACACTAAAAAAAAGAGAATTATCATTTCAAAGAAGCTGAACGATTTAGTGGAGGACATGAAAAATGGAAGTAGCTACGACAGTGACAATTCATCTGCAAAGGGAACAACGGGATCAACCACTTGCATTGGAAATGGATTCAAGAAAGGAAAAAATAAGAGAAAGAATCGTTCAAGAAATAATACCAAAACTAATGGAAAATCCGACTTTCCGAAGAAAAAGAAAGATCTTTTGCGAACTAAGAAAAAAGGTCTAACAGGTGAAGTGGAGAATGGTGAAGGGATATGTCTTTTGTCAAACAGCTCCATTTCCCATATGAATGTAAGTTCAACTGAAAGTTCCTACTCCTCAGGTAATAATTCGGAAAGGGAAATATGCATAACAAACATAAAGAGGAGTACACATAAAGGTGATACTAATATTATATTAAAGGATGAAAGTATAAATAGTACAAGTTTTACAACAATTGAAAATATCAGATGCAGCCAACATTATAATTATCCAATACAATATTTTTGTCACACATGTTGTAATAAATGCTTTTGCTCTGAATGTGCAATTAATGGCATACATACAAATGAGTGCAATATTGAAAATATAAATACAGCATTCATTACAGTATTAAATAATTATCTAATAAAATGGAATGAAATTATAAATGAGTTAATAAATGATTTGAATAGAAATTTTTATGAGTCTTTAGAAGATACTAAAAATGATTGGTCTTTGACCCTAAGTGAGTGCTACTATAACTTGAATTGTAAAATAGGATATATAATTAATAATTTATCAAAAAAAGAAAAAGAAATATTTGAACAGTTGGATCTATATATGGATAAATTTAAAAAGGAAAATATAAATTACATAGAACTTTTGAATTCTAAATATGATGATATTGAGAAAATGATTAACATAATTAGAGATAACAAATTTCAAAATAACCCAATTGATATGATCAAATTTTATAGAGAAAATATCAATGATATTGATAGGACTATATTGGAAAATAATGATTTTAAGCCAATAGAAGATTTGTCAAAAATTAGACAGGACAAAATTTTCTACATAGATTTGTACGCTTCTCAAATAGTTAGTTACTTGAAGTATTTGCAGGCCTTTCTGAAGCCGAGCAACTCTGTGCTGTCTTCTCCCTAGATTTGGAGAAGAAAAACAAGATAAAAGTACCATTTATATTTTCTTTCATTTGATTTCTCAACTAATGTTTTTTTTTTTTTTTTTTTTTGTTCTCCTAGAGAGTTGCATGTGTGGGTATTCCATTTGTACACACAGTATGCCTTCTTGTAATGAAGTCCACGCCGACAATTCTAAGCATAAACACATATATAATGTATGTATATTTTGTATGAAAATGTGCACATGCGCGTGAAGATAAAATTATGCCTATGTTTGACGATGCATATATTTTTTTGAAAAGAAACTATTTCGTAGGAACTACTATATTCTGAGGACGGTTTTTGAAAAACTCATAAAACATGTGTGTTCCCACAATTTAATGTCTTCGTCAAAATAAAATATTTGTAAGGAAAAATAAAAAAAAAAAAAATAAATAAATAACCTATTTAGATATCTGCTTTATAATGATGCATAGGGGAATACTTAGGGACGCACATTACCTTTTGCATACTCATGTTTACTCTATTAAAAGTAAGAAAAAATTAGCATTTAGAAGAAAATGAAAATGTTATAACACCAAATGGTGCACAAATCATACACAGGAAAAATATGTGCAGATATAATGACGGATTTTTACCATTAGTTGTATTTTGACAGCATTGAGTGAAAATGCTAAAATGGAACATTTTTGTCATGCATGTGTCGCAGGGATTTTACCCTTTTTACGAATAGACAATTATATATAGTTTATTAAGTTGATAACATTTTTTTCTATGTTTGTAAGAATTGTTTTTATCTATTGTAGTATGTATTATTATTTTATTTTTTTTGTAAGAATGAACTCAAGTTTTTTGCCTAAATTGATGAAAAAAGCTAAAAAAAACAAAAAAAATTTAATGATTAAAAAAGGTGTGCAATTTTTTTTTTTTTTAAATTTTATTATTATTTTTTCATATTAAGAGTAAAAATAAAAACATTTGTAGTCCCATCTTAGAAAGTGAAATGTAGAAGCTTTTTTTTTAAAAAAAAAAAAAACCAAGAAATTACTAGCTTTAAGTTTTTTTTTTCATGTGCAAATGTTCCTTTGCTCATATAATCAGATATATGTTATCCATGAATAGGTAGAAGATTGACAAAAATAAAAAACTCTTTAAAAAAGAATTCAGAAATCTACAATATTTATTAATTTTTTGAAAATACATAAAAATGTCACAAAAGTGCCAAAATGTTTTAATGGTAAAAAAAATAATAGCAACCAGGAAGGTGATAGGGAAGAGCGTCTTCATCTACATAGGACACCTTAAGGGCACGAATGGTAGATATCGAAATATCTTGTTATAAAAAAAAGAACAAAAAAGTGAAAAACGTATAATTACGAGAAAAAACAAAAAAAAAAAAAAAAAAAAAAGAAACACGGTAGGGGATCTGAGGCAGAAGGAAAATGCTCAAGCATTGAAGAAATTCCAATTGCAGAAAGACACCCCCCCCACGCATGTCACATTATTCTAATGCAATAAAAAAGTTTTGTGAAATTAAATAATTCCTTATGTGAAATTATTTTGTAATAAAAGAAATGGCTTTACATATTGGAGGCAATTTAAGAGGTGCAGGAAATCCGTATGCAGAGGGAATGAGTGTTTTCTTAGATGCCCATAGTTTAGCAAAATAAAAGGTACCGTTGGTCGTAAGAAGTCACCAAACAATGGAAATACTTCTGATGAAGAAGAATCCTAAGAAGATGAAATCACTTGGTTATGAAAGAGAAATTAATGGTTGTGTTGTAAGAGTTCATAAGATAAATTGATATTGTTTACAGTATGTAAGCAACTCATCAAGAGAATCCGAAGGGTGCTTCTATTGTTAATAAATAATTTCGTTTTCGATGAAATGGCTGGAAATGGAATATATTGAAAACGCAATTTTTTAAATGAATTAATAATAAAAGTGATAGGTCAATCATACAAGGGGCTTATTAGCACATGCTGAAAAAAAATGGGGAATTGAAAACGAGGAAAGAAGTCGAGGGTGCATGCTTGAAAAAAGGCGTGTGCAAAAATGTGGAAGAACATGTGACCAAAGTGTGACCCCGGGAAGGTGACGAAAAATGTTAAATCAAAAATAAGCACTAGGTGAGGGAGTGTAAATGGGAGTGCACGAGGAATAAAAATTATGAGCAAAAAGGGGGAAAAAGAAGTCGTGGAAATTCGTACAGAGAAATTGAAAATCACAGAGAAGAAAAGTTTGAGAAATTCAAAAAATATGATTAAACTGAAAATTATGCGAAACATGCAAATTCTGAAAGGCGCGAAATGGATGGCAAAAGTGTGATATGCAAAAAGTATGCAACACATGCCAAATGTAAGAGGCGCCGAAACGGAAGTGACAGTGGAAGAAGTGGCAAAAATCGAAGTAACAAAAGAGGAAGAAGGGGAAGAAGTGATTGTCGAGAACGCGATTCAGTCGAAGATGATGAAGAACATGACGTGGTTAGAAGCAGACGTAGTGGACATAGAAAAGAGAAAAATAAAATTTTTTCACAAGGAAAGAGGAAAATATCTGCTCATGGGATTGAACTCGTACAAAACAAAGGCAATGTACGCATAGGGGGGAAATTTTATAATAAGTTAAAACATAAGAATTGTGGTAGTGGTAGGAGTAGAAGTAGGAGTAGCAGTAGGAGTAGCAGTAGGAGTAGCAGTAGGAGTAGCAGTAGGAGTAGCAGTAGGAGTAGCGGTAGGAGTAGCAGTAGGAGTAGCAGTAGGAGTAGCAGTAGGAGTAGCAGTAGGAGTAGCAGTAGGAGTAGCAGTAGGAGTAGCAGTAGCAGTTGTAGTAGAAGACGTAGTGGGAGGAGTCGTGGTAGAAGTGCATCAAATGTGGATTATGAAGCAAAACGTGACGGTAGAAAAAATTTGAATCGAAAAGAAAAAAATAGAATGAGCAGAAGCATTATGAGAAAACATGACAATAAAAGATCTTCGAGTTTGGATAGCATTAGAGAAAAGACCACAGATCATTATAAAATAATTGATAACTTGGACAAGCGTGATAGACAAAAGAACGAAAGAAGAACGAACACCAGTGATATGAGCAATGTGATGGATAGTTATGGCCATTATGATGGAAGTAAAAGTTCAGAAACATTTCATTTAAAAAAGGATATACAAAAAAATAATGAAGAAGTAGAAGATTCAAATAAAAATGAATCTAAGGAAAAGCAGAATTTCAATCCATCGGGCTTACTAGCACAGGATAAGAATTACAAGAATGGTGTTGAATTGAAGTATATCGAGAGCCTAGACGCTGCGATTCCAGACAAGAAATGGAGATTATACGTGTTCTTGAATGTGAACACTAAGGACCCGACGGGTAAGTTGAAATAGTAAAAAAAAAAAAAAAAAAAAAAAAAAAAAAAACTATAACTATAATGAAATTATATACATTAGTAGATGCCCTTCGAAATTTCAATCCCTCTATTTGTCTGAATATATATATATATACATAATCACTGAACTACATGAGGTGAGAGTGCACATAATGCAATAATAAATGGATGGATATAATTCCAAGTTCATAACTCCAAATTGAAGATTCACCAATATAACATGACTAACAGTTCATACACTTTTCACCTACATACCCATCTTTTTCCACAGAAATATTGCACATACATAGGAAATCATGTTACTTAATTGGAAAGGATGATTTGGTTGTAGATATAAAGTTAGCAAATCCTACCATATCAAAACAACATGCTGTTATACAATTTAAGAAGCATGAAAATAAAGTCCTTCCATTTCTCCTTGACTTAAATAGCACCAATGGTTCATATTTGAACAATGAAAAAATCGACCCAAACAAATTTTACGAATTGAGGTGATATATTAAGAAGTGAAAAAAAAAAAAAAAGAAAAAAAAGTGGAAGATATTATGGGACAAAGGGAGTGTATATATATGATAATTTGTTCCTATTCACAATTATTCCTCAAGATGTATCCCTTTTTTTTTTTTTTTTTTTTTTTAATGTTACAACCTTTTCGCTTCCCCTTTTTGCATGTGCAATTAAGCATATTTATATTCGCATTCACACATAAACACACATGAATTTCTCATCTCCCTATTTTTCAGAGAAACTGACATCCTAAGGTTTGGAAATTCAGCAAGAGAATATGTCTTACTTCACGATTCCTCTGAAAACGATACACATATCTGATTTTTCACTATTTGAAAAATTCACACACAAAGGGATCTTAAAATATATATGTGAAAATTCATGTGCATTACAGAATGTACCATGGCTTACGTAATATTGAGATGAAGTGTATCCCCCACCCCTAATGTTTTTACATATTTTGAAGATCCATTGAAGTAGAAGAAGTTTTTACCATTCCATATAGCATATATAATGTGGTTATGTGCATATGATTATATTGTAGTCATAGGTACGTGATTTTTACAAGTTCATTTAAGTATCCCGATTAACTGTACACTTCAGTTCTAATTGCATTAAGGTTAGGTATTTGTAAATGTCACATAGGGAGACATATATATATTACTTACCTTATATGAAGCAGAATGTCTATATTATCGCATCTATTAAATGATATATTTTTAATCCGTGTAATTAGAAAAGTATGCATCTTGCATGTATGATTACAAAAATTTACATGGTGCATAGGTATAATGCCATGCACACAATATATATGCATATATTAACCTAGTGTGTGTTAACTTTATTATTTTTTCATTTTTATTAAAAAACAAATTCAAATTTTTTTAATTTAAAAAAATGTTTTTATATATATATAAAAAAAAAAACAGGAAAAAAAAAATTCAAATGGTTTTATCAGAGACAGGCACTAAAATGTGTTGCACCATATGTAATAACTGTTCAATAAAAGAATTAGAAAAAAAAAAAAAATTCAAAATTTTCTTTCATAAGTGAAATACAAAAAAAAAAAAAAAAAAAAGGTAAAAACGGGATGAAAACGGCGTAAACATGGCGCCAAAAAGGCGTAAAAATATATAGAACATAATAAATACATCAGGGAGAATAAAAAAAATGAAGGAATTTAATAAGGAATACAGTAATTCATGTTGGTAATTGTTTATTATGCCATAACGGAATTTTATGTGTGCACGTTTTATGGACTACTCTTTTCTTAATTGTTATACTTGTAAATATTCATATTTTCAAAGTTATCGTTTAGATTATCTATTGCTTTCGTTATTTCATCGATTTCGTCTAAGTCGTCAATTTCGTCTGAGTCGTCAATTTTGCCTATGTTATCAATTTTGTTTAAATTTATACCATTCGAATCGGCGTGGATATTGCCATAGGAATTGCCATTTTTTTCATTTGGTTTTCCTTCGCTCATTACAGCACTATATGAGTCCTTCATATGATCGTCTCTGTTTTTTTCCTGTTGAAGTTTGCTCTCATTTTCCAAGTGAAGCTTACTTTCTTCTTTCTTGCCTTGGTTGAAATTTTCTTTGTGGTTATCATTATACAAATTTTCATTCTCTTGCAAAATCGGGACATTATTTTGGTTTGCAATATCATAACTTTGTTCAACGGACGATTCTTTGTTTTGGTTATTCGATTCGTCATTCATTATGTTCACTTTATTCACTTGGTTCTGGTGGTTCACGTTCCTGGAAAAGTGTTTCTTCAATTTTGTGTTCGAAGCATTGACTGGATCGTTTTCGTTCACAATGCTGCAACTCTCTGTATCGTCATGTTTTTTCATATTTTCAAACACTTGTGTGTGTTCATCTGGGACAATGTCAGACGTTTGTTCATAAATTTTTTCAAAAGAGGCTGTGAACACTTTGTTTTTTTTCCCCTGTTCATTGATGGTATATGTCTCTAGATCCGTAGGTTCATTTGCAGATGTGTTTTTCAAATATTTGTAATTTTCTTCCTTTTCATCTGGATTTGCTTCCACATTTTGTTTCAGTCTCGGTTCAACAATGTTATTATTGACGTTTTGCAAATCAAAAGTTTCTAATAAATAATCATAATTGGCTTCATTTGCACTATGACCAGTACATGGTTCGTCCTTAGAGATATTATTAATTTTGAGATTTTTCGATTCATTTTGCTTAAATGAAATTTGGCTTGTTCCTACAGTTTCTATTATATTACCAAAACTGATTTCATTAAAAGGAGAATTATAACTTGACATATTGAATGTTTTTGTTCCTTTATCTAATGTATTTCCATTGTCAAAGTTGATATTTATGCGATTAGTGTTTAGCATAGAATCATTAGGTATATAATCAGAAATAGTATTTGCGTTATTACTAAGAATGTCTTTTCTTGATATATTATTTTGATTTTTGTTCTTTTCGTTTAAATTTGGTCGATTGGAATATTCAAATTGTGTAAAATTAAAACAATCGTCTATCATATCCATTTGTAAGTGCTCTTTTTTATGTTCATTTAATGATGATGTATGGGTATGGGGTGAAATGCACATATTTACAGGAATGGATGGTGTTGTTTCTCTTTCATTTTTGTGTAATGATGAATTGTAACTCTGCAAGTCGAGATCAAGTTTAGGGTTTAATTTGGGATGATAATTTTTTGCAGCTTCCTCAACTAATAAATTATTCCTACCTTTGTCATGATTAAAAGTGTTATTTGGTAATATTTGTTTGCTGATTTTGTTATGTTCATGTGATTCCACGCTATGTAAAGGAAGTGACTCCTTCATCAGTTGTTGCATCATCTGGCTTGACACATTATCGTTATGCGTGCCAGTTCCAATGTCAATATATGGTTGAGAATGATTATCAATATGATTTGATCCACTGTCATCATAATTAAAATTTAATTCGTTAAAAACACTATATTTGTCTTCCATTGGGTCTATATTCTTAGGTATAGTTCTTACTTCTTTTTTCATTTGTTCATCACTAAAAAAGGAAAACATATTTTCATTATTATAAGCTGCCATATTTTGATTGTCAAAAAGATCATTGGTTTGCTCTTTTATATATTCGGTAGATGTGGCATTAGTAAAGCTTTGAACACGTTCATTGAAAAATGTCTGAGATTCCATTTCATTTATATCTGTTTTTTTTTCAGTATTCCATGGGTCGTACTTGTTAAATATAATTTCGTTGATATTTGGTCGATTTGAATTTTCCTTTTTTTTGCTCTTCTTTTTTTTCTCCTGTTTTGTACTTTCCTTTTTGTTGTTCTTCTCTACCGCGATAGCATTTCCCAGATTTTCATTTGCAATTTCATTTTTCCTTTCCTTTTCCCATTTTTCAAATATGCATATCTGATCGTTAATATAGAGAAGAGAATTTAGAGTGACGGAAATGTTGACATTTCCATTGTAGTCGGATAATTCATTTATACTTTGAAAAACGAGATCTTTATACTTTGACACGATAGTAATGCATTTTGATTTCTCTTCATCATTAGACATGTGTTTAATTTCCTTTAAGATTTTTATGATATTATTAATTTGTGGTAATTTTAGTGGTAAAGCATGGAGTATATTGTCATCTGAAAAGACAGGTGATTTATCTGCATTTTTAACATAAAACTTTTCAGCCTTATTAATAATTGGGAACGTTATTCCTTTTTCTTTCAGTGATTTATATTCGTTAAAAACAGCAGTTGCTATGTGTTGATGAAGAATAAATGAATCATGCCATAGTTGTAACATAAAAAGAATTTTCCTTTTGATAAAATGAAGTCTTGGGTCTGTTGCTACGCCTGGGTGAATAATAGGTACTATAAGAAATTTAGACAGTTTGGATTTTACGTCTTTTGTGATTGATTTTTTTAAAGTTGTTGTTTTTAATAGTGCACTTATTTTTTTCATAAAACTTTCGTCAAGAAATCGGACAAAAAATAGGCCTAAATTTTTGGCACAAAAATTTAAAAATTCTAGAGAAATTACTACCTCTTCAGGTACATGTTTTTTTTTTAACTTTTTCCCAATTATTTTAATGGTATAAATAATAATATTAATTTTTTCTTGCATATATGTTAATACGTTATATGCTCTATACACATCTAAAAATATTATGTCATTTAAGCAATTAATATTTTTATCGTTATATTTTAACATTTCATTGGAATCAATATTTCCATGATTTCTTAGTAGGTTATCAAGACATGTGCAATACGTTTCATCATTTGTTATATTTCTTAAATTATTTATTTCGTTCATATAATTATTCCCAAATCCTGTAATGTTATAATTTGGATTTTGGATTTCTTTATTATTTAAAAGACTTTCTAAATTTTGACTATTAATTGCTTGTCTATTTGATGAACTCGTCATTTTCCCAATCTCATTATTGCATGATTTCTCTTGTTGCTTATTGCTGTAATTATATCCACTCCCTTTATTGTTCTCCTTTTTAGCAGATAAATTATTTTCATAATTACGGAAAAAATTAAAGTCATTTTTTCCCGTTGCACTTCTATTATCACTAGAAAATTTTTCTTGAATATTAGTAATATTGCTTATGTAGCTTAATCCTTTGGATAACTTCAGATTTTTAAATTGATTTTCACAGAAGCTGTTCCCCGTTGAGAAACCCGATCGATTATTGGTATGGGAAGGGACATCAGTTTTGTGACCGTTGTGACTAGTGTGATTCGTGTGGCTATTGTTGCTTAGGGAGCTGTTTAGATTGGAATTGATATTGCTTAGCATATTGTTGAACGACTTCATACAGTTATTCGATATCGCACTAATGTTTGGGCCATTAAATATATTTATAGATTTCTTTTTCCTCGACTTGGAACTGTCGCTTGAAGAATTCCTCCTAGCACCTAGACCCATATTTGGTAATGCTTCATGCTTATTTCTGTTCACATTGTAATTTGCATTTTGTCCTCCTGTGAAGCTGTTGCAATTCCAGTTGTTGTTATTTTTTTCATAATCATTTATAAAAGAATTACCACCCTCCTGCAAATTTACTTTATTCTCTTTCGCATCTTTTCTTTTTCTAATTCCCTTGTTATCCATTATATTTTCCGTCTAAACATATGTAAGATATGAGTAATTCAAGAGAAGTAGAATAAGCATATGTGTACAAAATTATGTGCTCCCCTTTTGCTATGAATACATAGAAGAAAAAAAAAAAAAAAAAAAAAAAAAAATTACGGAAAAAGAATAGGGAAAAGGTAAATACAAAAATAGTACTGAAAAATAATAATTACAATAATCTTGGTATTATTTGCTTGTTCATGAAAAACAAATCAATTGCGGCATTGGGGCATTCATGTAACATTTGTCTTAAAATATGAAATGACATAATTATAGGGAATGTATTTCATCCTTAAAAATTATCGTTTCCACTTTTTTTTTTTTTCTTTTTTCATCAAGGACTTCACACGTGTGAAAGTGGAAAATATAAAAAATTAAGTATTTTATGTTTACAATTGTTATGCTGTTATTATTGCCTTTTTTTTTTTTTTTTTTTTTTTTTTTTTTTTTTCCCCTTCCCCTTTTTTTACTTTTTTTTTTTTTTTTTTTTTTTTTTTTTTTTTTTTTTTTTTTTTTCCACCCTCACTGTGTTAATACGAACCATCTTACATTTTATTTTTAATTTTTTGTTATAAATACTTTGTTTTTTTTTTTTTTTTTTTTTATCCTGCCTTCTCCATATTAT